TTCGATGCTCTACCAATTGAGATACCACGGTGGTTACCTCCAACCACTTTATTGAGTATATATTGAATAAAACGTGGGAGTGTCAGGCAGCGCCACCAGTAGCCAAGGCGGCGAGTGTGGCACACTCTTTATGAGGCTGTTTGGCGTCACGTAGCACGTGAACTTATTACGACCTTACAGCTGACCAATAGTCCCTCGCATACAACCTAAAGGCTCCAAGTCTGCCAGTATGAGACCCTCGTTAACAATTAAGGAAAGAAGTGTATACTTAAGGGCTCGTTTATCCGTGTTTTGACACAATATTAGTGAGATCTAACAGACAATGATGCCAAGGAAAGTATAGGGAAAGTTATTAGACCGAATGGTAATGTAAATGTGAAGAAAGAAAAGTGGGTGAAAAGATAACTTAATTTATGTGGGCAGGAACTGAACCTGCGACCTATGAATAACACTCATTAATATTCTGTCAGATCTCAGAAAAACGAGCCCTTAAGTATACACTTCTTTCCTTGATATATATATATATATATATATATATATATATATATATATATATATATATATATATATATATATATATATATATATATATTGGGGATGCTGACACCTTTTGGTAAAGTTGCTTGCGTCGCGCGCGTCTCGCGCAGAAGCCGCACTTGGGGGTCACAACTATTGAGCGGTAGGTGGCGTTGTGCATGTGAGCGTGTTTATTTATTAACAAAAAATAAATCTAATTTTTGGTTCATTATGTTAGGTGGCGGTTAGGTGGCGCTAACCACCGCCCGATCTAAAGGGTACAGCCATATCCATCCATCCATCCTTCCAGATGGAATAGGTAGGCTTGCCTTAGGAGGTAGGTTTGCCTTAGGGATAAGCAACGTGGAATAGGTAGGCTTGCCTTAGAAGCTCACTGGAATACACCAAATCAAGGAGTACAAGGTGATATGGGATGGACATCATTTGAGGGCAGGGAAGCTAGCAGCAAGATAAAATTTGAGAAGCGATTGAGAGAAATGGGGGAGGAGCGTTGGGCTAGGAAGGTTTTCAGCTACTTGTACATGAAGAATGTCGATACAAAATGGAGGAAGCGAACCAAAAAATTGACGGGTAAATACTTAGAAAACAGCAGACGGCCAAACCAAAAGGAATTATCGGTTAAGAAGAAGGTGAAGGAAGCTGAGACCGATATGTGGAGAATTGGCATGATTAGAAGTCCGCACTATAGATCTATCGAACTTTTAAGCATGAAATTACCAAGGAAACGATCTATGATAATACTCGGGGTAGTTCTCTACTGTTTGAGGCCAGGATGGGAGTATTGCGAACCAAGACATATCGGCCCGAATACGAAGGGTACACGGTATGCAGTGCGTGTGGAGAGGAAGAAGAAAATGCCAAACACTTGATAATGTTCTGTAAAGGGCTTCACCCTATAGTTCAGGATGATGGCGCAGAGTTTTTCAAGGCACTAGGGTTCAGAGACAGGGAGGGCAAAATAGACTTTAAGTGGGTATAATTAACTAGAAGCAGGTTATCTGATTGGTGGCTAAAGTCAAGGCACGAGTGAAAATTGAACCCTTCGCTGCAAAGTACGAATCCTCAACCTCACTATTTAAGGGGAAAAAATAAATCTAGTTTTTGGTTCATTAAGTATTACGGCTTGGTGGCGCGAGCCACCGCCCGATCTAAAGGGTATAGCCATATCCATCCATCCATCCGTCCGTCCGTCCGTCCGTCCAGCCACCCACCCATCCATCCATCCATCCACCCACCCACCCACCCACCCACCCATCCATCCATCCATCCATCCATCCATCCATCCATCCATCCATCCATCCATCCATCCATCCATCCATCCATCCATCCATCCATCCATCCATCCATCGCCTTACGGTATACAGCGCTACATGAAACCGCAACTCGTAACTTTGTTTTCACGAAAAGAAGGAAAAACGCCGTTAGTCTTGCTGCTGCCACCTCCCCTCTCTCTTTCTCCCTTATTCTTTTTCGCTCCGTCTCCTATAACACTAATTGCGCTTGCTGTACACTTAGGCGTATACTTTTATGCCAGCGTGAAGATCAGTCAAACGCTCCAAATGCCTGGCTGCTCTCACGGCATAGTCTTTTTGCTTCTCGGTTTGCGAGTTTGGTTGACGTGGCCTTAGAGATCGAGAATTAATTATCGCAGCACAGACGTGTCATTTCAGATGTACACTGAAGTAATCACAATAACGCGTATTTGAAAACAGCAGGTGTTTTTAGTAGCTGCGCTTCATATATGGCGGACGTTAACCTTAACATGCTATTGAGAGTGGTATACTGCCCCGGAATATTTTTATTTAAGATAGAAGGAAGAAAAAAAACCTCTTGATGTACTTCTGCCATCTTATTAACCACGTCAAGATAATATACGTGCTACAGCCTTTTTATTATACCGCGTCGCTTCTCATGTTTAAGAAGAAAATATGCGATAAAACCTTCGTTATACTGACGTATATGCACCTATATTTTTAAGCTGTAGAAGTGATATACACCCGCTTAAATTTGGTTAAACGCATCGCAGGTTGTTGCTGTCATCAGCGCTCTCACTTGCCCACATACTTTGTTACATTTTCTTGGAAAACTGCTCACATTTGCAAACTTCCCGTGAAAAATAAGCGCTCTTGTAGTGCCTTGTTTATGTATTTGGAAGGATGTTATTTTATTGCTAACTGGCTGCACAAATAAGCGAACCATAATGCGTGTGCTGACAATTTTGTTTTCATCGTATCAAGAATTTTACTTTTTACACAACATTTCGACCATTCATAATTCTTGCTTACTAATTGATTTTTTAACGGTCTAGAGATATTGTTTCGTCATGGTTTCCCAATTCAGCAGTGAGACAGAAAAAGAAACGGGAATGCGAGAATGGCAGGGAAGTTAACTAGACTTTCGGCGATTTGTTATGGTGCTCCACTGCTGACCAGCAGGGCCCCGCCGTGGTGGTCTTGTGGCTAAGGTACTCGGCTGCTGACCCGCAGGGCGCGGGTTTGAATCCCGGCTGCGGTGGCTGCATTTCCGATGGAGGCGGAAATGTTGTAGGCCCGTGTGCTCAGATTTGGGTGCACGTTAAAGAACCCCAAGTGGTCAAAATTTCCGGAGCCCTCCACTACGGCGTCTCTCATAATCATATGGTGGTTTTGGGACGTTAAACCCCACATATAAATCAATCTGACCAGCAGGCGCAGGATCGAATCCCGGCTGTGACTGGTGCATTTTTGGTGGAGGCGAAAATTTTTGACGTCCGTGTACCTGAAGATCAAATCGTGTTTTTTATTATTATTTCTTCAGTTTTGTATCCTACAGCTGCGAAACGAGGCTCCCAAGACCTTTTGTGCAGTAAAAGGCCGTTCAGCTCAAGGCATACTGAAGTATGCAGTGTTCGTCGAACTGAGCACAGTGGCGCTAGAGGAGATCAATAGTCGCTTCGCATTCGCATTAAGCGCACATGGTTGAATTCAACACTACAGCAGTAGCTGTTGATTTTGTGGACGCTACTCTGGCTCACAGCTGACACAACACTGCAGCGCCGTGTCGAAAAATTTGTGTCGGTCACGACATGTCATAAATGTGTTTAAATCTTCCCGCAATCGAAACCGAAACTAGATTTTTGCTTAGGTGGCGTTAGTGGCAGGCTTGTGGTGTAGGAAAGGGGAAAGGATAACCATTCGCGCTTCCCACCGAGCTTCTCTCGTAGCCAGCTTTTTTATTTTCGTTTTTATTGCGTCGGCGTTTTTGCGTGTGTAGTTGCGTGTGGCTGTTGTAGGTGGTTTTTGCGCGGTGGCCAGCACCGTCCGTAACAAAAACAGTGCGACGCTCACTGAAAAGGAATGTCCGCTGCGTGTTATTTGCACGGCCGGCGTGATTTCCGCGCCGTAATGAGCCTGCTGTAACGGTCCCATTACAATAGCTAGCTCACTACATACACCCTCGCGGCGCTAGATTGAGGGACACCGTTCTGCTATGGTTGCGCTTAGCACCTGTTTGTCTCACTGGGGTGGTTGTCAGCGTAAGCGGCTCATTGACTTGTCTTTGGAACAACGCAGCGGCAGTATGACACGGGCGCTATGATACGCCTGCGGTTCGGGACTACCATCTTACAAGTACGAAGAGCGGCTGTCTGCATTGGTGCCGCCTGTGTGCTGGTGTGCTTCGGAGCCGTCTACGTTTACTTCAGCAGGCTCCTACCGAGCTCTACTGGCCTGGCAGGATGGCCTCCAGGCAAGGTACGTACAATCTTCTTTTACCTTTCGGTAATAGTAAACACCGCGCTAAAGCACGTCGGACCTACTGGCCTAGAAAGTGGGATGCACTCCGTCTCGTGTTCCCACGTACTCGTTCACCTTTGATCCCGATCTTCCGACCGCGTACACCACTTTCGTATCGCATGCTCATTATTGGATCGCCCGTGCTCTCAAATGTGACCCGGTCACGTTTGTCTGCAAGATTTGTTCCTCTTCAATAACATGTAACGAAACACGCAAATTTTTTGTTGATCCCAGTGAGCGTTACGTGGGGTAGTGTCTCCTGTCTTGTGCGGATCGGTTTTCTTAAACGCGAATAAAGACGCAAGCGGTCCCAGTTCCTAAACGAAAATAAAATGAGCGGCCTGTAGAGGGTTACATTCACGAATTTAGGCTCTCTGTGTGATCAGGTGGTCTTTTCCACCTGCTGCACCGAAATGCTAAGCTAGCATTTTGAAGTGAAACCGGAGCCTCTTAAAACACAGCTTTCAGCGGCAAAGCAGGCACGTGCTCGCCAAGCAGCGTTTTTATTGGTTGCGTTTGATTTATAGCCCACTATTAGCATCGTTTCCTTTTTGATGCCATACTCAATTTGTTAGGATTCCACTATGCAAAAATGTCGCCTGTGCTTTGATTACTTCTAAAACGTTCTGTCTTTGCGTGGCACCGGGCCACGCTCTGTAGTTGATGAGCATGAGCAAACAAATGATAAAGCATATACATATGTATATATATAAGGTTGCGAGACAAGTATGGTTTTTCATCTGTCAGCTTTTTGCACAAGGGACCTGTTTGTACAGCAGTTTAGTAGACTTCCCTTTGATGCGTCACAGTGTGCTAAACCTTATGTCTGATTGTGTGAAATCAAACTGTGTCTGTTGCCTCGTGTAGACCCAGATATTTTGTAAGACAGCAGTGATGGAAACTTTGCTGCACATTTAAGCAAGTTCCAGTGGCAATGAGGAAGATTTCTCCATCATTGAATGCTACATAATATTTCTGATAAATAATCCAGACATGTTTAAGTAGTTCTTAAAAGTCGTGATTCTGAGAACAGAGCACAAGCGTGACACATTGATAGCTCATGTCACGATACGCTGTGCCTACTTAGAAAATAACTTCAATATAAACATGATTCAACATTGTAGAAGTACAATGAACGAGATCACAGAAATGAATGTTGCTTGATTACACGTCAGTTGTGCATGCCCATAAATTATATTCCACAGCAGAGCAAAGATTAAACCGAAATATTATCGCAACAACGTGTACTCCGGTTGTACTTGTCCTGTGTCATTTTATATATGATCAAAATTTTAATGGCAATAGTGTATTGAAGTACCAGTCAAAGATAAAATAAGAGTGTTATTTCCATTTTTCCTCTGGTATGTTGTGACAAAAAAACCTTTTAACGATGGGTCATTAAGCCAGTCTTCAAACCTAATTTCTCAGCCTTAGTCATTGCACAAACCCATTTCGTCTAAGCGCCAGTGTAGTCTGTCAAAATTGGTCTGAGAAGGGGGGGGGGGGGGGGCAGTACAGTAAATCAGTGCTACTTGCAACTAGTCATCCACAATGTTCTCATGAGATTTGCCCCTTGGGACATGCGTGCACAGAGGAGTTAAAGCAAAAAGCAAATGGGAAAGCTTTGTTCTTTTTTTGTATACACCTCAAGTTATCGAATTTTTTTGGAATACAAAGTGAGCGAATACTGACATGAGCTTTGCCTCTCCTTTCTTGTGTAATGTAAAATCTTTTCAGCAACCTTCTTTGTCCCAGTTTAGCCTCTCTAGGCAATAAAAAGCAGGGTTGGGAAATGTACAATTCAATATAGGTGAAATGCACTTTCATAGCGGTACACCCCATACCATTGTTCTGTGGGATACATAAATTAATCATACTCCTGAGACATGCTAATGACTAGCTCCCAAGTGATGCCTTGAGCATACGAAAGAGCTGATGCACACATATGCTAGAGCTTGTGAGCTCCTGCAGTTTGGAGCCATGGTTTCAGAAAGCGAGAAATCGTAGCGATATCTTCAATGGGCAAGTGTACTTGTTGCTGGAAAGATTTCACAAAAAAGATACAGAAAATGTGTCGGTGACCCTTGCCCTTCTACATTAAAGAAATTCGATACCTGGAGGTGGAAATCAAATACAGAAGCAAAGCTTGCCATTTTTTAAATTTTTTTTATATACACGTGTCCACATCTGTACAGTATGTTTGCTGATATGCAGGCCGTTTCAGTTTATCATTAAAATAATTTTTAATGAGTTTCTCAATATTTTGTTAACAAGTCATGAGTTCATTTAGACTTTCTATAATAAATTATGTGCACTTCTGAAAGTTATCGGACTCTAAAAATAGAGTAGTGATGGCTGCCCCAGGATATTTTTGGACATTTTTTAAGGTATAAAATTAAACACCGTACTGTATATTTCATGATGGCAGTAGTGCTTTTTCACATGTGTGTCCATTTTCGTTCATGTAGAATCTCTATTTTGCTCCCACTGTCTGTGTCAAGTATGCACTTATTATGGATGACACTCCACCAGGATTATTGGGTATCACCCAAATGTAAACATTAGATAATGACACCCTAGGTCCTAGGGGAAAGCCTTGCTACAGAATTGTAGCCCTTGTCTGCGCATCTGCTTTCTCCTTCAGAAGTGAGGCATACTTGCAGGTGTCCATGTTTCTGTCTTTTCTCCTTTACTTTTCTTTTTCTAGATGAGGCAAGAATGCTAATAGAACTAGTATTTCATCAAACAATGTGAAATAGAGAGTAATGTCTTGTCGCTTATATTGTGCTTAGAGAAATAAGGGAACCTTTCACAGAAAGACCCCATTCTCTGCTGAGCATGCAACACTTCTAATTACTGATCGAAAACTGTATAAAAAAAATCATCCTAATGATTAGGGCACCATATATATCTTGAACACAGGACATCTATGGCCGTTGACATGAATAGCATTGTAGCATCTTTTCAGCATGTAATGGAGTTTGATGTTCAAAACTTTAGGTGGACATGGCCGCCCTGGAGCAGAGGCTTCAGCGGCTGGAGAAGGAGCTTCGCAACAACCACATAATGCTGACCCAGATCCGCGACACTGTTCGCAACTTCCTCACTGGTGCCCCCGGTCTAGGCTGGAAAGGCATCCCAAAGGCACCACCAGCACTGCAGAATGTATCGCGGACAGCCATTGCGCTCTCGCCAGCCGACTGCGCTTTTTGCAGCTCCCCTCCTGCCATTACCGACTACAATGTGAGTCTTTTCCAGGGTTCAGTACTCTGCACGTCTCGTGTTCACTGTTTCCAGAGCCATATCTTATCTTTATGCTTAGTTAACGAGAGATGCTGCTCGAAAAAAAAAAGTTCCTTTATTTTGTAGTCTAGAGTAAAGACAGTTTCACTGAATTTGTAGGCCTTTATGCTGATATCAAATATGTAATCAGTTTTGTAAAAAGTTGCATAGTTTTTGTTTTGTACCATGACGATATGTCAAATATAGTTAGTTTTGAAAAACTTTTCCTGCCACTAAGCTTTTATGGTTCTTAGTTCATATGGCTTTCCATTAACTGTAGAATGCAAATAACCAACGACAAAGAGCGTAGAAAACACTTCAACAAGAAAAATTATAATGTGAGAAGTTTTAGAATGCTCAGCCCTTACTAATTGCTTACTTTAGGTTCGTAATAGTTATATAGGTGATATCAAGTATTAAAGGTGATACTGGCACTGTTCACGTGGTAAGGAATATGTGGGCAGAATTTCATCCTGAACTGATGATCATAAATACCAAAAACATGGTTTCCAAACTCAATCTGGCCAAATTTGGATCATTAGAACAAAACAAATTGTAAAGGTGTAAGTGAAAGTTCATCTATAGCATAGGAAAAAATTTTTAAAAATTATTTCTGTTGTTGTGAGAGCTTTAGAATTTTGGTTATTTTGAGCATGTGGATTTAGTGAATTGCTAATGCAAAATGCAGTGGCAAGTGGTCAGGTGATAATTTTCTGCGGACTTTTGAGTGTAGACAATGAGCTCATCATAGTTTTTAGTAGTCACCTTGTGCTCCTTAAAAGTAATTTTAACCTACCTTGAGTTTAATTACAGTATTCAAGTTCTTTAGAGAAACAAAACTTGTGAACGCAAATAGAATGAAAAATATATAATTTTCGATAAAGAATTGCACTTTTTGACACGTATCTCCCCTTACAGTTCATAATTTTCAATCTCTGCAATCATACTTTATTCTGGCTGAGTTGGCTATACGTAAATAAGTTCCCCATGCAGTTGAACTGATCTTGGGAAAGCCGTACGGCTTGTGATTGCACGATAATTTTATTCGCAGCCCTGAAAACAGCACATAAGCTGATCATACAGTTACTTCAGCATAAGTGGGTACGATAGAGGTTGCAGCATGGTGTGTTGAAGTTTTTTCAGTTGCAGCAAGTGTCGTTTAATTTATAATGTCATACCAATAACCTGCACATACTCGTGATAGTGCAACCTATAGCAACAGCTTTTTTTTTGTCCGTTTTGGTATAGGTAAAATCTTTAAAGCATCTTCACTCATTTTGCAATGCACGTTCTTTTAGCTCAAACCTAAAATTTTGCACGAAAGTTACGCTATGTCTCAGACTGATTGTCATAATTGTTCCAAATTGGATCGCTGAATAGCATAGTGAAGCACACAGCACGGCTCATTGCAGGGGGTTGTTGGAAGAAGAGAGTCATTGGTTGTGCGCGGCTACTGAAGCTGTTGACACGGGCTCAGATCTTGCCTTGTCTACTTCAGTATTAATTCTACTTTTATGTGTACCATGGGCCGAGAAAATGTGAATATGTATCCAAACAAGCAATCCACTAGTTGCATATTTATTTGACGCTTTGCTTTCCTTCCAGGTGTATGACCTATATGAGAAGATAGCGTTTGACAACCCCGACGGTGGGGTGTGGAAGCAAGGTTGGAAACTTGAATACGAGGAGTCGATGTGGACGAAAGACCGGAAACTCAGGGTGTTTGTAGTTCCTCATTCCCACAATGACCCAGGTATGAAGCTGGAGAACAGTCGTGCCACTGCTTCTCTGCGTCCCAATCTGTCACGCGTATCTAAACAACCGTGCAAGTTGTATGTGGCACTACTTATATTCACGAGCTGTTATAGCATTCAAAACAATTAGCAGTGCGCTAAATTTTTTGGTCCAATAGAATGCCCATTGAGAGCTCACACTTTAGTGACATTCAACACTTTTTTATTTTCCTAACTTATCTTAAAGTTGGGCATTTTCTAACGCTGTCACGTAGGTTATTTGTGATGACATATCAGCTCAAAGGCTAACAGTATGAATGGCACTGTACAGGTGATCGTACGAGATCATCTTTGTCAAGGGCTATACATCTTTTTGTTTCCTTTGCTAGTTGCGCTGATAAACTGCTGTGTTCATCTAAGAGCAACTCTGAAAAAGCTGTGCTAATTCTCGCAAGATCTGCAGGCACCTGCATTGAATGCGTATTAGCATGTGTGCCACAAGTCGTGTTGCCTTAAACAGGTCCTAGCAGGTACCACTTGTCGCCGTGCAGTTTTAAAGAGCCAGTTGCGATGCAGTGGCTTACCAACTTTTTCCTTTTTCGCGAGTGGGGGGGGGGGGGCTAACCTGCCACACTCATCAGCCGATATATATATATATATATTGCATACCCTACAACTTCCCTCATCAATACATTTATATTGGTGGCGGCCTCCTCAACAGTAAGTATTTATCATTGAAATTTTGATGACTAAAAACAGCTCACGGAGAATTCAGTTTTTAAATGTGAAGCACTCCTTGAGGAACCATAGGTATTTTGAGCATTTCTATCTACTTATTTTAGCTTCCCACTGAGCTTGAGTCTGCTGCTTTATTCTTCACCGCTTTGCAAGCTGCCTTCATAGCTCCAAGTTGCTATAAGCAAGGCTGATCAGATTTATCGGAAATTAAAGCGGAAACCTTTCTTACGATTAGTCGCAACCATGTGCTCTCAGCAGCTTCGAGAGAGCAGCGGTGATGGTAATCCTTTTTGATCAAAGAAAATAATTTTCCTGAAGCAGCAAATGCTTTGACCGGTCCATAAAAAGTTTGTTCGTTCCCATCTATGACTGCATTGGCCAGTTGCAGCAGAATAAAAACATGCACAAGTGATGTAATTAATAGGGCACCTGTTTAGCGCTAGCTTGCTCTGCAGTGCTACTGCACAGGGCGGAAAGCGTAGGAAAAAGTCTTTAAGGAAAATCTTCACTGCTATCATGTTGAAAAATTATCACTACATTGTACCCTGGCATCGTAATATTTTCTTTTTCTCGTAACAATATAATTGAGTGATTACAGTGATGAAGGAAAATTTTGCCTTCTTATTTTGTTATTGCCAGCGTGCAGCGGACAGTGTCCACTGTCGAACTGGGGGGGCTGAGCCCCCCCCCGATACGGCTATGCTGCATTGCATATAAAGTGAACTGCGGCGTTTGACAAAGTATTTGGATTCTGAAGAAGCGTTTCGTCGTCTTCCCTCTCCAGCCAGGTTTGAGGAACACTGTGACTGAACACTGCCACAGTGAAGTTACAGGCTGCATTTAATATGTTTACCTAGTCTTCTGTAAGCCTTCACAGTCAACAGGAATGAAGGTCCACGAGCAGTGTGTTTGTTAACACACTGCACGACAGTGGAAAGGCATGAAAAGAAAGACTGAACAACTGAACTAAAAAGAGTGTGGGGCACTCTTTCTTGTTTATTTGTTTCTTCATACTGCTTTGCACATTTTTTCGCAGCAGTGTCAAGACCAATTTATTCTGGAAACAAGTAGTGATGTTAAAGCAAATGCACCTACACTGTACAACGAGTCATGAGTAACAGTGTTAGAGTACGAATTTTTTTTTTCTGTTGCAAAAGATTGTGGCTGTTGATGTGGCATTGAGTAATGATCATGGTTCTTTGTCTTGTTCTGCTAGGCTGGCTTAAAACGTTTGATAAGTATTACCTTGACCAAACACGACACATATTGGATAACATGGCCGCTAAGCTCGGTGTGGACAAACGGCGGCGTTTCATCTGGGCCGAGACTTCCTACCTCTCGCACTGGTTTGACCAGCAAAGCGAGGAGATCAAGTCCAAAGTGCGGGGGTAAGCATGGGGCACTTGCTGGCTAGGTGTACCTGTTTATTTTTTTTTTTAATGTGGCAACCACTTTTTGGTTTCAGGAAAGTTGCCTACACAGATACTTTAGGTGTCCGATTAAAGTAGTATAATAGCTTGCATATTCAAGGCGGGTAAAGTAGCAATCAAAACCTAGTAACTCCTAAAACCAGCAAAGAAAAATTGTGTGTTATATAAAACAAGTGCAGAGAAAATATATAAAGCCTATAAGGAATCAGGTTCACCTTTACGGTAGAAATAAGGTGCAATCGAAACAAACACAAAAAGAGACATGGACATGGAAGAGATGCTTCAGTGTCTTTTTGTGTTCGTCTCGTTTGTGCCTTATTGCTTCCATAAACCATGTACCAATTAGCCTAATAAAGAGTTCTACTTGAATCAGGTTCAGCTTTGTATTGATTACTCAAGATAAAGAAATACCATTTTGTTGGTCTTTCCCGCATTTTTAAGAATCTGCTTTTATATTTTTTATATTGATCTTGCGGTGCCTGCACACCCTATCCCAGCTGAAAGTTTCGCTTTTCATACAATGCAAAAAGAACAAGCTTTGCCCAAGAGCAGTCATGCAGTAGAAACAATGTTCTCGGCATGCCTTATATCCTTGCCACATAGGCACAAAAAAATACATTCAGCGTTTGGAACATTAAGTTCCTGAATTACATTTGTTTTAGCCGAGCTGCCACACGTGTAAATTTAATGGGATTTGACCTGACGATGTCGATAACAGTGACTTTTTAAATGTGCAATTTTGGAGTAATAATAAAATATAAACTTGCATTTTACCAACTCAAACCTGCTTTCAGAAATAGTGAAATGTAGAATTAAGCTATTATATTGCCAATAGCTTAGATATATTCTTGCCTTTTAGAACATTTCGATCGACCACAGCCGTTTCAGCTATTGCATGTAAAATTTAAAGCCTAGAATCAAACAGGGCACCTGTCATGTTGAAATCATTGCAATTTCAATGTGAATTTTTATGTAGTACAATGGCGAAATAACGTGGTTTCTGTTAGAAGTCTTGCATAAAATATTTTTGCAAGACTGGTGTTGTTTCAAACGTCTTTTGCATACTGCACTGAGCAAGCTTTCGTGTTGAGAGTACACATTTTTCAGTCGAATGAGTTCTAGCGAAGGCATTAAGTGACAAATGGCATTAAAGTGAATGTCACTGAGTTCTAGCGAAGGCATTAAGTGACAAATGGCATTGAAGTAAATGTCACTTTCTGTGCCCTTGTGGCACGGGCATTGTTGCGATTCTGATGCTTGTCTTTTGGCATCTGTTGTGACTTGGCATTTAATGTCCAAGCAGCCATGACTGTTCAGGAGTTTGCAGAACATATGTGGTACTAGTCAAAGCAATAACTAGTCTTTTGCAGTAAGTAAAAAGTTGTCTGTTTTTCTTTCTTGCTTCTAGAATACCAGATGACGTCCCTTTTGAAAATGTTTTGGTGCCCTTTGCTCTTTCTCTTATGCAGGAGTACAAGTATCTCGGGTGCTGTTAAGGCATGTTTTCTTCTTGTAAGATAGATTCAGTGAGGAATATTGCAAGGACATTATAGTCTATTGCATTGCAATATAGAGGCTAACTTGGGCCAACTTAGTCATTGCAGTAATCATGATCTGTCTAATGTAATCTCTGCAGCTTGTCCTGGGCAGCCCCCAGCTGCATTTCCCTTTTTGGCCCTTAATATTTGTCTTATTCAAAATATTGCTTGAACTAACTTTGAAATCTGCTTGTGGATTCTTGTCAGTGTACTGAAGATTATTAGAGAAGAGTATAGTCTGATTGATACTTGAACTGGGAAATAAATAAGTATGACAATATGTGTATGTATTTTAAAGGTTTTGTCCTCCTTTTGCAGTTCAATGTTTATTGGCCAATAAATCTCCACAAGGGCTCAGCTATGTGCACAAATGTTTTGCAGTATTGTTCTGTATTGATCTTGACTCTGCCTGTGTGTGTGGGTGTGTCGTAGTTATTGGTAGCATTTGGTGCATTTTTTTGTTCCTTTCAGTTATGTGCAGTCTGGCCAACTGGAGATTGTTACGGGTGGCTGGGTGATGAACGACGAAGCTAACACGCATGTGTTTGCAATGGTGGAACAGATGGTCGAAGGACACCAGTGGGTGGAGCGAAACCTAGGTAATGTAGACCATGCAAGCTAGGAATTTGTCTTTGTGTTAGTGTTGTTTGATATGTGGGTATTAGTGTGTTTTTGCATATGTGTACTTTAAGATATGTGTTCCACGTTCAATCACGGGCCGAGGAGTAGCCGGCACCTTACTTGTGTGCTGACATCTTCTTATATATCATATCAATCAATGATACATTCAGTGTTACACAGTGAATACTATGACCTTATACTGACAAGGATACTGACAAGGTGTACTAAGCATTGCCTTATGGATTCATAGGGTTCTTATTTCGACTCGCTTGAAATGCAGGGATTCGTCCAAAGAACGGCTGGGCCATTGACCCCTTCGGCCTGTCCTCCACAATGCCATACCTTCTTAAGCGAATGGGTTTTGCCAACATGGTGGTGCAGAGGGTCCACTACTCGATCAAGAAGTACATGGCTCGGGAAAAGGCTCTCGAGTTCATTTGGCGTCAGCCTTGGGGTGTGTGCACTTTCTGTTGTAATTATCTTGGAAAAAGGATTGCTTCTACTTAGCGTGCCTAAGGATTGCTTCTACTTAGCGTGCCTGTGGCATTGATCTTTTCAAGCAATGAGTGGTACTTTGCAGCACTTGTTCTTTGTAAGGACATTTCTCTCTGTTAATTTATTCGATTTGGCATCCTGATGACACACTTTGTTTCCTAGGCGTTGTTCATTATAAATCAAGCGTAAACAACATGGGAGTTGGGACTTGCATAATGCGCTAGCACATACAGTTTGATCCAGACCCCGTAAAAATGGTTTTTATTTACGTGGATACCTTACGTAAGGTATTTTGTAAGGTATTTATTCTCCCCCCCCTCAGAAAAGATATTTTTAACATTAGTGTGTTGCATCGACGTCCTTTAATTTTGTGCTATGGAAAACAGCAAACGTACGAACTATAACTCGACAAATGCTATGAACTATACAAGTAGTGAGATTCTGAGCTCTTTTAAATCTTTAAATGGTTCTGACTGCTGGGGCTAGGCCAGGGTGAAAACCCATACTGCCTGAAGCTTTTCTACTGGCCTTTTATTCTTAAAGATCAAGGCAGCTTAAGTCAGTTTATTCTTATATTTTTGCCTTTTGCACTCCTTAGCAGTATTGACAATTTGATCAGTAAAGGCATCAGTGAAGTTGCACAAGTAGGAATTGGGTAGTTTTCTCTCTCTTCTTTCTTATCACCAAACCTAAAGAGAAATCTTTATAGTCTACTGTTCATTTCACTAATTGTTTGGGTTTTTTTTACAGTTAGCTTCAGAACTGTGCCATCTAATGCCACACCATCTGGCAATTGTTTAGTCGAGGGGGCAGTTATACAGTTGAATGCAGCTCGTGCATGTAGCCTTGCCACCTCCCTGTATTTTTCATTCATCTGCGCGATCGTGTAATAGTATGCCAAGCTGTGGTGAAATGACTGGCCCCTGTGCAATGCTGTTTTCCCTTCATTGTGGCTGCAGATCAAAATAAGACAACAGACATCCTGTGCCACATGATGCCGTTCTACAGCTACGATGTCCCACATACGTGTGGACCGGACCCCAAGATCTGCTGCCAGTTTGACTTCAAGCGGCTTCCAGGCAACAAGATAAACTGTCCTTGGAAAGTGCCTCCGGTGTCGATCACCGACCACAATGTAGCCGATCGGTGAGCTCCTTGTGTTTTTTGCTTGTTTCTCCTTGGTTGTATATTATGTTTTTGCTCTGTCTACGAGCCTTCGTGTGATCATGTACTATTGACTGCGTAAAAGGCGACAACCGCAGCAGAAAGGCATTTTAATGGCACTCACCATGATGGCTTTGAAACTACGGCATTACGCTAAGTTGAGAGTCACAGTTTTCATCACAGTCGTGGTGGTTACATTTCGTTGGGCACGAAACACAAAAGCGCTCATGTTCTTCGATTTAGGTGCTAGTCAAAGAAGCCCAAGTGGTCAAAATAATAAAGTTGTCATGCCTCGAAATTATATTGTAGTCTCAGCACGTAAAACCTCTGGATTTTATTTTAATGATCAACCTTCACAGTTTTCTGCATTACTTAACCCTTGCAGACATTTGAGCGAAAGGTTTCGTGTGTGGAGTTTCTGATGTAGACTCCAAGCTGTGGCTTTTTAGTAGTTATGGAGCCCTGTGCTAAAATTGTTGAGGTTAGTGTATTGTAACTTAGCTTCTAGATAATGTTTGTGTTGCCATTCTGCACTGAAGTTGTCATTCACTGGTCAAGGTAATGAATGGAACGCATTTTTTAAAATGTACTGCAACATTTCCACTAGGTATGTATCGTGGGCATAGGTAAGTACCCTCTCGTAATCCTTCACCATTGCTCTCCCCTTCCACCAGCCACGAAGTGACACTGATTTGCACTTCCCTACATAAAATCCTGCCTACAACAATGGTGTGTACTATGTACAACAAAATACCCCACATCACAGAATATATGATGTGGGGTGTATTGTTGGTTTTCACACACTGCAGCTCTAATTTGACTGATAGCTATCATATCTGCAATTGCTCAAAAGTATGCAATACCAAGAATTCCTTGGATACTCCTTTTCAATGCAATCACTTGGGCAATAGCGTACGGTCGCTTGCCAAAGTTGTGGTATGAACTTATAGAACTTGTGTGAATACAGTATTACTGTTGACTCTCAGTAAACGGAATCGCTATCTAAATGAAACAGCTGCCTCTAATGTAATTGGTTTCGTACTTGAATTATGCATCCCTACTTATCTCTCTGAAAACAAAAATCCTGTTAAACGGAACATATTATCCTGGTGCCTCGAGGTTTTTTTTTCTATGAGTCTACCGTATTTATTGAGTAGCCTTTAACAAGACCTTCAAAGTTTTCAATGTGCATTAACACATCACTTTTGGGGTTTTCTGAGCACTTTACAAGAGTTCATACTTCTGTTAATCAAAATTGTAGCATAGTTGTATCAAAATGCAATCAAATGTATACCTGGAAAATAGAAATGACAAAAGCATTGTCTTACTGTATCAAAATTCTCTTCATTGGGATGTACAAGGATGTTTATTCCAACATTGTATAGGAATGTATAAACTTGATAGAATGCAAAAAGTATCGACAGGCTCCGGTGCATATTAAACTTCAAAGGACTCATAGTGGTCTGAAATAGTCTTTAGTTTGTCATTGCCTGTTGCGTCTTGTTTTAACGTATGCCTTTGTGATGTAGTACAACATTGACACTTCGACAACCTGAAAGCTTTTGAACAATCTCAAGGGAAAAACTGGCTGCTCTGTGTTTTATGTCCAAGTTTCTCTTCAGAAGGCATGAATTTAATTATGAAATAATTGACTGTCGGAAGTGGCAGTGTATCGAAGAAGTTTTATGGAGTAGATGTAATAAATGGTCATTTCAATCGTGCGGTGTCTCTCTGCCCAACAGAGCCATGCTGCTTCTGGACCAGTACCGCAAGAAATCTCTACTCTTTCGCTCGCACGTCGTGCTGGTGCCGCTTGGAGACGACTTCAGATACGACAAACCTTCGGAATGGGACAACCAGTTCAACAACTACCAGAAGCTCTTCGACTACATCAATGCCAACGAACGTCTGCACGCTGAGGTATTAGCCAATTGTTGCTGCTTTGAGCAATCAAGAGTTTGATTCAATGTTGGATAACAGCAGAATAGAAGGAAAGCTACATATTACACCAAAAGTTGATGGAATAGATTGCCGAGAATGGTTTTGAATTGTAATGTGTGTTAGATATTGAAAACGATGGTAAGATGTTTTGTTTGAGACGAGGGACTCGAAGTGAGATAGTTCAGTTGTTTTTAGCTAGTTAACCATAAAGGGGCCGTTTCTTTCTAGCTGATTGAACTGACGTTAGAAATGTTGTGTGACAGAAGCATAGTTGTTCATTTGTTATCATGTGTCTGTGTACATATGTACATCTGTTCACTATAATTTTAAAAAATGCCTTTTGGCGAACTTGGCCTGGAAAGAGATTCGTAAAGTGGTGAAATGCCTATTACAAGGCAACTTTGGAGGCCTACTCTTGGGCCGATTGATGCAGGACAGTCACTATATTAACAAAGATTGCATGTGCCATGCAGAGAGATTAAATATCCCTGGGCATTGATAATGAGGTTTCTCGGTCGCCTTTTGATACATATTTGCACTCGATATTTTAGGGGGTGGTGACACAGTATATCTGTACTTAAGCACTGCAGGTTTCCTGTACTTGCACGCTGGTTAAGTTTAACTGTTTGGATGTCATTCAATCAATTGTGTGCATTATGTAGAGGTGAAAAAGAGGCAGTATGTGATTTAATTTTCTGTATTTCTATTTGTGTAAAGAGGTTTATTGGGTGAACTTTAACGGGCAGGTGGAAGATGGTAAAGCTCAAGCGCCGATCTCGTCGTGCCTTTCTCTGTGATGATGCTTGTTGTTCTTTAGTGTTGTCATCATTCCTTCATTATAATTGCCCCCGTCGAGAAAGATGAAGCCATCCTGGCGATCTAACAGGTGGGAACGAGCGGGTCGAAGTATTGCTTCAAGCGGTCCACGTGAACAATATCGTGTCCACGCCAACGATGGTCACCGAGCGGCTTAAGCAGTTCAATGGCGTAATTGACGGGTGATGTACGCTCTACCGCGCGGTATGAACCATGGTAATTCGAAAGTAGCGTGGTAGACAAACCAGGCGCACAGGGTGGTACATACTGCCATATAAGGGTTCCAGGGGCGACCTCTGCGGCAGGAGGGTGGTCGTCATCGCGGGCCTTTTTCTGGCGTTGCTGGTCACCCGTAGTAAACTGCTTCGCTAGTTGGCGGCATTCTTCGGCGTGACAGGCGGCTTCGGACACGGTTGTGCACTCAGATGCATCTGGTGTGTATGACAGCAAAGTGTAAATTGTGTGCGATGGTTGTAGTCCGTATAGAAGGAAGAATGGGGAAAAGCCAGTGGTGACTTGGGTAGCGGTGTTGTACGCATAGGTCGCAAACGGAAGAACCAGGTTCCAGTTCATTCGGTCAGATGCCACGTGCGTCGCGAGCATGTCACCCAGGGTTCGAAATAAACCGCTCAGTCAGGCCATTCGTCTGAGGGTGGTAAGGAGTACTCATCCGGTGTACAATATGGCACTGGCGAAGAAGTGCTTGGATTACGTCGGATAGAAATACACGGCCCCGGTCACCGAGGAGTTCGCGAGGAGGGCCATGATGCAGCACAAATTGATGAAGGCTGAAAGCTGCGACGTCCTGAGCGGTCGCCGTAGGAAGAGCAGGGGTTTCGGCGTATTGTGTCAGGTGATCTACAGCAACGATAGCCCACCGGTTACCTGCTGTGGTCAATGGCAGTGGTCCATAAACGACAATTCCGACGCGATCGAAGGGGTAGTCGGGGCACGCAAGCGGCAGCAGTGGAGCTGATCCTGGATTTGGTGGCTGTTTCCGTTGCTGACACTCGTGGCAGCCGCGAATAAACTGTCGAACAAAAGTAAACATCTCACGCCTGTAGTACCGCTTTCTTAAACGTTCGTAGGTCTTGAAGACACCAGCGTGAGCGCATTGCGTGTCGGAGTGAAATGATGCACGGATTGTAGAGCGCAGATTTTGAGGAATAATGAGCAGCCACTTCCTGTTGTCTGGTGAGTAATTGCGCTGGTACAAGAGGCCACCTCAAATGGTGAAGTGGGAAGCCTGGCGTCGCATTGCTCGAGTGCTTGGAAGTGGCGGTACCTCAGATAAAACGTCCAGAAGCGAAGTTATGCATGGATCGTCGCTCTGTGCAAAGGACATTGTGTCGATGTCAAGAGCTGACAGCGCATGTTCTATAGAAGATACCGTAAAAACCCGCGTATAGTTCGGACCCGCGTATAGTTCGAGGTGTAACTCGGGGATAGCAAACGCGAGAAAAAACATTTTCACGCGAATATTGTTCGAGGAAAACAAAAAAAATGCATTTATTTACACACTTGCATGCACTCGTTCCACGTTTGGAAATGCTCCATTTTTCGGTCCCCGGAAACTTTTTCTCTTGCCGCAGCATGCAAAAAGGGCTTCCTTCTGCTTCCGCCAACCGCGAATGCTCCGCTCATTCACGCCGAACTGCCGCTCCGCGGCACAGTTGCCGATGGTTTCAGCAGCAGAAATAACTTTCCTCTTAAAGGCAGCCGAGTACTGCCTGCGCGGTCCCGACATGGCTTAAAATCACGTAAAATCGTGGCCGTCGTGATGTGCGCCAAGTGATTGCAATGGCCACTGTTGCTCGCCTGATGCACGCCTGTACCTGTAGGTCTCTAGGACTAACTCCGCTCACGCTACCACGCCACCTAACGTAGAAGTGCGCAGACACCTGATAATGATGATAGCACCAACCAATGCCGAAACCAAAACTGAATTCGGGCCGAAACTTTTTTGGCATCCGCATATAGTACGGGGCTGAAATTTCGCACCCTAAATTTTAGAAAAAAACCCCGGGCTATACGCGGGTTTTTACGGTATAGAGGCAACCTAAGTGGACAGTGGTGATCGCGAGAGTGCATCAGCATTGGCATGTTGGTGGCGGGAATGATAGACGACGCGGATGTCATACTCTTGAACTCGCTGAGCCCAACGAGCAAGGCGACCTGATGGATCCTTCAGCGACGACAACCAACATAAGGCATGATGGTCTGTAACTACAGCAAAAGTGCGGCCATATAAGTATGGGCGAAACTTGACAATCGCCCAAAGTATGGGTAAGCACTCTTTTTCGGTAACACTGTAGTTTACCTCAGCCTTGTTGAGCGTTCTGCTGGCGTAGGCGACGGCATACTCAGGGGATCCAGGCTTGCGTTGAGCGAGAACTGCATCAAGACCGACACCGCTGGCGTCTGTATGGAGCTCAGTTGCAGCCATGAGATCATAGTGGCGCAATATAGGCGGCAATGTCAGGAGACGGCGAAGAGTGATAAATGCGTGATCACACTCGGAAGACCATGACGAGATGTCGTTCGCGCTGCTTTAAAGTTGGGTCAAAGGGGCAATTATGGAGGCAAAGTTGCGCAAAAATCGACAGAAGTAGGAGCAGAATCCCACGAAGCTGCGTAACTGTTTTACTGTCGTCAATTTGGGGAATTCAGCTACAGCGCGTAGTTTAGCCAGGTCGGGAAGAACCGCATCCTTTAATACGACGTGACTGAGAATGGTGAACTTTCGAGCAGCGAAGTGGCAGTTCTTGCGATTCAGTGGGAGCAGCGCATTCTTCAGACATGTGAGGACATGTTTCAGGCGTACAAGATGTGTTACGAAATCAAGTGCAAAGATGACGATATCGTCGAAGTAGCAGAAGCATATGTTCCATTTCAAACCCTGCAGAACCGAGTCCGTCATGCGCTATAATGTGGCCGGCGCATTGCAGAGGCCGAAAGGCATGACATTGAACACATATAGCCCATCCGGTGTCACGAAGGCTGTTTTCGGACGATCAGCATCTGCTAAGGGCTCCTGCCAATACTCAGAACGCAAATCTAATGACGAAAAAACTCGACACCTTGTAAGCGATCAAGGGCGTCGTCAATCCTGGGCAAAGGGTATACGTCATTGCGAGTGATCTTATTAAAGCGCCTGTAATCAACACAGAAGCTAATTGTACCATCCTTCTTCTTAATAAGAACGACAGGGGATGCCCATGTACTTTGGGAAGGTCGGATAACGTCACGCTTGAGAATATTGTCAACCTGTTAGGTGGTAACCTGACATTCCACGGCGGAAACACGGTATGGTCGCTGTCATACTGGCGCGTTGGAACCTGTGTTGATGCAGTGAAAAAAACTTGGATTTCGGCCAAGGGTAGGTTGAGCAACGTCAAAGGATTCACGGAACTGATAGAGCAGCTGAAGTAGCTCAGAGCGTTCAGATGGCGATAGTCCGTCGGCGATCGTTTAATTGAAAAGCTCAGAACGTGGTACATTGGAAGGGTTTAGGACACTGATGGCGTCGTAGTCGCTGGAACAATCTGGCGGCATGATAAAAGTTTGTTCTTTATCAATGCAATGCACGTGCCCAAGAGATTCACCTTGAAACAGTTGAACGGGATACGGAAGGGGATTTATGAGGATTTATGAAATGGAGAGGGTCGAATAAGGCAGAGGAAGTGATCTTCGACTAAGGAAGAGGCTTGATGGTTCAAAGAGTGCCGTCTATAATGCCGTCACAGAACACGGGGAGCAGCGTAGCTGCTGTCGGAGGAATTTCAGTGCCTTCTTTGACGACGAGTTTGTGTACGGCGGACTGAATGCGGTCAGTTGGTTGGTCGTAAAACGGGAAGAGTTCAAGTTTCGATCGTGCACAGTCAATAACGGCATGGTTGTGCGATAAAAAATTCCATCCAAGTATGATGTCGTGTCAGCATGACAAAAGGACAATGAACTCAACAGTGTAGTGGTCCTTCGCCATGATCAGTCGGACAGTACAGGCGGCTACAGGCTGAACCGGGTCCCCATTCGCTGTTTGTAAGGACATCATATCAAGAGGCGTAGTCACTTTTCGGTGCTTGCAGCATAGTTTAGCGTCTATTACGGAAACGGCAGCACCGGTATCAACCAGAGCATATGCTCGAGTACTTTCTACAAAAACTTCGACAATATTCGACGGCAATGTCCGAGGACTTGAGCATTTCAACAGCGCAGTTCTTGCCCCCTGAACTGCGGCGGTTAGTGTCCCTCGTGTTCAGGAGCTGGCCGACGATGCATGGGTGACAGGGAGCGACGACGGGGTGAAGGTGAGCAACCAGACATAGTACGCGGACATTCCCGTGAAGACGAGCTTGACTGAGGATCCAAATTTTCCACACGAGATGGAGGGAGGTCCATGAAGCTGTTCTGTGTCTTAGGCATCTGTGTATCCGGGCACGCGACGACAGCAGTATCGGGCGATACAACCAGGATCGCCGTACGCAAAACAGATGGGCCGGTTATCGCTTGTTCTCCAAGTATTGGTGATAAGGGGAGCAGCCCATGCGGCGGACGGGTGAGTTGAGGCTGTTGTAGCAATGGGAGGAGCCCAGGCAGTGGACGGCTGAGTCGAGGCTGAGGTATGCGGCAGTCCCTGGAACTGCGGGGGCTGGTGTAGCTGCTGCCGCTTTAGTGCCTCAGCGTAAGTAAGAGGCGCGGTGACGGGGGGCTGCTGCAAGGGCACCGGCATAGCCTCGGAAATCTGCTCCTGGACCACATGTCGGAGCATGGGAGTCAATGGTGGTGGCTGTCGCAGTGGCTGTTGCTGCGAGAGCTCCTGGCGTTGAGCAAAAGGCAGTAGAGAAAGCTGCCGAGCCACTTCCCCTCGCACGAAGTCTTTCATTTGTGCGAGAAGGTTTGCCTGGTCAGTCATGATGTCCAGTGCGGTCACTGGTTGGATTGTCTGGAATAAGCATCGCGTCTGAGCTCGTTGCCTCCGCAATTCGTCATAGCCCTGACAGAAACTGAGGGGTAATTCTAGACGCCTAAAGCACCACAGGAAGAAAATAATAACAGAGAAGAGCCCTGACAGAAAGTCACTACTTCGGCCACAGTGCTAGAAGACTTCGCGAGAAGCATCTGGAAAACGTCATCGTTGACGCCCTTCATAATGTGCTCTTTCTTTGCACTCTTGCTCATGGAAGCATCGACGCGCCAGCAGACATCGATCACATTTTTTATATATGAGGTGAAAGTTTCACCTGACTCCTGTGCTCGTGTGTGCAGACGTTGTTCGGCGCTTAGCTTCCGTAAGGCAGGGCAACCAAAAACGGCACGTATCGCCTTCTTGAAGGCAGACCAGTTCGCGAACTCAGTTTCGTGGTTCGTATATCACAGCTTGGCCATGTTGGTAAGATAAAAATTGACAGTGCCCAAATTAGCAGCGTCATCCCACCTGTTGGGTCCACCGACTTTTTTGTATGACAACAGCCAGTCCTCGACATCCTGGTCTTCGGTGCCCGCAAACATCGGGGGGGTCTCGCTGGTGAACCGGGCCGGGGCAAGTAGCGGCCGCGATAGGCACTGTTTGCTGGGCAGCGTCAACTTGCATGGTCGACAACAGGGTGTGGGATCGGAGTTCCAGGGTGTATGCGTTGTGGTTACCCAGCACGATCCACCAAATGTAAAGAGGTTTATTGGGCGAACCTAACGGCAGGTGGAAGATTCGAGATAGCCGCAGGACGAGAAAGATGGTGGAGCTCGAGCACCGATCTCGTGGTGCCTTTCTCTGCGATGATGCTTGTTGTTCCCTGTTGTTGTCATCATTCCTTCATTATATTTGTATCGTCTTTTTTTTATGTTCGGTTCTAGTGTTTTGCAGTGTCATTGCAGATTTTTGCTATCGGGGCTACTATGTTATCCCATACGAGAAGTTCTCAGCATGCACACTAAAAACCTACACCTACGAACTCCCCCAGTTTTCTATGCTACATTTAAACATGTTGTCTACTTATATTGTCCAACTACGTTCAATTATGTTACTTTATTAATTTGTTACGTAGTTAAGTTAAAGTGCAGAGCACTGCGTAAACTTACGTAATGTAAATAACTCTCTGCCACGCCAAGGTACCATATTGCACAGTTGAAAATCAACTTGATTGCAGGTCGATCCCTGTCAGTACCGAAAATAGCATGGCAAAAACAATATTAAATCAATAAATGAATAATCCGTGAGCACATTGATGGGAAACTTATTTGCGTAGGCACTGGACTGACAACACATTAACCGACTCTGTAGTTCAAGTCGCCACTTGTCCTTCCCCACATTTCTCTGTCCTGTTCTCATAAAAAGTCACGCTAAAGAACTATTGGTTGTATTGTATCTCCACTAGCTCTGCAATGTGTTTCGTAAAGTGAAAACAAATGTGAATTCTGGTGTGCAAAGATGGCTTCGCTGCAGTGCTTCACAGCTATGTAGAGAAGCTAACTTTGTGGCAATATGTGGGGATCATATTTTTTTGTATATTTTCTGTGAATCCTTGCTGAGAGTGCAGGTTATGCGCCATAAAATATGGTATATGTTACAGGTAGATCCGAGACACAAACACAATGTCGTAAGCATGCCACAGCGTCCCCGATTGCTTTTTCCCGTCGTGACTGGTGGTACTGGCTTCGATTGCTAGTCGCCCTCCGTTAATTTAGAGTTTAACATTCAAGTAAAATGGGTCGAACTACAATTGTGTAAATATAGTAGCTGCGGTCTTGGGCAGGCTTGATGAAGCTGCCAATGCAAGGACATTGTTTGCATATTAACAGGTCCAGTTTGGCACCCTTGAAGACTACTTCACCGCACTACGTGCCGAAAGCACTGTGGACAGCAGCAACATGCCGATAGGTTTCCCGTCACTAAGCGGGGATTTCTTCACCTACGCCGATCGTGACGACAACTACTGGAGCGGGTATTACACGTCTCGACCCTTTTACAAGAACATGGACCGCATCGTAGAGGCACACCTTAGGTGAGCTTTCAAAAAATTATTTTGAGCGCAAACACACTACACATTCATGCACGCACACACACCCAGGCATCAAGCTACTTAGGGTTTCCCATAATTTTGTGCAAAGTCAAATGAATTTGTGAAGCAGCTTACATAAAAACGTATGTATGAAACCTCGCTTCCTGCCATTCATAGGGTTCACTATGTTGCCTACACAAAGTCTAAAATGCTTTCATGTGCTGTTTATTGGTACATCTGCTGCATATTTATAGTTCTGGTACGTTTTTTTTCTATTATAATGGTGAAAATTGCATCCAGAGGAAAACATGAATGAGCTTAAATGATTGAAATCAAAAGGTTTCGCGAAAATAAGAAGTTCGCTAGCGAGGGCATTGGGACCTCGTGCCCGCCCCATGCCTTCACTTGTGAACGTGTCGTATTTTCGCGCAACATTTTGATTTCAAGAATGTTGAACAAACTAGGCAAATTAATGGGGTTTACTATAGCTTAAATGAGCATAAGATGGTTCTGAAGAAAATTAGATTTTTATGCTCTATAATAAAATCAAACGGAAAACTTGTGAACAAACGTCATTTGTACTTGCTATAGAGTCGATGTGCCTTATTTATACTTGGTTTGCTAATGAAAGCTTATTTGTGCTGAATGTCGTCGCATAAGCGGCAATTTCATGCACGCTCGAGATTTTGCTGTGTCATTTTTGCCTTTTTCTACAGGGGCGCTGAGATCATGTTCTCTCTTGTCTGGGCACGGATGGGTTACATTTCCAATGACTACATGCCGCTAGTTAACAGCATGATGAACAGCCTGGTCTATGCTCGCCAAAACCTAGGCCTGTTTCAGCACCATGATGGCATCACTGGCACCGCCAAGACCCCCGTCGTTGTCGACTATGCACTCAGGTGAGACTAAGTGGCTCCATTCCTTACTCACTCTTGAAGGTCCATTTTAAAAATGTAGTAATTTGTTTTAGTGTGGGAGCAATGACGCATTGACAAACAGTTATGACTCGCCTAAAGCGCTTGTGAGTTTCCCTACACGTTCACTTAATTCACTATAACATGGAAGCCTTAATGTTTTTCCCGGTCTGCACTCAAAGCCCATTATAACAACCATCGTGGGCAGCACACGAAATTAAAACACACAAGGAAACGAAACAGGAGAAGCACTTGTCCTGTTTCCTACTCTTGTGTGTTTTAATCTTGTGCGCTGCCCACGATGGCTAAGTTCCAAGTCGCCTGCCTTTCAGTTTTACTACAGTCCATTATAACTAAGTTGCATCTTGCAAGAAAACAAGCACGTTATATCTAAAAATTCGTTATAAAGGTTATTTCTAACACTATTGCAAGACTATTGTTCGTTTACTTTGTTTTAATTTATATTTTGTTTTATTGAGGTTTGAGTGTACTGTAGTACACCTGATGTTATTTCTAACACTATCTATTCCAAGGCTATTGTTTGTTTACTTTGTTTTAGTTTATATCTTGTTGTATTGAGGTTTGAGTGTACTGTAGTTATCCCTGAAGCTGTGTACACTTGATGTGACTGTGCACTGCCTTTATGATTAGTGGCATCGCAAGGTTTTTGAACCTCACTTACAATAATTATTGGCATAATCATGTGACGTCGCATTATGTGCAGTCTCACTGATGTCTCTAAAATATCAGAAGGAGTCATTTTCGCATAACTTTATTGGCACCGATGGTCACTCTTCTTGTTGGATGTAGAAACTAAAGCTTCTGCCTTAATAAACCACAGCAATTGGCTGTGGCTGCTTTTTATTCCATTTGGTGACGACATAAGCTGTGACCACTATGTTGCCAACATCATGAACTACAATCGTTGCATGCGCAATGGCTGTAGTGTGCGAACCTAACAAATTTCGGGCAATAGATTTGCATCCAATCCTTTTATCCCCCTTGTAATTTAGTATGGACTTTGTCAAATGTGTGCATTTGTATGCAGAGTGACTGAAGAACAAATATATTTTGAACTAGATTATGGAATAAGTCAAAGTACCGAACATGCAGGAAAGGCTTGAAAGTATAAATAAATGGTCTGATAATGTAGTAATCACAAAAGTTATGTTGGCAGAAAGCAGTGTCAATAGGCCAATTATGGCAGGAGGAAATGGCAGGAGAAGCCTATGGAACATTATTGGACATTGAAGAATGATGTAAAAGAGCCATTAAGTGAAATAATATGAAAGAGCAGTTAAGTGATTGTTGACTAAAAGGTGGTAATGGTATGAACAGTTCAGAAACAGACACCTTGTGAATTAGGAAAAAGCAGAGCTGAGAGAAGAGGGAACATATTTGTGTACTGAAGCTTCAGAAGATCAGGGATGGCTAAACATTTCTCTGTGCTTGTTCATTTCTTTTGGTTCGTGAACAGCACTCAACATGTGATCATAGATTACCTTAGTTCGGAAGCAGTGTTACGCCTCTTTCTATGGACTTCAGATTCCATGCACGTAAATTGTTTCCTATTTATATTACCCATTTATAATACTGTCTATTAATTTATTTTCTTTATTATTTTTATTATTTATGCATTCACTTTTCTTTGTAGGTTATTCAAATCCCTGCAGAACCTGAGGGATATTATCACCAAGGGTGCACTGTATATGCTTCTCAATGCACCTTCACAAGGTGGTATTGAAGACGACCTCTTTGTCCTCCAGATGGTAAGAAGTGTGTCTTCATGTCTTGAACGTTTTATAGTGAAGCCTTCGAACAGTGGGTCGTCCTCTCCAGCGCCTTCTAGTTGGTCGCCCTCTTCGGAAAAAAAGCAGCTCGTGCAGGGAGTCGGTCCCCGCATTGACTGTCGCTGTCGTGCACCATCGCCGAGTGTCCACCGATAAACGTCTCAACAGTTTAAAGAGGGTTGCGGAAATTGAGCTTGATGTAGTGGCTTCAATACCCAGTTATACCACGATGGGTGCATTCTGGTAGGAACCAATGCTAAAACACTCCCGCTTTATTATCTGCAAGGGAACAGTGAACAAATGTGGCTAAAAACGAGGAACACATTTGTACCAGCTGGCCTTTCCAGACACCCTTTTGCAATTTATGATCTGGCCCCACATCATGTAGTTGAACTTGATGTAGAGCCCTGCTCACTGCACCATCTCATGTTGCTCATGTACTGCTTCAGTGTCAAGCACTATGACTTGATTTCATTTTATTTAGCTCGTGTCTCAGTAGAACAGATCGCTGGGCGAGTTGGTATGTGTGCATATTATAACTTCTTAGCACGCACAAAAAACAGGACAAGAAAGAGACAATAGTAGCGCTCGTCTGTCTCTTTCTTGTCATGTTTTTTCTGTGCGCTAAAAAGTTATAATGTAGCTTGTGTCTGCTTGAAAATGGACTTATTACGAAGTCAATTGGAACTATGCAGACCTACACCTGTTCTGTTCATTTCATATCCTTTATTCTCTATATTTCTTGTTGTGCTACCATGCATTCTTTATTTAATAATTGTCACAGAAGATAATAACGCTTGAAAGTGCAACACACCCAGGACATGTCCGTTCATATTTACATGTCAGAGTCTGCTGTATTGGTCTTTCATTGTTTTCTTCTTTGTTCTCCTGTGTAGTTTTCTTGTAAATGTGAAAGTTGGTTGAAATACTGAAGTGAAACGTGCCATAACACGGCTGTCGCGCTTTGTTCTAGGACGACGTTCGGGACACTCACGACGGTATGCCGCACAAGCAGCTTCTCTCCTTTACTAGGGAAGGGCGAATTAGGTGAGGCAAGATGTCTGGCATACTTTAGCATCACCCTACAATAACCCTGATTTTTTAGCCGATTTTGAGGCACTGTCTTGCGTATGTTTGTGTTGCAGGTACGTCGTATTTTATAACTCCCTGACTGTGCCAAGAAACGAAATAGTCAGCCTACAAGTGTCAACTGCATCCGTCGTGGTGATTGATGCCAACGGAAGCGTCGTTCCGAGCCAGCTTTCTCCTGTATGGAACAAGGAGGAGCTCATCAGAGGCACATTTGAGGTAAGCAGTGTGGCGGAAACTACCGTAGATAGCAGTTATTAATAGTGGCATGGGGATCTATTATAGTATTTGATATTATGGTTTTAGACGAGGTGATACTGCATGTCGTTTTCATCCACTCAACTTGTGCTTACAAGGTAGATGAGATAGTAACCAGCTACAGTACATGTATATGTATATATTTCACTAGTAAGCCCACAATTGTACTTTATAGCAGGGGTGTGCAAATAGCGAAAATTAGAACCAAATAGAGTACTTATAGAATAATTTTCAAATATTAAGGCAGCTATTTTCAAAACAGTCCTAGAATTCTACAGCTTTTTTTTTTTTTAACTACTATTCATATTCCACAGTTATGTAAACAGAGATAAGCTCGCATGCTGTAGTGGCTAGAGCATTGGAAGTATTTTCTAACTGAGAGCTGAATACAGCAGTTACTTCAGCATTCAAGGTGGTACTTTGTCACCAGCTTTTAATTAAAAACTAGGACCCCTAACTTCTGGAAAGTCATATGATGTGCAAGATGGCTTTAGTTCACTGTAGTGCCCAATCAATCAAGAGGTCGCTCATTTGCTTGCCGAAAACATCTTTTTCTTTTGCACACAAGGAATAATTACAATAATAACAATAGTTATTATCATTAGGGGTGTGGAAATATATTTGCCATGGGCGCTGCCCTATCTAGTTACTCCACTGTTTATATACAAAGGCAAAGCATAACCATGAGTCTATTCTTCAATTCTACATTGAATGGTTACAACAGTGTGTGACCCTGTTCTCTCTACACATGCTTACAACAGTTCAAAAAGCTTGTGATCCGATATCAGACAATAAAGAGAAGACATGTACATAATTTCTTATAGTAAAGATGCTTGCAGTGTTTGATGCCCAACCAGAAACTGGAATATCATTAGCACTGACATGCAGAATTCATTTTCACAAAAATTGAATAACAATTCTTTCAATGTATGAAAGGTACCAATTTTTTTAATGTCTCATGCATTGGTAAATATGCTTGCATGTTAATATTGCTGCTCTCAATGATGTCGTATCTTATATCCCATACATGTCATATTTATATAAATGACATGTCCCATACATGTCATTTATATCCCATACATGTCAACGATGTCATATTTCTTGCACACTGATGATGGGAACTGGATTAAGAATATTATTGTCTATTAGTATTTATTTATTGACAGTGATATTCACGCCAAAAAGTTGCAAAGGTATTGCGTCATTTGAGAAGTCAATCAATGGACTGGGAAGACGAGTGAGCTCGAATCTTGACTTGGACTTTTCACAGAAATCGATCAGTAGGCTTGGAATCATGAGTGAGGAAGTTTACGCACCATCGATTGGGCTTTTGCAGCATTGTAACATAGCAGTTCACAGTGCACAAATTTGAGCACAGTGAATTCTCAGTGGTGGGAGTAGTGCTTTAGTCTACTGAAAGGAACATAGGAAAGCATTTGAAAGCTTCCTACGCTAGATAGTCGTGACTTTTTGGTAGCCCTGTCATAGTATAATTCTGTCCACTCATTTCTGGTCCATACATTTTGGCACCCTTGCAATGTTCACAAGCCGGCAAAAGAACAAAAGTAAAGCATGTATAGTCACTTTGCTAAATGTCATGAGACAGTGTGTGAATAATCACAATATGCGATGGATGAAGGGTTATACGGATATGAAGGTATGATTAGAGCGGATAAAGGTACGGAAACCTTAAAGAATTATCTTGGATTTTCTTCAGTTTTTCATCCAATCCCTGTGCCTCTGTTTGCAGCTGTCCTTTATGGTCGACGTCCCACCCCTTGGCTTGGCCACGTACCGGGTGGAACACATCGAGGGAATCAGCGGCATGGTCTTCCGCGCTTCTGTCACGCTCTACAATGCCGTTTCGGGTCCCGACACATTGTGAGTGAACCTGCCGCGACATTTTTGTCTTGTATGGGCCGCTGCTTGGCCACATGCTAGGCATAACATTCCTTTGCATCCACAAACCTACACGCAATGTACCCTTCTCTGGTGCATGGAGTGCATGCCATGAGAATGCTCATCCTGTACTTTCACCCGAGATCCTTGCCGGCATTAGTGAAAGCCTTCTCTACGTCGTGCCTGCCAAGTAGTGATCTTCGACTTCTTGTACCTCCATGCTTTTCATGCTAGATGCTTTTCATTTTCACTGCAAAATATAGGCCATAAGTGATAAGTGGGACAATAGGTGGCTTGGATGACATTTTTTTGTTAACAACCCATCACTTCATGTTTTTTACGAGTGATCGAGCAGTGTCATTGTTGGAGAAGGCATCGAAAGGCTAGATGCTTAATGAGCTTGATCTTTGCTCTGGAAATCGGTTGGTATGTGGCGCAAGACGTATACCAAGCACTTGTAAATAGGGGTGTGCGAAATGGGGCTGAACTTGCAAATATTTTTCTAGTAGTTGACTATTCAATTTGATTCACACCAGAACTTTATGAAGTATTCAAACTTCTGATAATAAACAATTATTTATAATAACAGGAAAGAAATATAATGAAGATGAATAGCATTGCAGCATGCATGGTCTTGCATTTTGGGGCACTGAAGTGTGGAACTGCCAGCCACATCCACTAATGCTCCAAGCGGTCACTGCGCGACGAGCTTGGTTGAGGGGCGGTGTTGGTCATGGCTTATGCGCAAAATGCCTGTCCATGCTTCTGAGAAGCCACCGGGCGACGCACTTTGTTGCTTCTGCACTTTTGCATGTCCACTAGCGCACTGCTTTTGCCTGCATACTTTGGATTCTTGTACATCAGTGCCGCGAGCAGAGTTAGGCCTTACCACGACTCCAAGCAGTAGCTCAGTCGCGGTATGCATGGTCGTGGTGCTCGATGTTTTAATATACGTCATGCTCGATCACTATACATGAAGTCCGAAGTGGTGAAATGCAGAATGGTGAGTCCGAGATGGTTGTGACGAGCGCAGGTGTCTTATCGTGATCACTCTCATCATTGAGATTGTGCGCTAGGAGCTACGTAACTCGAGTGTCAAGCTAAGTGATCATAAGACAGTGAACACAGATTGAGTGCGAACGTGTCGCTAAGTAGCGTGATTTTTGAGAGCAGGGATCCTAATACTCGCAAGCTGCAGACGACGCTCTCCTGGAAGAAGGGTTGTACCTATTAAGGATGTGCTGGAGCAGCAAGATGGACATAGCCCATCAGAGCCCTCCTCAAAATGAACTTCAGACATTTGCTTTTTGTATGCTTGTTTCTGAATGGGGGACTTAGCTGAAGTGGGAACTTCGAAGACCGAGAAATGCTTTTTTTTGATGGAGCTTGGAATGGCACCTTGTTGCACCATTGTGGAGCTATAATTTTTCTTTTAATGCAATTTTTTGTGATTTTAGGAATAGTTTTGCCATCTCAGCAGGTGCGACATTTTTCACTGCACTTCGACGTAGTTTTCAGTTGGGATATTTTCGGACTGGGAAATGGGCTACAATAAACTGAAAATGCAATTTATTGAGTTCTTCATTAACGTAGCCCAAAGAAACTTTTTCATGTTTTTATCTTCTAATAATATGCTTGGGGATCCTCTGTGACTTTTCTTCTGTAATGTTGCTGTGAAGTATTTGAAAAATATTCCGGTGTGATTCCATTCAGACCCAGACTTTGTTATTCTAATTCGCTTCATGCTCGAAATTTTGCTATTTAAGTCGCTGTACTTACCAGCATCCATTAAATATCTGCGATGACACAGTTTCTATAGTTTTTAATCATATACAAACAATAATATTCAGGTTATGTTGCCCGTACTTTTTTGTGAGTTGCTTTATGTTACTGTTGAAAGCTTAAGCATTCTTATTTTAACATCTTGTGTGTAAAACTAATGTAATCTCCATAGTGTATGTCTTCAGGGCTGTTACAAATGTTGAAGGATTGCTGAAATGGTCATGTGATGGGCTTACTCTGTCAACTGTGTATTGCGGCCAATTTCTTTTCTCTGTCTTTCCTTCTGTTCAGATATTTCCCAATAGCACGTTCAGAATCGAGGGAAGATTTTCGTATACAAACGCCGTATCTAGCAGCCACATTTTCACCCACCACAGGAATGCTAAAGGTATGTCAACTACCTCGCCTGGGAATACCTTTGACTTTTATTGTCCACACTAATTTTTTTTTTCACGCATATAGCCACAATCTTTACAACTAAAATTTTGTATTTTTGGAGTTCATTTGTCGCCAGAGATCAAAAGGCACATTCAGGGAAAATATGCCTGTTTGTCGCAGCTCTTTTTTATGTTGTAGTGATATTCAGTTAGACGGTCGAACCCATATGTGTTAAGCCTACATAAACGAATTATTGTGTGTACTAAAGAGTTGTAAAATCTCCTTGAATTTATTTTCAATATAGAACATTTGTTATAAATTGGATTACCTATATATCTCTAGACTTCTCCTTCAGATCTCCTTCAGGTTCAATATATCCACGTTTGATGGTACGGTATATACACTTGTGTGAATGTACGAGTATTGAGCATAACTTCAGTGATGAATAATTTGTGTGTGGAAGTTGCTACTGCTCAGAACAAAATAGAAAAAGTTGATTACAAGTGTGGCAAGCTCAATGTTCATCATCGAACTATGCATACTTGATAGTGATGCTTACTGTGTTCAATGCCTGCTCACTGCTGAGTTTAGCAGTACTTTAGTGCATTTCTTTATTGTCAACTCTTTCAAATATACAAATGCAATGGCTGTTAAACCTTTTTTTTTTTTTGCAATGCTAATTTATTGTTCGCAATCGGCATGCATGAAAGCATTTTGCAGCAGTGTTGCTTAAATTCACAATTGTGAAGTTTTCATTTAGAAACGCTGGACTGTGATTCAAAGTAGAGTGTAAATTGATATTTTCAATGACATTGATAACTAAACAGTCTTTTTTTTTTTCAGCATGTTCTAGTAAAAGACCAGAATATAAGCTTAGATGTTGAGTCCGTGTTTGTAAAGTATGGCACTCGCCCCAAGAACAAGGATCGCAGTGGAGCCTACCTCTTTCTCCCTGATGATAAGGCCAGGGTAAGCAAAATGTTTGTTTCAAGTCATTTAAAATGCTCGATTGGTAGAAGGCATTGCCAATCTGTATGTTAGTTGTGATTACCTTTATTACTTGTGGAGTGTCATTACTGTTAGCGAACATTACTTGGTCGAATAAGCGTCATTTTCGGATGTAGATGTGGATATGTTGCTGCAAAATTCCCTCAGATTTGCACTTTACGTACTTCCATCTCCATTGTCCCTTCAATACTTCTTAGTTTTCACAAAATTGAGCAGGAAAGAATTTCGCTTATAATGACCACATGTTATCCCTTCTTCTTCTCTGTTACTTATACGCTACAGTAAAACATGCCAAGTAACGTCTTCTATACTTTTCGTTGCTTCAATGTTTATTGGTTTCATTTGGTTATGTCTGACAAAGAAACAAGCCTTTGATCCAGTTCTCTTCGTTCTTAGTTTCTGTGTTTACCTTGAGGCTTGTTGTTGTAGTTTTTGCTGCGGAGCCATGTACAACATGACACCACAAAAAAACTGCTTGTATTCCACCATGTTATCATTTCTTCGAATAAATGCGTCTAGGCAGAGTATTTCCATGATGTTCTCATCGTGACCTTGCATGTACCTTTCTACTTTTCTTCCGCATGTGGCGAAACTTGACCAGTTCTCGGGATTTTTATAGCCAGAAATAGAGACCCTTCATAGGTCACACTTTTTCTCCGCAGTGATAGAGAAAAAAGGGGGCGCTGGATTCTCCTATCATCGCCAAATTGTTTTAGGTGTAGAAAAATGGTTTCACTGCAGCAAGAATTCAGAAGCCTTCCTTTCGTGCCTTCGAAGCTCATGTGTATTGGAAGTACTTTCACCCTGAAAACATAATCTGTGGCAGTGATTGCATGATACAAAGCACAAATAGAATGTGTACTTTCCCTTTTGCCGGTGTTTTTTTTTTCATACACTTTTGCGGCAGCCTGCTGTGTTTATGGATCAATCAATCATTTATCATTGCTAGACTGCAATACCAATACAAAGTGTGATACTGCAGAACGAGGTCTCAAAGTAAGAACTGTGAGGGGTGTCTGTTATGAGATGTATGAAAATTTAGCGCAAATCGCAACTAAGGAAAAAACATCAGGAGAATACAAATCAGCGAAACAGATGTAATGAAGGCATCATGGTTACCGGCTGAAAACGTCTTGTTTTATGTTTTCTTTTAGGAACTGGTCTACGATCCACCTTACATTCGTGTCACTGAAGGCGTGCTCTTTTCTGAAGTCGTGGTGTTCCTGCCGAATGTTGACTTCACCGTCAGGGTCAAGAACTCTCCAGGTCTGTCTCCTGACTTCCGTGTACCTATGTTTTAGTGAATTTTTTGGAGTACCAAACACACTGGCATGTCATTTTTTATAACCCCACATGCAATTCAATGCAGCACATTCCACTTTTTTTTTTTTTGGTCAGTATATCTAACCTGCTTGTGCAAGAAGAGTTGCTCAGTAGAACATGTTAATAATACATGGTAATGATCATAAATATTGTTGCTTCAAAATGGAATATAGAAATAGGACCAAAATAAACAATCGTAAGAAGGCATGCTTGGTTTAGCTTTGTGCAATTTTTTTGCCACACTATTTTTAGAGAAAATATGAAGCACAGCCGAAATTTCAGATTGCAGTTGGGGACACCTTAGTTTCCTGCAATGAAGTTACTTAGCAGTAATTGTAACGCTGTCCTGTATGAAATTTTTTTTCGTGTTATTTTTAATACCTGAACGACTGTGTTAACTGATCTCTTGTGGTGGCATGTGAATGCCTTGAATGGAAAAAGAAGCATTCGAGTTATCAGATTTCAAGGTCAAATTTTGTTTTGAAAAGCAGCTTAGGTGCTATGCTCGAGCGAGGTAATTAAAGAGCAACAAGAATCAAAGGTGCATTCATTTCCACTGCTATATGGTCCGGTGCCGAAATTCTGCGAAAGTCCCCAGTACAATTTTGTGAGGCAATTTACTGTCCATTTATGGTTTTAAAAAAGGTATCTTCAAGTGATAACTTAAGAATATAGAAAAAGGCATTGTTACTGAATGTTTCACAAAAATGAATTATATTTTTACTAAGTCATTACTGCTGCACTGAGAAATAAATACCCTATTTACTCGCGTAATGAATGCACTCTCATAATAAATGCACCCCCAACTTCAGTAGTCAAAATCTGGCTTTTTGTATCTCCTGTGTAATAAAAGCACCCCCTACATTCGTCCGCAGCAGTCCCGCTAACCGACACCTGGCGCTTCTTTGCCCGTTGGTTTCTTTCATTTTTTTATTATTATGCCGACTCCCTTCAGCCGCCTCATCTCGCTCCCTTCCTCTCCCCCTTCGCCTGCTGCCGCGCGCCGTATTGTTATCTCTGTCAGCGTGCAGCATGTCCATTGCCTTTTTCTTTATTATCTGTGCACCACAGCGGGGTTCACGAACGGTGTGAGTGTAAAGACATCACAACTGATTAGCACTCAGCAAGCGAAGGTTAACTGCCCACGCTACCCGGCAGTCGCTTCCTACAAAAACGAAACTTTAAGGCCCAACCTAATGCCCGTGATTTTCAAGCGAGGACAGCAGGATTTGCTGTCGTCATGGCTGTCCCGAAAGGCCAGTCGTCGCCATTGCGTTGCAGGTTTCTGAAAAACCCGGAAAAATCGCTTGATGCCCAGAAAAGATTGTGACGATTTCTGCAACATGGTAGCACCCTCGTTTCTCGCTTGGGTTGCAATTCGCTCTTCATGCTTGTTATCCATGCATACCTCAAGGAACACCTTTTCTACTCTAACAATTCCCTTGTAAACCTCGAATCGACAGTTGTATCTTGTCGTTAATCTTGTGACCGGTGGTTTATCAAGCTTCAGTGGCAGCTTGCTGCAACATCAATGGTGGCGGCGTGGTCGTCATTCGCGGTTGCCATAAAGTCAGCAAAGTTCGTTGTAGTGCACGTTTCTGGGTGTCCCTTGAGATCACTGCAGATACCACTGTTTTGGTTAAGTGAGTACGAGAAAAGAAAGCCGCAAAACGCTTTCATGGAGTGCATGGGCGGCGCAGGGACAGCTTTAATAAGATGGCTCCTTCAGCCATGGTAGAGGAGTGAAGGGCAACAAAGAAACTGTTTCCAAACAGTGTACGTGTTTTTCGAAAGGCTAAGCAACCTAGCTTGTGTTTTTTTTTTTTTTTTCGTGCTCCGGTTTTTCTAGAAAAAAGTGTTCAATACGCGAGTAAATGCGGTATCTCAACAACATTCTAATCTAAAGTATTTCAACATCACAGCAACATGCAAGCGTGTATTGGAGCACAGCAAACGACACATTTTTGATAGTAGATATCATTGACATGTGGTATATGAGGGAAATGGCACAGTGTACATAAGAGCATCTTCGCTCGTAAAAAAAAATTGTGTGCGACACTGTACAGATTAGTGACAGTGGTCGGCTGCAAGTGGATTTTTTTCGCAAATCTCAATGTACCTTGCTAAGTTCTACTAGTAGGTATCAATCAATGAGTAACTTGCCATTAGTAAAAAGTATGGAATTTAAGGCTACAAAATCTGACTGTGCAGCTGTTTGTTCTTTTGTAGGCATCGATGGCATTGGCCTTGACATCAAGAACGTTGTGGACATAAGGAAATCGGTGAACGAGGAATTGGTAATGCGTCTTAAGACGGGTGTCCACAACGTGGGACCCGAGTTCTACACTGATGTCAACGGGCTTCTGGTTTGTGTCTATTCACTTGGTTGTTTTTTACTAAATTCTGTGTGCCTTTTTTTTGTGTTTTGACATAGTCACAGCTTTATGTGCACGAAACCTCATTTGGAGTACACATTCAGTCAAGTACTTAACGCCTGTTTGTTTTTTCTGTTTTTACATCGCTTTATAGGAGGATGCTGGAATCCAAATGATTCATTAATCAGTGTCTTGGCGTTAAGGGATGACACTTGCTCTCCTCATGTGTCTTGATGCGTAGAATTCAAATATTCATTTAGCTTTTCTTTGTATACTTCCTAATTTTTAGTGAATCGCTTTAATTTTCTAAGACGTGTAAACCGTTGCGTATAATACTGCTGAGGGTAATCTTTGTAAGCTATACTACAAACTTTCATATTAGCAGCCTTATAATACTAGTGCATTAACTGACGATTCATGTACCGTGCTGTTCGTGGCTGCAACTAATTATGAACATATCTCTGTCAAACATTTTTGGCTTGCCACATGCAGAGCCTAATATTCCAGGTGATGCTGGAGGGCCGCACAATCCAACACCTGGGTCACTTTTGATGAACAATGATGGTGTTTGATCTGTTACGCTTTTCCTATTAAATATCTCCTTCGCAAGTGTTTCATAGCTGCTCTGTTAGGTTTTCGGGCCTAAATCCTTTATGTCAAAGCTGTTCTGTGGCTCTGCTGTCTTAGTCCAAAGTTCTAAATTTCGTTGCCTTTGATCTTTATCCATTCCCTTTTTTGCAGCGGCTAGTGTACATCCAGTAACAGTTTTGTTTTTATCTTTCCGTTAGATGGCAAGGCGGCACACCCTGGCGAAGCTCACTTCTTAATTTCATCTGCCCACGTAACCTTCTGTCTCCCCGCTTTCCTTCTCTGGGAATCCAGTTAATTACTCTTAATGACCAGCGGTTATCCTGTCTACGCGCTACATGCCCGGCCCATGTCCATTTCCTCTTCTTTATTTCAACTATGATATCCTTAACCCCCGTTTGTCCCCTAATCCACTCCGCTCTCTTCTTGTCTCTCAAGGTTACACCTATCATTTTCTTTCCATTGCTCGCTGCGTCGTCCTCAATTTAAGCTGAACCCTCTTTGTAAGTCTCCAGGTTTCTGCTCCGTAGCTAAGTACCGGCAAGATACAGCTGTTATATACCTTCCTCTTAAGGGATAATGGCAATCTACCTGTCATAATTTGAGAGTGCTTGCCGAATGTGCTCCACCCCATTCTTATTCTTCTAGTTACTTCAATCTCGTGGCTAGGCTCCGCGGTTATTACCTGCCCTAAGTAGACATAGTCTTTTACAATTTCAAGTGCACTATTACCTATCTCGAAGCGCTGCTCCTCTCCGAGGTTGTTGTACATTACTTTCGTTTTCTGCAGATTAATTTTAAGACCCACCTTTCTGCTCTCCCTGTGTAACTCCGTAATCATGAGTTGCAATTCGTCCCCTGAGTTACTCAGCAATGCAATGTCATCGGCGAAGCGCAGGTTACTAAGGTATTCTCCATTAACTCTTATCCCTAACTGTTCCCATTCTAGGCTTCTGAAAACCTCCTGTAAGCACGCGGTAAATAGCATTGGGGAGATTGTGTCCCCCTGCCTTACACCCTTCTTGATTGGTATTCTGTTGCTTTCTTTATGAAGCACTATGGTAGCAGTTGATCCCCTGTAGATTTCTTCCAGAATGTTTATATATACTTCACCTACGCCCTGATTCCTCAGTGTCTGCATGACGGCTGATATTTCTACTGAATCAAACGCCTTCTCGTAATCTATGAAGGCTATGTATAGTCGTTGGTTATACTCTGAGCATTTCTCTATTACCTGATTGATAGGATGAATGTGGTCAATTGTTGAGTAGCCTGTTCTAAATCCTGCTTGTTTCTTTCGTTGATTGAACTCTAATGTTTTCTTTACTCTGTTAGCAATTACCTTTGTAGATAGCTTGTACACTACAGAGAGCAAGCTGATCGGCCTGTAATTCTTCAAGTCCTTGTCATCTCCTTTCTTATGTATTAAGAGGATGTTAGCGTTCTATCCAAGACTCTGGTACTCTTCCCGTCAGGAGACACCTCGTAAACAGGGTGGCTAGTTTTTCTAACACAATCTGTCCTCCATTTTTCAGCAGATCTGATGTTACCTGATCCTCACCAGCAGCTTTGCCTCTTTGCATGCTCTCCAAAGCTTTTCTGACTTCTTCTATCATTACTGGTGGGGTGTCGTCTGGGTTACTGCTAGTTCTTATAGTATTAAGGTCGTGGTTGTCTCGGCTACTGTACAGATCTCTGTAAAACTCCTCCGCTATTTTAACTATCCTATCCATATTGGTAGTTATTTTGCCTTCTTTGTCTCTTAGTGCATACATCCTACTTTTACTTATCCCAAGTTTCCTCTTCACTGCTTTGAAGCTTCCTCCGTTTTTCAGAGCGTATTCAATTCTCTCCATGTTATACCTTCTTACATCGCATACTTTACGTCTATTAATCAACTTCGAAAGCTCTGCCAGTTCTATTTCGTCTGTTGTACTTGACACTTTCATGGTTTGACGCTTCTTAATTAGGTTCTTCGTTTCCTGGGAAAGCTTGCCAGTGTCCTGTCTAACTACCCTGCCTCCAACCTCCACTGCACACTCCGTAATGATACTCGTCAGATTATCATTCATTGTATCTACGCTAAGGTTGGTTTCCTCACTAAGAGCCGAGTACCTGTTCTGCAGTGACACTCTGAATTCCTGTACTTTCCCTTTCAGTGCTAGCTCATTGATTGGCTTCTTGCGTATCAGTTTCTGTCGTTCCTTCTTCAAGTCTAGGCGAATTCGAGACCGTACCATTCTATGGTCACTGCATCGTACCTTGCCAACCACTTCCACATCCTGCACGATTCCTGGGTGTGCTGTCATTATAAAGTCTATTTCGTTCTTATTTTCGCCATTAGAGCTCCTCCATGTCCACTTGCGGTTTTCTCGTTTTCGGTAGAAAGTATTCAAAATCCGCAAATTATTGCGTTCTGCGAATTCTACTAGTAGCTCTTCTCTGGCGTTTCTAGTGCCGATGCCATAATCTCCTACTGCCTGGTCTCCAGCCTGCTTCTTCCCTACCTTTGCATTAAAGTCGCCCATCACTATAGTATACTGTGTTTTTACCTTACTCATTGCCAATTCCACGTCTTCATAGAAGCTTTGAACTGAAGCGTCATCATGGCTGGATGTAGGCGCGTAAGCCTGTACTACCTTCATCTTGTATCTTTTATTCAGTTTAATTACAATACCTACCACTCTTTCATTAATGCTATAGTATTCCTCTATGTTGCCAGCTATGTTTCTGTGAATTAGGAATTCCACTCCCAGTTCTCTTCTGTCTGCCAAGCCCCGATAGCAAAGGACGTGCCCATTCTGTAGCACCGTATAGGCCTCATCTGTCCTCCTAACCTCACTGAGCCCTATTATATCCCATTTAACACCCTCTAGCTCTTCGAATAGTACAGCTAGACTTCCCTCACTAGATAAGGTTCTAGCGTTAAACGTTGCCAAGTTCAGGTTCCAAAGGCGGCCTGTAGTCCAGAGATTCTTAGCACCCTCTGCTGCGTTGCAGATCTGACCGCCGCCGTAGTCAGTTGCTTCGCAGCTGCTGAGGATTGAGGGCCGTGAGTTATTTGGCGTATTCATGTGGGAGGTAGTGGCCAGATACTGCACCAGGGTGGCCATCCTTCTCTGGTGAGGGAGTGCGTTCCCGGCGGTGGTTACCGGTAAGGCCGCACCTCAGGCCCCTTATTGTAGTTCCATCAACACGCGATTTTTATTTTTTTTTTCCCGGTTGGGAACTGCGCGGCACCGGGCACGTGGTCCGACTATTGTTGTTTTCACAGATTCACACTGTTTTCCGTTCCTAAAATTTGAAATTTTCGTTTGTAATAGCAGTATTTGTAGCGGTTGAGCTTCTTGTATCTTCACGAACAAATAGACATCACTCTGACCCTCCTAGGACCAAAATTGCTAAAGTTATAGGTAGATATGTTATAGGTAGATATGTGCAGAGCTCACTTACCCGTGCTGCTGACGCGGCCGCTCCCGCTCCCGCAGTTGGAATAATCTGTGCTTATTGGCTAAGAGGTGGAGGAGCAGTTCCTGTGGGCTTAATTCGCTGTGGAAGCTGTTTCGCCAAACCCAGCTCAATCAGTGACAGCAGTTCGGCAACACTGAGTGTGCCTTCTGAATAAGTCTCTTTTGACGCTCTCAGTTGAATTGGGCGCTCGCGGTTTTTTCTACGGCTATCTCCGGATTTTAACGACTCAATTGAGACCTTATTTGTAGTCCTGGGGTGTGTAAAAGCCGAGATATGACTCGTTGTCCTCAAAGTGGCTTGGTCCCACGCAAGATGGCGGCCCCCATATGGTCATAAGGTGGGAAAAATTGCTTGTGGGTTTGTTTTCGCTGGTCAGAAACTGGTAAGATTGAGCTCAGAGCCCGAAATCCTCCTTCTGCATGATTTAATAATGTTACCAATATTTGTTGTGATCTTTTGCCTTTTCATTCAATCTTTGAGCACGAGGGGGCAGGTTATATAATTATATCATATGTTATATTATATAACGTATTTAATTTATATAATTATATAATATGTAGCACTATCAAATTTTATTATTTTGTAGCTGCGACTGTAGTAGTTTTTATTACATAATGGTTGCAATTTTTAAATGCAGTCAGCATAAAGGGAAATGAGTCAAGTACTCCAAAATGAACACACAAAGAATGTTTTATGCCAGTGGGTTTAAACCAGACATGGTTTTCACTGATTTGCAAGAAATGCTTATGCAATGAAATGTGGCAGGAAGGCATGAGTCTATGCAGATGCAGAAGGCTAGTCCAAAAGTCAATAGAGGCTAGATAGAGGCTATTGGGACCATATCTCTCACAGAGGGAATCGCTTTACCACTGGCAGCATGGCAACCTATTCTTTTTCTTCATATTTATTTATTTATTTATTTGCAGTGTTATGATCTAATACAAGGGTTGCTTCCTAGAAAACATTACAGTATTAAATTGTCTAAATCTGCCAGTTCTTGGTTACTCTGTTACATTTACTTTTGCAACTTTATTTCGGTCACACAGCTGTGATTTTCTGGTATGATACGAGTATTCTGTACTGTCACATCAGTTTACAACATGGCAATTAGTATATCTTAGCCAAGTTATCGTGTAGGAAGCATAAGGTGCATGAAAGGCAAGCATTCAATGCAAGAGGGCACATATGGTAGAAGACCTACACACAATGCAGCTGCGTGCAAAAGCAGACCGCTACCTGGATTGTGAGCGATGGTCATCTTCGTGAAGAAGGATCAGAGGCTTAGTGACGCATTCTCTGAACAATTATCTGTGCCTCTTGTTTGTCAGCATGTGCTTGTACTAGTATGTTCATACGTTCCTCTTATTGAATACTCTAGAGTCATGTTCTGGAGGAGAGAGTTTTACTGCAACATACCTCTTTTTGTAGACACACATAAGCTGGCACTCCACATTTTGCTTGTTTAGGTCTTGTGGACGTGTTTCTGGATCGGCGACTAAACCAGGATGACAAGCGTGGCCTGCAACAGGGCCTCATGGATAACCTCCAGACGCCCAGTCAGTTCCGGCTTCTGGTGGAGAGATTTTCCACCGAATCTCAGGTCAGTGTCTTGCAGCGCTTGAGCAACTCTGGGTTGCCTTTGATGAACAGTTTCTGTACTGTTGCAGAGAAAAGAGGGCAAACAGTGCAAAGCATGGCTTTCGGCATAATCACCAGCACGTCTTCACTGTTTCTACGCAAATCTGTTTTCAGCCAGCATCACCATAGTGCTAGAATTTTGCTTCGGCTGGCACTGTCACACACCATGTGTTCAGAGTGCCAGGCATAACTAGTGGATGATAAAGAGCTGCGGCGAGATTGCGCCAGCCGGAGCAATATTATAGTGCTACGGATGGTGTCGGCTAAAAGCACAGGATTACCAAACTACAGTCGCGGCATATCGGAGTATGACTGTGTCAATAGCCACGCTTTCCTCCGTTCACCTTTCTTCCCATCTCGACAGTACTTTTCCTTACGAGTTCATGTTTTCAAATGTGTCGATAATATTCACGGAATATGTGCACGTAGTTTCTTTTGACGAGTAGTGCACACTGTTTACTATCTTCTGTTACAAGGTGGATCGAATGCACACGGCCACTTTTGGAGCTTGACAGAGCAGACGAGTAGAGGGTATAGCATAGAAGAAAAAAATGACAGACGTTCAATCTATTATTACAGGGAAGCAATGTCCCTAAAAGAGCAGCATAAGGATGTTTGTCCAAGTAGGAAGCGAGTGTCTAATAAGCCTCAGGGGCCAGTAGCTGGGCAGTTAAACCTAGACAAAGTGGTGAGCATCTCAAGGGGAAGAGCAGGCTGCATGTCATGCACACACGCTTTATGCTCATGCATAAAACTTGGAGGGCACTTGAGCATAATCGGACCGTGTTTGTATCGCCTTCCCAGTTGATAGCCTCGCTTCTTCAATAGGACGACGCCTACAAACCAACAAAGGAAGGCCCACCTGTGGGCCCCTTGTGCCGTAGTGGGTTTTCTGTCAAACCGTTGAAGAACCTCCGAGATGTGCGCATGACCAATGCTAAGTGGTGTATACGAATAGCTTGGCGTTAGTATGCTAGAGCAGTGGTTCTCAGCCATGGATGTGTCGGGGACCCCTTGTGGACTGGCAGAAGTGATGTGGGACCCCTTGCAACGGAGGGGAGGGAGGGGAAGTACGTAAGTAAATTAACATAACTGGAGCGTCAAACAAGTGCCTTTTATTGCAACCAAAAGCATCAAACAAACGTGCCACATCATTTCATTTTGGACAGTTCATCAATACGTGGCACAGTCACGCTTAAATAAAAATGTGGGTGAGAGTTCCGCACATCATAGAAATAGCTTGGCAGACCCCCTAAGGTCCACAGACCCCCATTTGAGAACCACTGTGCTAGAGGATTTATGCATGATGACACGTCGGCTAAGTGCACCATGCGATCGAGCAAAGGATCGCAGGTTCAAATTGCCGATCCAGTTTGAACGGAAGATTTTTTATTATTTTTATTTTCGCATGTACCTTGAATTATTGTTCACGGACAGTGCTGACTTTACGCTCGCAAGCAAGAACACCTACAATGCCTATACAGAAATTACTGCAAAACGAGCTCTTTTCACTAATGTGTTAAAACGGTGCATGCTCTTCGACACACCCAAGGGATTTCAATATTCCGACTTTGTGCCAAGTTTAGCATCGGTTTAAATTCATAGAACAGCCATACACATACAATGGCAAAACGTAACAATTAGCAAATCCATTTGATTACTTAGTTGTTGATCCAAAACAACACCTGGCTGTTGTGTGTGTGGTGATTTACCTCTTCTGAGCTAGTCTTATTGCCAGAGCAAGTTCAATGGCACAAGCAGTGATTACTTTTCTGCAATGTAAAATTGTCTCGTTAATAGGCAAAATTTTTTTATTGCATGTCCTTTTCTGTGTATTGTTTCGTGTGTCTATTTTATCTGTCGCATTGTTTCGAAATTCTAGGTTGCTTCACAAAAGAAACCAGTAAGTTGTCATGTGGTACTTTGTTCCCATTACTATTCAAAGCACCGTCTTAGTTACAATTATTATTGACGATAGAAGTATGCTTGCTTTTGGTTTTGTTATAGTGTCCTTCAGATTTTGCATCCACTAGAAGCACTGGTAGAGTACCTTGCTGACTGAGTAGCAATCGTTTTAAAGCTTTTCACAAGTTAAAACACTTTAGGCCGTGTGTTTTGATCCGCTTCGCTACTCATAGCATGTTCCTAAAGTCAAAGCTCATTCAGTAGCTGCAGGGAGAGAGTGCTAACAGTAAAAGAGCTTAGCATGTTAATGTTAACTTGATTCACAAGCGCCATTCAAAGTGTCTTGCTATAGCACAAACAGTCATTATCTGGCTTCCTTGTATTCTTTTTCTTAAAAACTCAGTGTTTGCTCTTTCACAGTCAAGAATTGCTATGTTGCACTAATAACGCACAAAACATTTGTGTTGTGGAAGTACTGGGCTGGCAGGGTTAAAGCAAGAAAAGTCACACAAAATAAATTTCTATTATTATTACACAAGAAAAAAAATGCATTCCAAACAAGATGCAACTGTTTTAACAGGTAACCTTGAAATGTTATACTCTGTCTATATGGCAGTTCGTGAAGCACTCTCAGACTCGAGGTAGAATAGGAGAAAAGTACCCGTGCGGCATTGGCAAGTACCAAACTCAGTGGCAGTGGCAGTAGGAAAGTATACCATGAACTAACGTCTGGAGCCAGGTTAGTGCGATATGTCCGTGCTCCCAAATTGAGCCATGCGTGTCTGGCATTGTGTTTGGAACAGGATCGACGACAGACACGCGTTAGGCTTGGGCCGAAGGCCTTTTTCAGGGCTCACAAGCAAGGAGGCGGCAAGAAAAGACGCAAGTTCAATAAGCGTCTGTCACACCGGTCCCGTTAATTTGGGAAGGCGATCGCCGGGCTAATTCCAAGAGCCGAACTATCGGCCCCCCGAACCGCACCACGAAAGCGTGGACAATTTAGAAGTGGTCCTTTTTGGCGCGCCAGCGGACGCCGGCTGTGGCCCAAAGAACAAGTCAGAGCCGAGAGTTGATAAACAAAACAAATTATATTCTCAATAATGGCAGATCGAAAATAATACACAAAAATGCACACTCCACACTGAGTACATACAATATGTCACCAATCAAACCAATCAATCAATGTACTACACAATACAATCAGCCACACTTGAAACAACGGACACAGACAACGATACGCACTACAATGCAGTCGCATGCATTGAACAACCAAGACACTTAAGGACTAAAGAGATAGAGAACCTATTCAGTCCAAAGTCCTTGGAACAAAAGTCTGAATGATACTCTTCCGAGAATCACTCACTCAAAGTCCAGCGTTGTTGTCGTTCCGCAGCTCTCGAAGTTTCTCTTCCAGGAAAACTCCCGTCTTCAATAGGCCACTCTTCAAACTTCAACTTCTTCGCCGGAACCACGTCGGCTTCACACACGCAGCTGTTGCCACGCGTCCTCGCTCAATAGTGGTAAACACACGCTCTTGCCTGTAGCTCGAGCCTTCACCAGCAGGTGGAAATCCTCTTCATCTCCGGCTTCGTCCCTACGGACCAAAAACTTCGCCGACTACACGGCGGAATCCCTACGCGCTCTGGCGCTAACTTTCCGTCTTCTCCTGTTCTGTCACTACGGGCAGAACCTTCGCCGACTACACGGCGGAATTCCTACGCGCTCCGGCGCTAACTTTCCGTCTTCTCCTGTTCTGTCGTCTCGGCTGCTCGATTAAATACGTTCCGCGCCACCTTCCAGAACGTTCTCCTCATTTCGTCGGCGCGACGCGCAGCGAAGGCTGGGGAGAGGCACAAGACGGTTCGACTGCCCTCCCCGGAGGATGATTCACTCGGTCTGACCACGCCTCCTTCGTTCTAGAAAAATCGCGGCCTTGCTGGGCCGCCGATGTGGGGTGAGGAGGTTCGTCTGTGAAGCCATGCTTCTGAGGGGAGAGCGCGCGCCCGGGAGCCTTGGATGTTTGCTTTCTTTTTTTTCTTTTTTACCTCGCGGCGTTTCTTCCGCCCGTTGTCGCAAGGATTTGGCGGCGCGCTCTTTTTTAGCGCTCGTTCTGTGACAGCGTCGTTTTACCGTTGGAGAAGTTCTTCTGGCAGCTGACTCGAGCCACTGGGTTAAAGGGGTATGTATGACGCGTGAACTAGCTAGAGGCGAGAGCCCTTGGTTGTTGTAATGGCCAACAGGCAGTGGGCATTTTATAGCCTTTTTGCTGTTGCTATGCCACATTAAGAAGGCAAGATGGAATGTGGCGGGCCCTCACGTGCGAAGTTCACGAGCATGTTCACTCTGGGACGTGACCTTGTTTGTACAGACATGCTCCGAGCTTGCATGCCTGCATACCCAGAAGGCATCGCAATCATACAGCTGCGTACTGCAACCACAACCTACTCATTCTTCAAGTACAGTTGCAATTGTAATTAATTTTGTATTTGTGTACAAGGTGCTCACCAGCAGACTGCCAGATTGCACCCACCTTCACTGTACTTCATGGTAGTTGTCATTTATAGTTTCTTTTGTGGATTTTTTAGTTTATAAAACCAAGTAAACATTGTTTTTACGAATTGAAGAAGAATTACATTTGCAACAGCCGTTGGAATCATCTCGAGACTAAGAATTGGTGGAGTAAACTCGCATTCTTCTCTTTTTTTTCTCCCTGTGAACAGAAGGAGACTGCATCAGTCAGTCATCCATCTCTTCTGGCGCACCACGCATCCCTCAGCCTGCTGCATCCGCTGTTCACACTGATCCACAGTCGGCCTCAACGCATGTCCGACCCGCCCCTCAAGAGCGTCTTCACACCCTTGGGTGGCCCCTTGCCCTGTGATTTACACCTCATGAATCTGCGCACGCTGGCCTTACCCAGCACAGGCCCAGTGGGTGCCAAGTAAGTTCTCATAGGTTTCTCTAAAAATATAGCTTGGTTTTATAGCCTCCATTCTATATTGACCAGTTCTTTCTCGTGTAGTCTCTCTATTGTAGTTCTTTATCGAGTAGTCTCTTCTCTTGTATTCCTTGTACCTTCTGGTAATTCGGTCATTCTGGTGCAGGAACAGGCTCTGCAACTTTCAAGTGATAACACTCTGCATTAGTGCATTTACAAGCTGCTAAGTCTCTTGTGAGTGAAGAAGTCCGCACACATTGCCTGCAGTATCTATTTCAATTAACAGATTGCTAGTAATGGGCTCCAAAAGCATCATTTAAATAGTATTATAGTTAGAAGCTTCTCTGCAATCACCATATTGTGATTGGCATTTATGCAGGGCTCCAGTCAGGCAGCATGGTCCGTTTACTTCTTCGTTGTGCTACATTCTGTCCATGTTTCTCTGTTCCATGGCACCGTACTGTGAAACTAAGTAAATTTTCGCGATTTTGTTCAGATTTGTCTTCATAAAGCACACCCATTTATTGGCTTCTGCCAAAAGCTTTCTTAGCCATGACAGATGTCTGTTTATTCTATAGCGTTTCTTTTGTTAAATCTTGCTTTGAGGATGTACGTATATTAATATTGAGGGAGAAATTTACATCGCTTTTGCATGAAATACAGGGCACCTGGCAGTCTGTTTGCATTGCATTACTCATTGCATTGCTCGACATACTCTGGTCACATACTGGTGCACTGTCGTTAATTTCATTTGTATCTATAATTATGGTTATAAAATACAGCTAATGTTTACAGGAATATGATATTTTACATATACAGTCAGCAAAACAGTTGCATCGTCATATCTGCCGCATAGCATCAGGCCTTAACATAATGAAGGTAGCATAACACAGGAAACTGTCATAGGAGTAGCTTAGAATCTAGCTTTTATGAGCAATTTATGAATGGAAATCATTACGTAGGAGATCTCATATTTGTTGTAAGGTTACCTTAACTGTGCCACTTTTTTTTTTTTCCTTTCTTCTACGTCATTACTTTTACTTTACTTTTCATTTCTCAAACAGACCAGAGTTGTCCTGGACCCCTAGCAACACAACAGCCATGTTCTTGCACCGCCTACCCCATGACTGCCGGCTGCGGTCATATGCCATGCGGTGTACCCTGCAGACCGATTCTATGGTGCGTAGAGCAGTAAGATGTTTTAGATGCGAACCAGCTTATGGTGGGGCCTGTGTCCATTCGTCCCTCACTCCTTCCCGCGGCGTCCACCCCCTACTGCGCATGCGCATCCCCTCCCCCCTCTCTCTCCTCTAGGAATTATCTACTCTACGAAGCGGCGCACACGACGGATGGTGTGAAAGCTGCGTACTCCACTGAGAGCGTCACGGTAGTTTAGCGGTATAAAATGTCGGAGCGCTCGCGCTTCATTCGCTCCGGCGCAACGCTGCAATGAGCACCAGCGTCAACACTACCGCCAGTGTCAGCGTTAGTGCCAACACAAGCTCTCAATAATGTACACCATCTCCCACTCAAGTAAACCATCTCCCTGCTCCCCTGCTGCTTCGCTTCCACACATGGTTCCCTTTAGCGCAGGATGGTGTCATTTTTTCTTTTGCTTTCCACTTGGAACACCTTTTTAATGTGTCATAATGTTGAAGCTTTCTAATCAACAGGCATATAATGAATTCCCCAATATAATTAAGCAAATTCAAGAGTTTTCGTCCATCTGAGAATGTGAAAGCTCACAGGGTTCCTTACACATTGGTCTAAGATGACTAAAAGGATAAATTAATCTTCTCTTTCCTTTCAGTTGATGTATTGATCCTCTCCCAACTTTAAAACCTTTCTGCGCTTTACCTGTTTTTGCGATGGCTCCTTTGAGCAAGCAACAATGTAATGTCATAGCATCACAAATTTGGCGACTTGAGACTATGATTGTGATGTCAATATAATGCATAACTTGCAAAACAAAGTAATGAATGGGAAAGAACAGGATAATGACAGTGAAAGCAACAAGAAAAAACTATGAGAAAACATCGTCACTAGTAGTGATATAGTTAATGACAAACTTCGCACTCTCCTGGCACCGCTACCTGGCACTGTTCGGTAGTGCATATTGGGAAGCTTATTCCACATTGAAATTGTGTATGGAAATGAAAGGCATGTAAAAATATTGTTCCTGCAACTTATTGTATGTCGCTGATATTAAGTGCCCAGTGGCTGCTTGACATTGAAATGGAGTCCATGTCAATGTTGCAAAATATCAATCCAGCTAGAGTTTGAGAATAATTGGTGTTGGAAATACAACGTTCCACTAAGCCGGAGAACCTTCATCTCTACAGTTACAAGCTCGGTCATTTTACTTAGTTGCTGTGAAAAGTAATATTTTTTTTATCAAACATTGGGCTACTTTTGGTTGCGATATTCAAGACCATGATGTTTTGTGGGCTAACTGCTATAAATATACACTTGACATTTTGCTGTTGAGCACTGGCTGAAAACTTGCTCTAGGGAACAAGCATGACTGGTATGAGATGCAGCAGGTGTGAATTCTTTACACACATGTAGGAATCATACATGCGTGTATCCACAGTACATCAGTTTAACGATGTTTTTGTCCGTGAATTCTATTACATTCCATGTTGTCAAGTTCTTTTGTTTAGCAGGCCTTGGTTTGATGTGGTCGTTTTACTCCTGCATGAATCAAGTGCACCCATTGGAAACGCGCCTAGGACCACTCCCTTAAACAGTTTCCTGTTTTGTCGTTTTCACCGTTGTAGCAAGCCTTGATAGAGTTAAAGCTGACCAGTGCAGCTTGTTGCCGAGGGCCACTATACCCGGTTTTGTTTGTTTCAGACCACGCTCGCGGACATGTTTCCCGAATACTTTGGACCAAGCGTGGAGGAAACCACGCTCTCACTCCTACGAACGATCTCGTCAACGTCCACCAAGACGTCCCGTCTGAACTTGCCTTCACCTGCCGAGATGGCTGCATACAAGCTTCAGCGGCGGTGAACACCCGACTACTCCCTAGATTAACCATTCCCTTTTTGCATCATCTACTTGCCAAAACAAAAAGATGCGGGGAGAAATCTGCTCCCTTTGCTTAGGAATGGCCAAAACTGATCACCACCGTGTGCATATTCTGCAGACAAGTTGACAGATACGACGCTACTACTTTCATGTTTTGCTGTCGGGCAAAGCAAGCGTCGACGGATGTGTGTGCGACAGGGAGTGCTCGGTACGTGCTGGCCATTCAATGCTCAAGTCTTCCCCGGTCTACCTTCATCACGTTGGACTCGTGTTGAGTTTTCTTCAGTGATACTATTTTTTTCTTTTTTGTTTAGTCATCACTATTTTCCGAACAGTCGTATTTATTTTCTGCCCATTTACTTCATATTCGTGTTGCATTTGATTCTATACTTCCCTTCCAAGATAAGGTGCCTCAATGTACCAAAAAATATTATTATAACCAGATAGATCTTATAAACTATTTATATGTTACGCAGAGCCGTAGAATTATTGAATTCGCGTTTCGTTTGACTGTGAAGTTGCCACACACATTCACATGTGGCGGCCATCTAGTTGACTGTAACTTGTGAAAGGAAGCTTAAAGCAAGCTGCTTATTTAACCTGCCAGAAACTACTTTATTATGGAGAAATTCTTTTATGGGCTGGGAGGCCAGAAATGAGTTTCTTTTAGTGTTGATCTATTATACTTATGTTTAAATATAAATTATTTTATTTCGTACATATGATGACCCTAATGGAACCAGTACTAGTGACGCAAGACTGTTTGGCACTTGGCACTAGCAAACAGTGTGTGCAGGTGCCCACTCTTGAAAAGGCAGCTGGAATTATCGGCGGTCTGCCTTTTGCCGGTCTTCCCTCTTAAAAGAGTGCTAAGTGTTGCCAGGAAAGGCGAGAAATATGTGATTTGCACCAGACGCACTGTTAGCCCTCTGAACACTCAATGTCACTCGAGTACTTTTACCGAAGCGAGACATGTGACAGTGCGTTGACACCTTCCGGCATAGCCCAAGGGAGTTGATAGGCTTGTACGTATGTAGCAGTGTGGAGCCCGAAGGCATCAGCAGCGGCAGCTGTTCGAAAGAGCTACTACTTCCAATGTGGCATGTGAACTTAGGCAGAATTGTGACTTATACGATAACAGAGCAATTGTTAATAGTGTATACAGTGGATTTAGCTAGGATGTTCTTAATTTTTTTTCTGTGATTAGAAGAAGCAAGGGAGAAACTGTGTCCTTTGTGTCAATCTTGCCAGTGAGTCATTAGAGGCAAAGTAAGTATACAGTGTTCGTGTGGCCCACGATGAAACCATTCCATAGCGCTGCGTTTTAGGAAAAAGCAACGTACTGAGCATGATGGGCTGTTTCTTTTTTTGCTTTGTAAATAACATTAACTGAATAGTTAAATCATGTCGAGAGAGGATGCAAGTGCAGAGAGCATTAGCCATGCAAAAATAAAAGGTGTTCAAATTCCGTACTGTGTGTTTTATGTTAGTATGTATTCTTGCATGTCGCAGTTCGCATCGCACAGGCTTCGGCATTAACTGTTTTTTATTCGTAAAAAAAATTGTGAAATAATGTAAACAGGAAAACATCTTGTCAAAAGTAAATGTCCATTGATACATCAGTTCTGGAATCCTTTTGAAGTGTTTATGGAATGAGAAGAACTCTATAATGCAACTAATCACACGACACACAATAACTTTAAAACTACCAGCACATGCACTAGTGAAAATTTGCAAACACAAAGCTTGCTTCAATTAACATTAAAAAAGCTTTGACAATTCGTTCAGCAAGTCTGATTTTAGCAAATGATTAAGTGTCCCTGGTTTATACAACACATCGTAATAGTATTACATATAAGATGAAGGAGGACCTTAACTTGTAAAAAAATAAACATTTGTTTCATGAATAAATCGTTAATAAATACAGCATACGTTCACACAGTTGAAGAAAAGACTACACTGAGAGTCAGTCTGGAGATTGAGGTCATCTATGAAGCATTCTTTTCACAGACTCAATCTTGGCACATTTCGCATCAGCAAGTCTGCACAGCATCCTCCTAAGAGCAGAGCTCCACAAACTTCCTAGCAATCCCAACAGCCATCTTCCCGTAACCGGCGTTCGAAATGTTGCCAATCACTGCAACAACCACGCCTCTGGGAGGGCTCGGAGAGTTTGCCCGAGTGGTGTCGCTAGTTTCCTCGGGACTCCATGCCGAAGGCAGCAGCACGAGCGCAGACGTGCCACCAACCGACCCTCCAGTGTGGTACGCCGCAAATGCGGGCCACTCGACGCAGCCTCCGGGATTCTCGCCCGTTTCGGTCAGCGCCCATCCCATGCCGTAGCTCTGGAAGTAGGTTTTCTGCCAGTTGTTGTGCACCTTGGCATGCGGAGTCCACAGCAATCGTATGGTTTCCGGTCGCAGGTAGCCGGCCTTGTACTTCCTGCCGTCAGCCTGGGCGCAGTATAGCATGGCGTTGCCAAAGCGCAGGAGATCGTTCACGGTGGAGAGGAGTCCACCGCCTGCCCACTTGTAGGAGCAGTCGACGCTGGGCGTGTTCACAAGCAAGCCCGACTTGTCGCGAGTGTAGAATCTGCATTAGCAAGCGTTGTTATAGACTATTTTGCCTAAGACATGTGGGCGCCACCATACTGGGCTGTTAAGTCGATGTTTTCTTGCTTTTGTATATTGCAATGTGAATTAATAAGGCCGTGAAACATAGTAGGCACCAACTCAACCATTTTCATTCACATATGTCAACCGTAACACTCTTTTAGTTGTTGATACAAAACACAAAGGTTAACAGTCCAACATGGCTGCACTGAAACCCATCCGTAAAATTGTTCATAGCAAGCTGTTTGTAGTTCAGGTTGAAAATGCACAATGGAAGCCTGACTGATAAAAACTGAAATGGCGGGCTTAGAAAAAGGCTACTTTGGTGTAAGGCAGGGGAACACAATCTCCCCAATGCTATTTACAGGAGGTTTTCAGATGCCTAGAATGGGAACAGTTAGGGATAAGAGTTAATGGAAAGTACCTTAGTAACCTGCGCTTCGCCGATGACATTGCATTGCTGAGTAACTCAGGGGACGAATTGCAACTCATGATTAAGGAGTTAGACAAGGAGAGCAGAAAGGTGGGCCTTAAAATTAATCTGCAGAAAACGAAAGTAATGTACAACAACCTCGGCAAGGAGCAGCGCTTCGAGATAGGTAATAGTGCACTTGAAGTTGTAAAAGACTATGTCTACTTAGGGCAGGTAATAACCGCAGAGCCGAACCACGAGATTGAAGTAACTAGAAGAATAAGAATGGGGTGGAGCACATTTGGCAAGCACTCTCAAATTATGACAGGTAGATTGCCACTATATCTCAAGAGGAAGGTATATAATAGCTGTATCTTGCCGGTACTTAGCTACGGAGCAGAAACCTGGAGACTTACAAAGAGGGTTCAGCTTAAATTGAGGACGACGCAGCGAGCAATGGAAAGGAAAATGGTAGGTGTAACCTTAAGAGACAAGAAGAGAGCAGAGTGGATTAGGGAACAAACGGGGGTTAAGGATATCATAGCTGAAATCAAGAAGAAGAAATGGACATGGGCCGGGCATGTAGCGCGTAGACAGGATAACCGCTGGTCGTTAAGTGTAACTGACTGGATTCCCAGAGAAGGCAAGCGGGTTAGGGTGGACAGAAGGCTAGGTGGACAGATGAGATTAAGAAGTTTGCGGGTATAAATTGGCAGCAGCAAGCACAGGACCGGGTTAACTGGCGGAACATGGGAGAGGCCTTTTGTCCTGCAGTGGACGTAATCAGGCTGATGATGATGATGATGACAGGCACTAATAGCTGCAAGTGCGATACCACGATAAAGCAGAATTATGTTCCGATCTGCAAAAATAAAAAAAGACTGAGAAAGTTTACTCTTTCATTTTCTGTGTTTGAAAATGCCTGTAACTGCTCGAAATCACTAAAACTGCAGCTAACTGGTATCCCTGTGTCTGTAAAGGAATTGCTGCAACCTCACAAGCAACATTTTAAAAATGTGAGTAAAGTTATTAAGACATTAAGGAACTGGTGCAGATATAGGAGATGGCTGCACAGGTAACGAAAGAACGCATGTCGTCTCTCACGATTGACAATGGTTCCTTTCAACTCTGGAAGAGCTTTATCTCAATAGCTTGTTTATGCTTCACCACATCACTAATCATGCTGCAGTGAAGTAGACCTAATTTGTCAGTATATAAGTGTCTCGTGCACACTCATGTGTTTCAACCTCAAGTGAACCATGCTGGGCCTACACTGCCCCACTTAATCAGACTGCGGCAAGCTAGCTAGAACACAACAGAAATTTACGGTCGTGCTGCACACTAGTTTTCTTTGCCGGATTGGGTTAGGCCAGCTTTGTGGATGATTTGGGGCTGTAGACCACACAGCCTGTTGTTGTAGGAGTATCTGCATTGCTGGACTCCACACTACTTGCACCGTATCCTTTCTGATGTCAATATTAAGTTCTCTTAGCTCGCATACAAATTCTGCAGGTGGTACGAACTGAAAAGATTTCTGTGGTGTACTCTTTGCACGAACATAAAAGCAAGTCGTAAATTCTTAACGCAGCACATTTCGCTTAATCTGCGATTCATCACTCGGCTTTATGAATGTGCCGGGCAACGGCACGAGGTTGTTTGCAAGAACAAATGACGCTCGAGATTCTCCTTTTTTATTTAGTCTTTTGCTAGTATAAGCCCAGTTGAAGACCTCGATCAAGCATTTTCAGTCTCCTGCCTAAGAGAAGCAAAATAGTATTGCTTTTATTGTCTTTAATAGGACTTCTCGTCAGTTTACCGAGAGTAATATAATTGCAAATTGTATCAAGGGAACAGTACGGCAGTATTAAGTAAACCTGTTGCAAAAAGAGAACAGGACACAGTGTAAGTGCACTTTGCTAACATTATTTGGTGTTTTTTGAGACCAGAGAATTGCAGTATGCATTGCTAAATCATATCTGTAAGCCCGGAAGGTAGGGGTGTATCAACGAAATTTCATCCATCAGTCTGCAACTTGCTGCAACAAATGGGCGAATGACATTTGTTCATCCATATACAGTACACATTACAAGCACAAAGACAAGCAGGCACTCTAAAGTTGGAACTCGATTTGCCAGTAAATAACCGTGGTTAACTTGACAATCAATCGTGGATTCACTGTGCTTGCTTGACTCACCTTGAACGGTTGTAGATGATGGGCTCATTTTGGTCCAGGTACGTGTTATCCATGCCAAGAACCTTCAGCAACCTCCTCAAGTGGCTTGAAAAGAGCTCCTTGCTTGCATTTTCAAGTGCAGCACTAATGAGCGTCCAGCCATATGTGGTGTAATGGTACTTTGTACCTGTTCATCAAAGACGTAACACGTCAGATTACTTCATGCACGTCCCACTCTTTGCAAATCGCTTCATGCCCATTGCCAGCAATGAAACTTGCCTGGTGCAAACAGGAGAGGATCGTCCTTGAATATCTGCAAAGCCTCTTCAGTAGTGCTAAACTTCTTGTTGCTATAAAATTCTGAGAACTCTGTGTCTTTCTGCAATAGTTCCAGCAATCCACACATATAGACATTTTCGTTTTTATTTGCTCAGAGGCAGTAGCCTGTTCATGATGTCAAAAAACATCCAGTCATGTGTCTTTACCAATTATTTACAAAAAAATAGCTGTACCATATTGTCTACAGGCACATTACATGAATGGCAGCCTAATGTAACAATGCCTCTCTTTGTGGCCACTAAATGAAGCAGGCTGTCCCTAGAGGACCTGTGCATAAACATTAAAGGAGTCTGTAGCGCTTTGAAATCCTTTGTCAGTCAAGTGTCGAGCTCTTCACTGGCATCCAGTTATAGACTTCAGTTAGCTTAAACGTATCTCGGAGAACTTGCTCTCTTTTCAGTTAATTAAAGCTCATTCATAACACACAGAGCACAGATTTTAGCTAGTTTCAATTCACAGGTGAGTCTGCTTGTGCAATTCTACATGCATACATGCATCCTTTGTTTTTTACATAGCAAGCAGTGTAACAAAGGTTAAGAGGACACATTTCCCTGCTTGCAACACAGAAATATTGTGTCTCATTAAAAAAAAGAGACGTAAATATGTGTCTTGCAATCGAGACAGTATCAAGGCTTATGCTTTCATGTTACAGCATGATGTAACCATTACGTGGAACAAAAGATGCAAACTTATTCACTAAATGAGCAGAGTTGCATGTCTCTGTTAGCCAGAAGTTGCAATACGCCAGTTTTGCTCACAATAAAAATTCCAAATATAGCAGTATCTAGAACTGCCAAGGTGCTAAAATATTATTCAGAATAGTAATATTAAGGGGAGACGCTCCTCGAAAGCACTTTTTTTTGTTATTCAACTTAGAGCTTCAGAAATTGGACCACTGATGCAGTTTTTCCTCCTGATTCCAAATCTGTAATCAGTTTTTACATAAGTGCAATAGTTTGGGAGTTGTGTTTCAAGTAATGGTGAAACTTGATAAGTTTTCCGGGAACTTTCGCGCATACTAAATGTTCATTCAGAGAGTTGTTCAATGGCTCCTTTTGCTCCCTATTAGCCATAGAGTGCCGATATCTAGCTAGAAATTGTGCTCCAACTTTGAAACTATGAAAAAAACATCTGTGTAGCAAACTACCCTTTTTTTTCCACTCGACCACCATTAAATTTATTAATAGATATTTACAGCTGATAGGTTGTGCTGATTCAAGTAGATATCGGCACCCTACGCACTCTCCTCAATGTGTGTGCCAAATTTCGTCGTCGTATGACCATTCTAAGTGCCCGAAACACTTCCCGCAAAAAATGCAAATTGGCCAAAATTGCGAAATGAGAAAAACGCGTTTGAAAGTTTGAAAGTCTGTATTTACAAAAATGAAAAACGCAGTAGCACGAAACTTGTGCTGAACACATACACACATGTCCAGAGGGAATATCAGTTGTCTAAAACTCTCCAGCACCGTAGGTTTTCCCTTCCCGGCTGGTGCGGCAGGACTCTTCCACCCGGGCCCTCTTGGCTGCACTGCGACGGTGTGCCCTCGCCTCAGCGGTCTGACGCACATTCATCTTGTGCATGCGCATGCTGTCTCGGCGGTCGCTGAGGGTAACCAGGGCCTCCGAAGGAAGCACCCCAAGCTCTTCCAGCACCTTTTCAAAGCTCGCGTGGCCCCGGTTGAACCACAGGACTGCAATGGCTGTGGCTGTTTCCACAGCAGTCCGGGAAGCAAACCGGGTCTTTGGACACAGCAGCCATATTTTGCTGTTCAGGGACTCGGCCGCGTTCTGTGTCTTGCCGTGGAGGCACCGGGCAAGCAGCTTCGCATCTGTGAGACGCTTGTAGATTGGGAGGACTGCCAAACCCTGGGCCTTGGTCAGGAGGGGGGTGTGGCACGGTGCAGGCTGGCCCTGCGCCTCAGCACGTCGGTGCTTGCACCACGAGTCTGGGCCTGCAGGACAGAACTTGTGACTTCCAGCACCGTCTGTTGAGCACGAGTGCAAACATGAGGCCCATATGGCAGTGTACATCTTGTGGACATTTCCCCGATTGTTCACAATGGCCACCTGAAAGTAAGTTTGAAGCTTCTGGATGGTGGTCTCCTTCAGCTTCTCCCCTCGTGGAAGTGGCGTTGGCAGCTTCCGCAGGCCGGTGCCCAGACGTTTCGCCACGTGGTTGGTGCACTCCTCTTTTCAATTGGAGTGTCAGGGTACACGTTGGCATCACAGACCCCGTTGTAGGCCTTGCTGTCTCCATCGCTTAGGAAGATGGTGAACCGCAGGGGTGTCTCATAGTCCACAGTCCTCTGCCAAATGCGCACTGCAGCTTCGGCCTCCATGGCATGCGAAGAACAGTCGCAATTCTTCTCACAAACGGGATGATGAAACGCCTGCCATGTTTCTTCATCGCCTCCCATGTCGTTATGCAAACTGCACGCCAGGCAGAAGTTGGAAAGCACTTCATAGTCCAGGCACAAACCAGTGTCCAAGGACACTACAGTTCCCACACCATTGTGGCTTTTGTGGCCTCTTTTTTGCCATGTGCCGTCAAACATGACTGGCACGTCACTGTTACCAGCCACCTCTTTGGTGACGCTGCGTGCCCTTTGCATGTTTTCACAGACAGCCTTCACTGCCGCACTGTGAATCTTTTTGCCGATAGCATGGAAGGTCTTATGGTGCATAGGGTTTGGCAATCCAACTACTGCACAAAATCGTGAAAGTTGCTCATGCCCGATACCGACGGCACGCGCTGCAAGCACCACTTTCAGGTTCACGGCAAAGGCGTCACGCGAACTCCCGCTGTCGTAGCTTCTGCTTGCACCGCGGCCGCCATCTGACGCGACCCGCTTCGACGAGTACGCGGACGAAAGGATGCTCTCCGAGCACTCCGCATTCTCGCAGTGTAGCTCCAGAAACGCCGAAAGGCCTTTCCGCTTTTTATTCGGTGCCCGAACTGCGAGTTTACTCTCGTGACAAACGGGGCATGCCGCGCCTGCGACGACGGCCGTCAATGCACCCAACTCGCACAGCACTACGCTTTCGGCACGATCGGCATTCGGCCTGACGTCGTTTTCGAATAACGCGATCTTTTTCTGCGATGCACTCACAAAATTCACTGCAGCGTTGATCTCGTCGTCGCAGTTGCCATGGTCGACGTTGCCGTGGTCGATGTTAGGCCTACCGGCCGCTGGCCCGTCGCGGACATTTTCGTTGGCGGTGGCTTTCTTGTACGTCCTCCGCCGCTTCCCTCTGAACTTGTTCTTACTTCTGTATTTCCGATGGTCGGCAACGGCCTTTTTCGGGCTTGCCATCGCACGAAAACAGCGAAAAATAACTCCGGAAAACAGTGAAGCGAACTACGGCAAGAAAACACGGGTGCTGTCAGCCAATGGCGGCCCTGCGTTAGTGGCGCGCGGTTTGAAACGGCGGGAAAAGACTGTTTTTGTTGCTTTTTTTTTAGATTTTTCGTGAACGTACGAGACTTCAAGAACCGGGATCGTGGAGAGTAAGGACAACTCTACACGAGCCAGCGGCCGCAATATGGCGGACAGCTCTCTTCGCGGCCCCGCGAGCACGCGAACAGCAGCCCGTTTTGTGTAAATTTCGTGATGCCGCGCGTCACTGCCGCTCACTCAGACGCGTTTTTCACTGACTTCTGATGCTTATTTCGCTGTGATATTTTCAGATGTCAAAATATAATGTATAAAGATGATAAAGCAACAAAAAACAGAAAAGGTGAAATTTGGAAAAAAAACGCGACTTTTCGACCCGCGTCTCCCCTTAAGTCCACAAGCTGCAATAACTGAAGCTGTTATTCTGTAAAAAATTTCGCATAGGAAAAAAATGGCACTGTGAAATGACCACAAAAGGACTTTTGTGACAGCACTACATTGCATGACAGCAGCATTCTGTGAATATTTTACTGCGATGTGTTGAAGCAACAGTGCGCACCTACTTACGCTGTTTCCATCTTTTGTAGGTGAGCTGTTTTTGGAATTGGCATAGTGGCGTATCCCAGCAACATGAGAAACCAGATCTCTCAAGGTGATTACGACCTGCAGTCATTTTGCACTTATTAATCACAAAACGTACACGCTGAAGACAGACTTCAGTGAATTAAAGAATTGCACTATTAAGTTAGCTTCTGCATCAACAATGGAAAAAGAAACATCTTCAGTTCACACAATGGGCACCTGTCTCTCTTTCTATAACAGCAGCATTCAATTCGGACGTCATGTAATAGACTTTAACCGTAACAGCCTTTTCATATCCTCATGAGACAAGCTACAAAGAAGGGCCAAGAACAGTAAATGGGATGGAATGTCTTTATCATAAACTAATGTTCGTTTAATCACACAAATCAATGCTTGCTAGGACATTGCAGTCACGCGAGTCTGAGTTATAGTGTCCGTGCTCACGCTTTTCAATTCACCAAGCAAACAAGGCAATGGTGTAATTAGGGCTTAAAAATAATATTAAATTCTGAGATATTACATGCCAAAAGCATATGATTTTGAGGCGGAGCATAGTGGAGTACTCCACATACATTATGACCACCTGCAGTTGTTTACAGTGCATAATACAAATAAATCGGTACATGTGCATTTTGTCCCTGTCAAAATGTAATGACCGCAGATGAGAATGAAAACTCCCTCATGCACCTTCAAATGTTGTGCTGTTAAGCACAACATTTGAAGTGCTGAGCTATCATAGCTGGTCAGTATTAATGCCTTTATTTAGCAGGTTCTACAAGTCATATAACATGTAAGTGTGTAGCCAAAAATTTTTTTCATTGAGGAAGGTGGGGGGCATCTTTTGGTTTTAGGGAAGGCACCCCCTCAACATGGTCTTTTTTCGCTTTCTATGCCAGGGCGAAAAGAATTTCAGGCGGGGCATGGGCTTTGTGTGCCACCCCCTGGCTACGCCCCTGATAAAATGTAATGAAAATCATGCAGCAATGCACCAGCTAGCACTGCGCCCCGCCGCGGTGGTCTAGTGGCTAAGGTACTCGGCTGCTGACCCGCAGGGCGCGGGTTCGAATCCCGGCTGCGGCGGCTGCATTTCCGATGGAGGCGGAAATGTTGTAGGCCCGTGTGCTCAGATTTGGGTGCACGTTAAAGAACCCCAGGTGGTCCAAATTTCCGGAGCCCTCCACTACGGCGTCTCTCATAATCATAGAGTGGTTTTGGGACGTTAAACCCGACATATCAATCAACCAGCTAGCACTGAAACAGCCACACATATGTAAGCATAAACAATGCACCAGGACCAATGTATCTCTGTCTGGGGTGCATGCTTTTTTGCATCATGATGATCGACCAGCTTGCTAAAAATAAGTTCATTTTTCAGGATAAGGAAAATGGGAATGTTAACCTACCGGCTTGTCATCGAAGGTTTTCTTGGGAAAACTTGGCACGTAGTCTTGAATTGGCTTGTCCAGATCGATCTTCCCTTCTTCCCACAGCTTTGCAACTGTCATCATGGCAATTGGCTTGCTGATGCTGCCTATACGCATCACCGTTTGACTTCCACATGGCACCCTGTTTTCAATATCAGCATAGCCAAGACCTAGGTGTAGTAGAGCAGAAGCACTTGTCTGTTACAAACTATAGCCATACGCTATCTACAAATGCACATACTTAAAACAGATAATGTCGGTACCAGTGCCACACGTGATGTCCACTTTTACGTTTTGGCTGTAGAGAGCTTTTGATTGAGCGTGCTCTAGAGGCTTAAAAGATATGCAAACGTCAACTTTAATTCAAATTTTCAGGTGATTAAGAGCCAGAAGCACTAAGGTTGAAGAGAAACTAACTTTTTTTTGCGATTAACGCTTGCTTAAGCATGAAGTTATGTCATAGGAAACTTATTTTTTAGCTTTTGAATCTGTGTGCAAGTCTTGATGATCGGAACAAGTGCGAAGCTGAGTGTTGTGTAAGAGCCCACCTTCGCTCCAAACTGTCTTGCCGTCAACACTCACAGCCACGACGATGCCGGGTACACCCCATTCATCCTGGAATGTAATAAAAGAAAAAAAAATCATACCTAATTAAAACGTGGGAACTAATTAGAGTCACTGTGGCATATTCTAGTCTGCCAGACCAAGATCTGCGGCCACACACCTTCTTTTGTGTGAGAAGTTCGTGAGCGTAGTTGATCGCGTTTTCCAGTTGAGCTTGCCGTCTCGAAACTTTTGAGCAATCGCTCGCTTCGGGCGATTCCATTGCATTAGGAGAAGAAGCGAGAACCTTTTGGGTAAATGCAGGTTGACGAGTCCACGCTTTGTAACCACCGATTCCAGCGCAAACCGCCCCACCGCAAATCGCCAAAGTTTTGAGCACAGCGCGAGATCGACTGCTTCGTGCATCGCCATGTAGGCGCCTTTGCGCCGACGATCTAGCGTCACCGATGCGGCGAGCTAGCGACTGACGTATATAACATAACGTTTTCGTCATCCTGACCTGTTCCTCTTTACACGAATCGGCTGGTGAAATTCAGGCGTCGGAAAAGTCGCATAAACTTGCTCAAGTTCACAAGCGTAAACACCGACGATAACGAAACTAAACATTGGTGATGATATCCGTGCCACTTGTCGCATTGCTCAGAGCATAGAGTTTCCTAGGAAACTCTATGGCTCAGAGTACTTTAACCAAGTAGGCGAAGTACACAAATGAGGATATTATCTCATCATAATTACGGAACCTTGTGTGACCCATACTTGTAATTACAGTTATCATCTTGCTGTTTCTTAACAAGCTATCTAATGCGCAAGACCCGGATGTGAAACCACCAAGCGTTCACAACGAGTTTGAATACGATCCAAGTTTATATCCCATGTTTTACGATTACTCGTTTGGGTCAAAGCCTTGCAGTCTGGAAGGAGACCCGGTAAGTGGACAGTTGCGGCCACTTACTTCGCAATGTTTTCACTAACGAGATGTTCTTCACTTCCAGTGCCGGGTCGGAGAAACGCTGTGCTGTCCGTACATGGTCTGTGCCACCTTGAACCCTGATGCTGCAGAGGAGACGGGGTTTTGTACACTGTCGAGAGATGCTGAGTGAAAGTGTTTATAAACCTCGTTGGTCTGTTGCGTTTTCTTTAAGTAGTTGTCCCAAAAACGCTGCATATATGTGTGTGAATTTGCCTCCAAATGCACAAGTGAAGTCCTAGCACAAAAATGTTCACGCATGTATTTTTTCTTCTCTATGTGGCGCTGATATTGTGCAAATTTGTTCGTCCCTTAACATGGAGCTATCCGTAATTGACTCTCAGAGCCACGGATAAGCAAATGGCATGCAAATAGTCAGATCCAAATTTCTGTTTTCGGTTTCGGTTTTCAAGGATGTGGCCAACTAAGCGCCGATCCAATCCGTCAAGAGACGGTACAAAACGGGTCGTCTGCGCGCTTCGGCGACACTCGGTTTTTCTTGGTCGGTGGAGTGGCAAACCGCGCTAGCTTCGGCTGCCCCCACGCTTTACTCTGCTCTGTAATTGACCACTCGCAACCCATAAACCACCAATGACTATATTTCCGTCCAAACTGTCTCCCAATGGCATCAAGTGTTTGCCACTGTTTCTTCGCGGCACCGTGGTAAAAGGTTTCGGTCGAGGCAGCAAGCAGTTGGGCATACCCACCGGTAAGTACTTTCCGTTACTCTCCGCCACTATTTCAATGGATGTCAAGGTACGGTCAAGGCGAGCACCTTTTAAAGAACAAGAGGTTCTTACTGCCGCTATCTGATACCTGCAGTAATGTTGCGCACTATACCGCTACTGATTACAAGCGCTTGATGCCCGAGCCGGCAATCTGATATATAGCGTCACGCAACGTGTACGGGATTAACGTTGGTTCCGCTATACGAAGCCTTTGTGCCAGAGGTTTTTCCTTATAAGATTTCCGCCGTGCCGAGACAGTGGAGAGAAACCTTTCTGTATGTAGCTTACGCAAGATATTGGCTTTGACAGTATTTGCGCGGCTCTCTTCTATGGCGCGACCTCATTAAACATTTGTTGCGTCGTTCGAGCAATCCTTGGTTTGGCGCATTGCTTCTTGTCTTCGTTTATTCTTGCTGAATCTTTCTGCTGTCGATTAACTGTCGTACTGCCACTCGTAATGAACGTAGACGCAATTTATAGCAGTAGGATCTTAGCACTCACGTGGAGAGCTGGCACATGGCCGTCTTTACGCTCGTTTGATTGACCTCTCTTACTGCGCTCCATCGGCTTGTTTATCCCTTGGGTTTACGCAACGCACTGCATGTTTAATGCTGTTCTGCTAAAAGAGCTTGGGGAAGGTCGGAAGGAAATAAGCTCTGAATGGGCCTTGAATGAATAAACTAGTTGTCGTGATTAAGGGTGATTTACCTCTTCAGTCCGTTTCGCCTCGCGCAACCTAGCTGAGCTTAGGCGTCAAGCTCTTTTGCCGTACTCTCCTATAGCTATCCAAAAATATGTAATTATGTAATAATTTTAAACACATTTAAAAAAACTAGCTAGTTATAACTGTATTACAACGCTTCTGAATATCATTCAGGTGACTGGGGAAGGGGGGATAGTTGTACTACATACACTTTGGCAATATCTCGAGCTTCGAAAAATAAGCCACTCTTTATTGGTGTTGCCCGAAGTTTGTTTAATGAGATCGGAATTCTTTGGACTTTTCCACTTTGCATTGTCTGTTCATTTGTATTGAACCTTTTTTTTTTTCTTTCTTTTTGGTCCTCCGAATAGTCAATAGTCCAATACAAGGATCGTCGAGCCGCTGTACTGAGAGAACTCGGTTCAAATCAGTTACCGAATATAAACGGAGCCCACTGGATGTGCACTGTGCTTTAATTAATATTTTCTGTGGAGACTCGAACAAGTCTTCGTGTGACAAAAGAAAGTTCTTTGGAGGACCAGCAAAAGCTGGTGGACTAAGCTAGCGTGGCAGCAATTAAGAGCCCACAGGTTCCTAGAATATCATGTTACAGTGGCTTGGAAAGTCTACCTTCTAAACAGTTTCAAGATAGAATGCCTCAAATGAAGTGGCTTATGTGACTGAGAAGAAAGAAGACCCCTCTCTCTCTGACTGGTTCTCAAATAAACGTTTACTTTCTCGGTTACTTTCTCGAGTAAAAATTTATTCAATGTGTGGTAGAATGCAATCTGAATCATATATATTTAAAGACTCTTATCTGAAGGCATATATTCAGGGACACAACATGTCTGGATTTTTCAGCAACACTGTTTCACGGTGCAGCGTCCCATGAGAGAAGTGAGAGGGAAGCCTGGCTGCAGTCAACGCCTCGTACAAAACTTACAGGAGCTGTAGTGATATGATCTATCAATTAAGTGCTTTCGCACTAATCACATTAGCGTTAACATTTTTACTAAAGCAATTACTTCCACACCTTTTTATTTTATCCCGCTGTTCCTATTTTCTTTTTTATTATCTGTAAACCCTAGCTTTCCTTGCACACTATCTTGTACTGGCCTGAAAGTTTTCTTGGTATTTCAAGTATTGAATATATACATCTTTTGTATTTGAATTTTCACCTGCAATCAGCTAATTTTATTACATATAGTGACAACCTAAGACATGCAAATGGCTTCACTTATAGGCAAGGAAACTGCAACACTACAGTGATGTAGAGCAAGTTACGTTTGCCCATTTGTGTGACGTTTGACTCAGTCTAGACATCGGCAGTAATGCAGGCACTACAGAATTGGGGCATTGACGAACTAAACATACTGGAAGAAATCTACAGTGGATTCACATCTACCGTAGTTCTCCATGAAGTGACATACTCCCAATAAAGAAGGGTGTAAGGCAGGGAGACTTGATCTCTCTAATGCTATTCGCCACGTGTTTACAGTAGGTTTTTCAGGGCCCTAGATTGGGAAGAGTTAAAGATAAGAATTAATGGAGAGTATCTTAGTAACCTGCGATTCGCTGGCAACGTTGCCTTGATGAGTATCTCAGGGGACGAATTGCAGTTAATGTTTGCTGAACTGGACACGGAAAGCGGAAGAGTAGGTCTGAAAATTAATATGCACAAAACTAAAGTAATGTGCAACAGTCTTGGCAGAAAACAGTACTGTTTGATAGGTTGAGAGACGCTGAAAGTTGTGAAGGAATATGCCTACTTAGGAAAAATAGTAACCGCGGAGCTGAACCATGAAAGTGAAATAACTAGAAGAATTAGGGTGGGGTGGATCACATTCAACAAGCATTCTCAAATCATGAATGGTAATGTCACTAACCTTCAAGAGGAAGGTATATAGCAGCTACATCTTGCCAGTACTCACTTACGAAGCAGAAACCTGGAGGCTTACAAGAAGGGTTCAGATTGAATTGAGGATGATGCAGTGAGCAACAGAAAAGAAATTGATAGGTGTAACCTTAAGAGACGAAGAACGAAGAGAAAGCAGAGTGCGTCAGGGAACAAACCGGAGTTAAGGATATCATAGTTTAAATCGGGAAAAAGATATGGGCTGGGCACGTAGCATGTAGGCAGGATAACCGCTGGTCATTAAGGGTCATTAACTGACTGTATTCTCAGAGAAAGCAAACCCATTAAGGGGAGACAGAAAGTTAGGCGGGCCTGTGAGATTAGGAAGTTCGCAGGTATAAAGCGGCAGAAGAAAGCACAAGACCGGGTTGATTGGTGGATCATGGGAGAGGCTTTTGTCCTGCAGTGGGCATTGTGGGGCTGATGAGGATGTGACGTCAAGTGCTTGATACTGTTCGTCATCATAAGCCTGACTACGCCCACTGCGGGACAAAGGCCTCTCCCATGATCCACCAATCAGCCCGGTCTTGTGCTTTCTGCTGCCACTTTATACCTGCAAACTTCCTAACCTCATTCGCCCATCTAACTTTCTGTCTCCCCCTCACCCGCTTGCCTTCTCTGGGCGATGCTGTTCATTCTACCTTAAAAACCTGTGTGTCAAATGTTCTCGTATAATAATTTGAATGTCTCAGTACATTTTATAGAAGATTCAGATTTCATTGACAAACCAAAAACAATAATGTTCTAGCTAAAATCTACTCGCATTTACGTTATAGTGCTCATATTAGCATACAAGGGACGCTTAGGCTAGCACAACTGTTATGCAGATGAAAAACAGATGTTCATCATGGCTTTGGTGCGTGGATCCCATACAAAATTTCTAGGTTGTCACCGAGTACACAAGCCAACAAAAAAAGACCAAGCAAACTGTTAACTGTACAAGAAAATAAGTTTATAATTCCGATCTCAGTGACACAGTCTCATTTCTGTTAATATGAATTAATTTAATTGAATATAGTCATGAATAGCTATGTGCTTGGAAACTACCACTTCTCATTGCATGTTTTTTTGCCTTTTCTACGATTATTTTGTCTGCTCCAAAGTATTTACACACTAGCCGAATTTTTCTTGGTTAGCGTAGAATTTGCAGTATTTAGAATACAGTTCTGACAGTTTTGCAAGCTTTTCAAGAAAGGCTTCAAAGGAGAAAGCCTCATTTTATCGTTATATTCTGGCAGTTTTGTACCATGAAGACTCCTGAAAGGGTGTAGTACTAGTAAACAACATTATAAGGCAGCTGACGGTTTCCTAAGTGGCAAGGACTGTCGGGCCATGCCTGGTCCCCACCTCGTCAGCGCATTTGATGGCCCAGAGCTGGGCGTCCAGGCTTGGGGTCATGAGGATTCTGTTCCAGGCCTCACTTGAAGGTGACTGTCCCTATTGCTCTAAAGCTTTAGATAATGCTGCTATGTTGCTAGGTTCATTGTAATGTTATACACGTAAACTATGAAAGGAGCCTAAGTTTTATTTTCCAGTTGTCAAGTGAGCTTTACGTTGTCATGAAGTATTACATTTTATTGTGAGTTTGCTACATCTAAACCAAATGAAAAGACATCAAATGTTTACATTTCACCTAAATATGAGGTTTGTGTCCATCAGAATTTTTTGAGGCACTTTGTTTTCTTACGCAGTCACCTTAGGTGCCGTGTTGCTCAGCCATTTAAAAATGCTGGTTACATTCACAATGTGTATGTATATAGATAGTTAGCTTTCAGAGTTCCCGCTCTGGTCGAATGTCAGTATAAGTTAGCATGTTGTCAGGGTTGAAGAATTTGTTTCTGCCAATGCTGTGTCAACACATGACAACAAGTGTGAAATGTCATATTTATTTCAGATAAGCCACTCCATTCTAGTGAATTTGTTGTTGCTTTGTTTGTTTTCACATGGCTGAAATGCCTTTTTTTTTCATAGTTCGTTTTTATCTCTGTTGAAGTGATTCTTCTGACTAGCGAACACCTCTGGCTATTAATGTCATGAATTAATCGCTGATCCAATAGGGTTCTCATGCTTCTTGATTTTTAAAACTTGGGCACAGGAATGTACAACTGTTCGACAATGACTCATCTCGCACAACGGTTCTCTCATCAAACATGTGTACTTCATCTTTAATCGCACTTTGTTTACTGTTGCCACTATATAGACTTTTAACACTTCATATACAAGATAAGTCTGTTCGTACTTAGCTCTGAGACAATCCACGAAAATACTTTTTTTTCCTTATTTGCATTACAGTGTGTCCAATTAGCTGTATTGTTACCACTCTGAAATTATAAAAGTGTAGCATTAAAGGTTTCGTGTATCGGTGCTAGTCGTACCTTAGTCTAACCTTTCCTTATAGCTTTTCAAGATGGATACGTCATAGCTTTGTGAGAAGGTCATTTCAAATGTCATCTGTTCCAAGAATCTTTCTGACATCAAGATTTTTTTGGGGTGTCATGGACAAATGGTATTCGTCCACGAATTTGAGAAATAAATTATGCTAAAGCTATTCCATTAGTAGATGTTTGCATGGCTACACATTTTCAGACATCAGTGGTTCTGTAGGTATGTATTACAAGCACAAAAGCTGAAATCTTAAACTTCACATGAACTGCGAACAGTGGAAACTAAAAAATACATTCAGGTTGCTGTAGCTTACATTTCCATCCTCAGTAGTCCATATTATATCTCTACTTCAAAATAAAGAATAATACTAAGCATTATTTGTTGTGGCTGGTGTCTGAATGATGGAAATGTTTCTTCCTTCATCCCCGCCTATCTGCAACGCGTTTCCATGACATAGTACTGATTAGCCTGCAGAGCTATTTTTATGGTTTCTGAAGCTGCAGTTCACTTAATAAAGAAAAAAAATGCCAAAACCCAAATTAACTAGGTTTTAAAGGGCCAATAAAGACAAAGTTAGCTTGATATATATTAGCTTTGTGAAGTACTAAGAAATCCACTTTTGTTATGAGAAAAGGCTTGATTGACCAGAAGATATGCGAATACAAAAGACAAACGAGGTGCATCTTTGAAGTTCCTTCACCGGCTTGGGAACAATATTTTTTATCATATCTGCTCACTTTCAGTTGATTTCTATGTGATAAAAGTTGACTGTTACTTATGCCAAAAAGCCAAAGAATAACCTTAACGATTTTCAAGAACTTTTCAACTGGCTTACTCAAATGTTTGAAATCCACGTCTTTACTCTTGCATGCCAGCTTCAAGGTTAAACTCTAAAATTGAAAACATGGAAGATATGCCTTACTGGAGAGCGATGGATGGATTTTAGCCCCACAAGCCTCTTTAGCGTTAACTATAGTATTCTTAATACGTGAGAGATTTTGCGCTTGGCTGCATTCAAGTTTTGGAATGCGAGTGGACATGACGCCATAGCTGCTAACTACACTGAAAAGCTGTTCCAGGTCATTCTAAAGCCAGGCACTCGTGTGTTGATGCATTGTAAGTTACTTATCTTCATAATTTTCACCACTTGCTACAATTGATATGACTCCAAATCACCATGAACCTCTGATGTTTTTGGGAGTATAAGCGTGGTGCTTTCAGCTTGAGGTATGTTGCAACTTGCCAGCATTAATATTGTGAGTCTCTAGACAATGAACATTTCATTCATGTCAATTAGTCATCACTATTGCGTGTGTTTTGCCAGAACCTGCACAGAATAGAATAGGTGTCGCTAAGGGAGTTTTGGCATTACATGTGCAGTGTTACAAAATGCAAACTTCCAGCAAACTTCCAGAGCACTAAAAAATGTTTGCCTACTTGAAAATGGTGTCTGTTACATTAGCGCTTAAATGCTTAGTCTTTGTGACTGAGGTTTGTTTACTACTGTGACTGGCACTGCGGGGACTTGAAATTCTTGGCTACTGCACTTAATATTCAGCGAGGAAAAAAAGTGGAGCGTGATTGAAAAGGGTCACGTTTAATTTTTTGCTGCAGCCAACTTCTCGCAAGAGCTTGTGTCGAAAATCCCGGCCGACCTGGATTGTGGAGTGTACTACGGCTGGGCTTCCGTCAATGACGGGCCCGTCAACAAGATGGTGATGAGTGTTGGCTGGAACCCGTACTACAAGAATGAGAAAAAGTCTATGGTAAGGTGCCAGTGTTTCTACTGGCATCATTTGCTGCTACTTTGGTGACCAAGCCGTCAAGCATCGCCATTATCTGTATGGTAAAGTTGTCGAAGCTAAGCTATTATGCTGTAATCACTACACGACCGTTTGAAATCAGCCTCTTTCTTGTGCTATTAGGCTATGTTTGATACTTTCAACATAAAAGTTGCATGAAAACTAAAAAAAAAATGATTGCGTAGTGATCAGTGACGTGCTACCCAAATGTCAACTTTAGTGACAATTATGATTCATTTCAGAGCTGAAAATTTCATGATAAAGTGATATGACAAAAGTTTCTGATGCTCGTATCTCGTTACACTTCTGTACTGTAGAAGAAATTTTATAATACAGGTGTAAAGTTAATGCCTTCTTGACACACTCATCTGTCAGTTGCATTCTTCAATGAGACAACTTCACTTGTCAAAATGTCAGCTCCGGCAACACTTGGTTTTCATGAATTTTTCACTATCTGTAGAGTTGCAAAAGCTCACTCTCTTTTAGGCCACGCGGCACGTCGCGTCAGGCCCAAGATAAATGTGTTTTTCACAGCTGCCGTGGTACGAAAAACCTGCCAGACCCACTGTAGGGACTGTGAAATATGTGGCACTCTATCCCACTTGCAGCTGCAGCTGCCAGTCTTATTGTCCTAACTTTCAGCTGCAGTTTTTCCTTGTTCTCGGCAGGTAGTGCTGCTGTAGTCTGTTTCTTAGGCAAGCGTTGAGGTGTGCATACAATGCCATTATGTTTGTGCTTAGCAGCGATTTCCTCCTAACATAGTGTACCATTGGCTCATGGTAATTTGGGCTGGAAGCATGAAGTATATTTGCTGCAGGTAATTAACTCTGTAAAGCCGAACTTATAGTTTCAATTACACCCATTTTTATAGCTGCACAGTTAATTTGGGAAGCTGAACACAAATACCATAGTATCCTTTTTACACACCAGAGCACTTTTCTGTTGTGGCTTGTTTAGTAAACACTATTTATTTAATTATTTTACTGAGTAAGAACTCAAGTAACCCTTGTGTTCTTAGTGCAACTATATTTTTCATGAGCAGTGACAGAGGTGAAAAAGTTGTTTTGATCTTCCTTTAGGGGTAGTACTTTTTGGTAGTAGTTGAAAAATTGATTCTAGCTTAATTACTATTCAGTGCAAATGTTTTGCTTATCTGATAAAAACAGTGTAAGGTTAATCTATGCTGATATGCGTAGATTTATTGAGTGTCACATAGCAAGTGTATTGCTTCTTATTGAACTTTCATTTCAGGACCTTTCCTGAACAAAACAGCCAAATGCGACCACGCATAGACAACCCTGAATGATGTACATGTTTTGTGCAGTTTTTTCTGGCTTTGGGTAGACAGCTGATCTTGTAAGGCATGAAAGAACTCAAGACTATGTGTTTGTCACTTTATTGTACTGTAATCAATACATTTCAAAGAAGGAAGTCGAGGCTGTTGTATGATATGTTGAGTAGACCGTAGTGGGTTTAAAATTAGGTTGGATTTTATTTATTTGTTAGGCTTCTTAAGCTGCGTACTTAGAAATGTTAGTTTTTCAAAACGATAATAGCAATGAGCAAGACAGTAAGCATGCATTCCAAGATTTGTTGTGTACTTTTATTTGTCAGCAACATTGTTTGGTTTTGCTGACAGAGCTGTTGCCCTAACATTTATTTTGTTTTGTTGATTTCACTGCTTGAAACAAACAGCACAAGGCTACATTAAAATGACGATCACATTCTTAACAATACCCTCATTTGATAACTGTAGGAAACTCACATCATGCACAAGTTTGACGAAGACTTCTATGGAGCCGTGCTCAAAGTTGTGGTGCTGGGCTTTCTGAGACCTGAAAAGAACTTCAGCTCTCTAGGTGAGCCTCTGGAGCATTCTACTTATAGTACAGCCTTTTTTTTCCTTCATGCTTTAATTGAACTGTACATACAGTAGCCTTTCAATTGATTTGATATTGATGCTTACACAGCAACAGTTGCTGCGGGCTCACTTCGCAAGTTTAGAGCTTGCCTGTGTAATTTCTGTAGTCCCAGAAAGCAGTTAGAAAAAACAAACACATTGATGAATTAGGACCTATTTATGGGGTAGTTCGAAAATAGATTGTACATTACCATTAAAGCACTAATAATAAAACAAAACTGAATGCAGAGTGGTTCCGTGTAAAGTTTGCTCTGAATTTTTGTTGTGCTAACCGTTATTGATTTGAAATGTTCCCATGACATAACATATATACAAGGCACTAATCGTGTTTTGCACAAATAAGATGCCAATTTACTACGTCAATGTGCAGCCATCAACACTTTCAACTCGAACGCTCCTACGCGTGGCCTCGACTCGCTTCGACTGCGGTCAGCGCCACCAAGCGTTGAAAATGATATGCTTGCTGCAGTTAAGGATAGATGTAGCACGTGTCGGTTTCACTAGTAAATTTTTGTTTCCAGTCTGCCTGACCGGCGGGTCAAATGCAATCACTTTGCATGCTGTTTTCGCCACGTTTTGTACGTGGCTACCTTATAGCACACATTCATGGCGTTCGTTGTCGTATACTTATCTTGCAATGAACTATTACGTGCGGCAGCTTACGTACCTTTCGAGTTTCAATTCGTAGCTGCTGCTCAAAAGGAATCCCATGTATAAAAATCAGAGCAAAAGCACGTGCATGGCATTTCTAAAAGTTACACAATAAATCTGAAATGCAGTGGCGTTTTTCATGTCCTGATTCAATAATTTTCAGACCGTGTGAATTGAACTGCATGTTCTCGCAATTTAGAGTGTGCCTTGCTGCTCAGTTCGCACTGCATGGGAGATGTGGTCTTGGAGCGCAACATTTGTGCGGGTAATAATATGTGGGGTTTGATACCCCATGCAGAAGCATAATTTGATTATAAGATAATATGACAATTTAAGCTTTTATGCAAAAACCACACTAGAAAATTGCTTTGTTTGCATTATATCCATGCGTATTTCTTGCTGAGAACATGCAAAAACATATAAAACTCGTAATGTGTGTAAGCTGTCGCATGAAATTGTCGAGATAAGTATATACAACAACTAACATCATGGGTGCGCGCGATAATGTAGCCACAAGCACAATGTGGCGAAAACAGGATGCGAAGTGAGTGCATTTGACCCGCTGGTCACACAGACTGGAAACAGAAATTTACTAGTGAAACCCACACGCACTACATCTATCGTTAACTGCAGCAGGCACTTTATTTTCAAAGCTTGGCTGCGCTGACTTCAGTCCAAGCAAGCTGAAGCCACGCAGTGGAGCGTTCGAGTTAAAGGTGCTGACAGCTGTTCATTCCCAGCATAATATTTGAAAAAGTACTTGTGCTTTTTACAGTTATTACTGACATCTGTTTCTCATTGTGCATTTAGTCTAATTAGCTATAGGGGGATGCAGGTTCTGTGAATTCTGCTCTGTTTTGTGATCAATTGTTTTGTTCCTCACTGACTTCACCTTTCTTTCTTCCACCCTGCTAACACCCATCGCTCATCTGGTCCAGACGAGCTAATTTCGGCCATCAAAGCAGACATACGGAATGCCGACGAAAACCTCGACCGTGAGGAGTGGCAGCAATACAAGAGCCACAAGTTTTTCTCTGAGAACATTGCTAATGGCACTGACGTCGTGCGACAGGAGACGTGATCCTGGAATTCTTAGAGAAATTTTACAATTGTCCCCACCACCGTTTTCTTACGTTCCTTACCGCGACAATGCACACTAACTTATTTGTATCATTTCTCTCATCGCCTGTCCAAAATTCAAGCACATTCCTCATCCCCGGTGTAGTGCATTTATAAAAATGTATTTGTTGCGAATGTGAGTGGGTTAGTATTGCAAGACTCTTTGGCCTCCTCTTGAAGAGATTGACTCTGAGCAGGTACAAGAATGGAAAGTGCCTACAGAAATATTGCACCTAATTTGCCAGCTTTCTGCATCGATTGTCTCCATAGAAACTAAATTATTTGCATCATTTCTTGTTGTTCGTTCAGACTCAAACATAAATGATAAAGCATCTAAATAATGCATTTGAGAACTTCTTTCTAAACGCAGGTTTAGTAAGATGCTTCCTACTGTTAGTATATATTGCATTTGAACAAGTGATTATTTAGAAACAGTATTTAAATCCTAGGTTATGAGTGGAAGCATGCATTTTTTTCAAACACCGGTGTTACCTATGCTATGTTGAAAGAAGCACTCGAAAGTGCTTTAGTGTCACTGTCCGTTTTTGCCTTCCACTGTTGTCTAGGCCAACAATATGCGAGAGGGAACTAACTGCAGATGCAGTCGTAAATGCTGTGTTGTGTGTGGAAGTTTCAGAGCAGTTAGAAGGCTAAGGTGCTAAATTGTCAGTGTCATTCTGCTAATTAATCTGCCCTGAGGAAGCTTAGCACATCATGATTCAGCCCATGATGACGAGAAATTGGATGTGTTAAGACAAAAAATTAAACATCGAGATTGCAATGGTGAGTTTTACCAGCCATGACTGAACACAGTTCCACTGCCATTGCAATGACCTCAACATGCAAAGATAAGCCAGGCGATGCTCATATGTTGTGCGGTGCCCTTCTATTTCACGTTCAGTCAAGATATTAAACCTTGCGAGTGCGTTCCCTCATGCTGCATAGGAGCGCACTGAGTAAAATAGTCAACTTTGGAGGTTAATTTCTTATTACTGTCATGGTTGACATGCAAGTACTCTCATGTAAATTTCCCATGCTTTTTAATTTTGAAATTATGACTATCAAATTCCAAGTGACTGTGAACATTTCCAATGAGCTGTACCATACTTTTTATGCCTGAATTGGATGGCGCTTTATTTAAATCATTTCTGCGATTGTGAAAAAATGTTTATGTATTTGAAAAAGTTTACTAATAATTTTTTTGCATTATTAGTTAATAGCTATTTAATCATCTTGAGCTTCTACTTGCTGCATGGAATCGATCCTGTAAAGTTAAGGTAAGCATGTGTGGTAAATTTTGTGGCAGAGTAAGAAGTTTGCTGACAATGCAATTGAGAGCTTATTAGTTATACATCCATGACAGGAATAGCAGCTTACTGATGTTGTTGAAGGGAAGGCTGAATAATGAATACATATGTCCAGTGCTAAGTTACGGGGTCAAAAAAAGCTTAAAAAGTATGAAAAGAAATTGAAAAAGAAGTCAACATAGCTAAGATAATGTTAACACGAAAAAACATCAAGTCAGCAGTATTAGTGAGAAAAGAATTGCCAGTATCCAACATCCCGGTGGATATTTGGGATATGAAGCAGAGTTGTTCATTTCTTGTAGTTTACAAAGCCGGTTATTTATTTGTTGGGATTAACACAAGAGGAGGATAACACTGTTGAGGGCAGAAGAAACCTTAACAATTAGAGACAATGTGAAAACATCGCAGGAGGAAGATAGCTAGCACGTGACGAGTGATTCACTACCCCTGGAAAAAAGCAATTGTGCTGCATCGGGCTTATGCAGGCCGATTGTGATTGTAGTCTTTCAGCTTGCCATGAAAGCTCTGCAGAAACAATGACGATTCACTGTTGAGGTAGCAGCAGGGCAGGCAAGCTTAGCATAAGCATGCTACTGTACAAAGCAAGCTTCACGACTTGACAAGTGCTGCTTTCATTTTATTTTTGCACTCATGTAATTTAAATAAGGTACTTGTTACACTTGTTCAGTAGAACTCTGCTAGTACATTCCTTACTCATAAGTTATATTGGTTACGATGTTGCTGAAGCCTATGAGAAGGCAGCAGGTTTGTGTCGCATGTCATCTGTACATTACGACGATGTGTTAGGTTCTACTGCAATCGTTAGCCGATTTTTTATGTTGTAGTGTGTCTTGTGGGATCAAGGTGTCGGGTGGCCTTTTCAAGCACATGTGCTCAATTTGTTAATTTATTCGCATCTTTGGTTTCTCTGCTTCTTTCAATTGTCGTACAATGTTCAGAGCGGTCTTGTTGTGTCAGCGTTCTATCGTTTTGTAGATGCAAGCTTCTGAGATTCCAATGTTTTACTGGCGAGATGTGGGCACTCAAACTCATTTTTTATCACGCAAATCTAGCATCACCATTGCTGTTGAGCATCACTTTTGGGCAGTGTCATGTGTTTTATTGGAAATTCCTGATGTGCTATCTTTTAATTCTAATGCATGAAAAGGCCCACCTTGGTGCATTTACAAAGAGATCTGACCTATTGGCACTACTTTATTTTTTTATATGTATCGATTCAAATGCAGTTATTTTAATAAAGGAGTTACAGTTGCGTGCTTTGTTTCTGTGGTTCTTGTATAGATTTTTCACGAAACAACTTGGTGAAAATTTATTAGCACTACTGATACCCATAAAAATGTTTAGGAGCAACAACTCGCACACTCTCCGGGAGAAGTAGTATTTTAAACTTGTTAAAAATGTTTTAGATGCATAGCGCATTTTAAAGGGGTCCAACAATATGATTTTAATGTTTCATGAAAGCCAGCCTGCTTGTTAGATGTAACTACAGAGACTGCATCTGCATTTTGCACAAAACACTCGTTACCAGTGAAAGAGAGGCTCGTTACTTCCTTTATGCCTCAGACTTTCGAGGTTAGCTCAAAAGTCCAAGAGGAATAACGGGAGTAGCCATCCACACTCTCATTGGTACGTAATGCATGTTTTGTGCAAGGTCTGGGAGACTGGAATGCAGCACTCGGCAGCAGCTGAGGCCTCGCAAACACAGTGGACAGGACTGCTAACTGATGTGGACCGAGCACTGTGTGTGGCTTATTCTCCAAAAGCCTTACATTTCTTTGCACCGTCCTTACCTTGCTAAAGCCGCACGTGTTACCTGGCCAATAATATATGTGCATAGTACATGAATTGTTGGCCAAGTGAAACGTGCGGCTTTAGGAAAAAAAAAAAAAAGACTGCCCAAATAAATGTGAGCCCATTGAAAATATGCCACGCAGAGTGCTCTAAAACAGGTTCACAGGTGGGAAACAACAGCCAGGCCTGCACGGAAAGGGCAGTACAGTCGCAGTGAAAGCTGGAAGAATGCCATTTCTAGAACTCTTTGCAAACTCTGTTGGGGCTACTAATACAAATACGCTTGCAAGGTACCCACTGCTACATTAACTGATTTAGTGGCTGATGACGATGAATTATGGCTGAGCTCTTTGTAATGGGTTGGAAGCATTTAATGACCCACTAGTTACGTCCTTTGTATTGTGCGACGCTTGGTTACACAATTCGCCTTCTGCGACGCCTGGTTGCTATTTTGCTCTTTTAGCCCGACATATTATGTATGTTAATGTGGTTCCTTCCCGATATAACACTTGTACAACGTGTATGTGCGCAGTTTCGCACACCAGCATGGCTTTGTGGTAGAATACCGGGCAGCTACGGAGAGGGCCCAGGTTTGAACCCCGTTTAATCCAGAATGTTCTTTCTTATTTCGCGTGATAGCAGTTACGGACCCCGGCGGCAGCGGACAACTACGGCACCCTTGTTGTGATCTCGTAACAGCTCTCGCTGTAAGACTTCAAAGCAGCAGCAAATACGGTGCTGCTGCCTTTGTTCCACTGTAACCCATGAACAACACTTGGGAGCAAAAAAAAGCAGCTTCAGTGTAGCTTATTTACAAATTCCAAATGTTGCTCCTTTGTGCGCTTAAACATGAATATGTGGGTTTGAATACTGGCAATGGTGGCTGTCCTTGTACCTAAATTGGGGTGCACATTAAAGAATTCAAGGTGCTCAAAATAGATCCCAAAGTTCCCCATTGCGGGGTGCCTTGTGTTTATTTAATTGTTCAGGATAAATAAAACCAAAGAAGTGCATTGAATTTCAATCGTCTATTTGCAAAAAACAAAAATTAAGTTTGCTACTAAACAGATCTCCTGTCCAATGAAAAGTTCTTCTGTTGGCAGACCCACCAGTGTGTTCCTTATTAAACATCAAAGACTTGACACCAATGAGCACCAATAGTGAGTAGACCCTTATCGTGATGAAATAATTCATAACTGCAATGCACAAGATTAAACATGCGTAAATGAGTAAATGGTTGAATACGCGATTGGACCATGCCATATCTATGCTAAATATGCTGCTGTGATCAACTTTCAACTAGTGACAGGCTGCTACCTGTTTCGAGGCTCACGCAGTATAATGGAAAAGTTCAAAGGGTAACAGAAAGGTCAATTTGCAATGTTATGAATGTGTTAAGCGCACGTGACTTCACCTTGGCTCAATATTCCGAAGAAAAGCAAAAATAAGCCAATGCTGTGAAAAGGACATCACACATATAATCTAAACTTGACATTTAATGTTTGAAGGTCTACAACAAGTTAACTAGAGTCGGTTGGTTTTGTCGGTGATCTCGTGCTGCCCGCATGCTCATGCGGTTTGAATCTTTCCGGGAAGAACTCTTGAATTGTTGCCTCCTGCTCTGGAAAAAGAGCTTCAACTGGCAGCTTCTCGAAGGGCACTTCCGTACCTTCATCAACTCGCACAGCCTTGCCAACGTGTTGGATCCGAAAGGGGACCATGCCTTTGTCCACCTTGTTCACCTGTTCAAAGAAGGCAAGGTCAAACATGCAGGAACGATTTCATTCTTTCTAAAGGCCTCCAAGCCACCTCTGATATTTTCTAAACATTTCCGATGGAGTGTATTGAAGACAAAAGCGAAATGAGCCGAGGCCATATTTCGATCACTGGACGCAACTCCACTATCGCGGCACCTCTATCACCGCTATCACAGCTATGTGTTCTATCTCGTGCACAAAGCAATGCCCAAACTAATATCAAGCTTCCAGGCGGTTTAGGGGCCCTATAAGGTTTCAGAACATGGGAAAATTATCAATACCCATAAAAAATTAGCAGAACAAAAATTTTGCAACTCACTATCGGAACAGCGGGCTCTGTAAACAGGCTTAGAGCACAAGCCTCTGAGCATTTTCGCATTAAGCATGCTATCTCCAGCATGAAATAAAAGCATAAATCTTTTACTTATGATCACATCCTACTGTATTGGTTGAATAGCAAATTATGTCTATTTACGTATTGCCGATGGGGCAATACGTAAATAGACATAATTATGTATGGAGGAGAAAGGGAGAAAACATTTTTTAGTACTGACATTTCAGCGTGAGAAAAGCACGATGCAGAGACAAGTCCCACGACAACTACGGGGGAGCAGGTTTTAGTAGGTACGTGTAGAAAAACCTCCACACTATTGATGGAAGTACCAGGGAAGCTGGATTTTGAGTCTCTGAGCATCTTCTTTACTCACTTCGTGGTGAAAATGTTGTACTATTACGTTACGTGGAAAACAAACAACCGCGTAATATAATACGTCACAGCGTGCCATCGAAGTAGTACTGATGTCTATCGTAAGCCAACTGTGCCTGACAAGGCACTCCCAACATGCGAGTGTAAATATTTCGCTTACATAAATGGTGGCAAAGAACACCTTGTTCTCCTTTCCATCATAGTCTGGTCCAGTAATGGGTGTTTCAGGAAGCTCTATGGCCTCCTCTGGTACAGTAATACCCTGAAAAATAATGCCATGAATGATATTTGCACTGAGAATGAAATCCCTCCTACACTTGTATGTATAATTTTCGTATATTAGCATGAAAATGAGGACTTTTTTTTTCTCAAAAGCTCATTAAGATATTCGGTAATCGACCACTTACACAAAAAGGACATCACTACACAGAAGGAAATGCAAGAAACTAGTTCTTTAATATGCATTAGGTTGATTTTTTTGTAGCCAAATCTCTTGACCAAATTACAAGCCGAGGCATACTGAGAACAGAACTGACCGCTTGTCGAAGGGCGATCCTAAGATGCCATGGCTCCACTGTCCATCCTTCATCCCTGTTCATGGGAAGTCTGATGATTGTAGATTTCAGCATGCGAATCATCTGGCAAAACAATGGGCATAATTAGAATACAGTTCAGTCATAATGCCACTAATCTATGTGCTTTGTTACAAAGGCGTAGAACCATTGCAGTATACATCACTGCCCACCTCAGTATCTTTTTTCTTCAATTAGCATTTCATAGTAGCGAATTGCACTCAGGTTCCGTCTCAGATGCTACTGTGAAATACATGGGAGTAAATTAATGAGAGGCCACTGATCAGTCAAATAACTAACAACCCTGCTTACTGCTTCAGCAGCAGCGTTATTAATATTTTTTGCGAGATTTCCAGATCTACACGGTACATTGTGGCTACCATAGTTTAGGGTAGAAGTGCACAGCTTTGAAGCATTACATAATTCACAAACATGTAAACATTTACTGGGAGCCCAGTTTCAACACCCTTACAATCCATCAAGTCCGATTCAGCGTTTACATTTAGTGCCCTTGTCTGGAATGTAATGTTGCAGATAAAACTTAACCTAATGTTTTACTTACCACCGGAGAAGTACGGGTACTGAACACTGGACCCAAGTCTGCTGTTTCCTGCAGACAAATTAATTAGCCAGTGAAAAATAAATAAACTACTACTTCAACTCTCGCAATACACATCCTCAGCCTGTTTTTAGCGAATGTCACAAATATTGAGCCAGACCACAATAGAATTAAAATAGAATTAAACTATTTGCACAAAAATTGTGGACTTCTCCTCACACAGGAAGCTTATGCATGCACTGCCTCAACGACACCTTACATGCAACCTATTTAAAGCAAGGAAGCTAAGACAGTAGAGACACAATAAGAATTGCATATGAGTGATACGCATGTAGTATTTATGCAGGAGAATACAGATGACTTACCACCCTCATTTTTTCACGGAGTTTCAAATTTTCTGGTGTGGCGTACATGGCCAATCCTGGGACAATCAAGTGCGACAGGCCGTAAAATGGCCTCACGGACACGACGTCCCATTTGTTCCCGAGCCCTGGAAGAAATATTCTACAAGATATAGAGGAATGCATTCGGCTCTGTTCAGACATGTATTCTTTTTTTCTTTATTTTTTATCAAAGTTGTGGCGCTCAGTTGTTATCTAGAGCTGTACTAAATTAGTACACTACTTTTACAATGCCGACCCCCCTCCCCCAATTAATTTCCTATAATATAGCGTTCGCCCATAGCTTGACAGGAAAAACAAAGGCACCAGACCAAAACAGAAAAAGGGGGGAGTGAGTGAACTGGTGGCGTCGCACCAAGTTCCTGCACCCTCTCGCTATGTTATGATAAATTTTGAAAACATCAACAGGGGTATGCAAATACTAGAGTTCTTAATTCGAATTAAATAAAAACTAACCGAATAATTTGGCTCGACTTTCGAATAGCTAGTACTCAAAGTTTTGTATAATTCATATTTGGATATCTTGTGCAACAGAAGCCAATGGTGCGGTTTAGTTAGGGTCAGGTGACTAAATCTAACACTAACATTGTTACAGCAGGCTTTTTTTTTTTTAATCACCGATAGTTTAGTTCGAAGCTGAGCGCATGTTTATTTTAGAGGAGATTGTAATTTTCGCACATAAAAAAACATGCATGGAAAAGCTGACGAGCTCTTCACAGCTTTATTCCCGAAGCGTAAAAATACGGACTTCTTTCATATGCCGCAAGTGATACAAAATGACAATTTCGACCCACAGAACCTTCATGGTTTTAAAAGTGAAAATTTTTTCACACCGTGCGGTCACTACTGCCACAGTGCACCACTCATCGAGAAACACTTGTCGGTACGGTGTCAGTTAAAACCCTACTGTGAATGGGCGCCCGAAGGCTTTTGGGCCGAGGGCACTCATGACATTGCTCTTTCTTTAAACCTTCAATAAAATCTATATTCGATTCTGCGAGATGACATGGCACTATTTGTACATCTCTACTAATCAGGCAAGGTTAATTTTACATCAATAAATATTAACCACAGTTTAATCAACAGCAGGCGTTCTCAAGCATGTTGGTGCCAGAGAACCCTGCTAAGCTACATTAAGCGCTAAAGACCCCCTTTTTCCCCGACAAGCTTTCTTCATTTTTCATTTTTATTTTCAATAAATTCAAATTAAAAATCTGTGCTGCAAAAAACTTTCAGAGTAAGCTCTATGTCTGGCATTCTTGCTGATGTTGAATGATTCACAATCTTGTTTAGAGGGCTAAGCGTAGCGGGCAGCGTGTGCGGGGCCAACGGTGGTAGTGGGCAAACGAGCGTAGCAGAGGTGCGGTACCTATTTCAAGTAGCCAAAATGTGCATGGTGGTAATATAAGGCCCCCAAGATATAAGCCATCGCGAGTCCCATTTTTTGGAGCCTGGCTGGCTACAAACTGAGAGAAACTTCTAGACGCCTAAACCACCACAGGAAGAAAGACACACAGAGAAAGAGCGTCAACTCTCAACTGATTTACTTGCAGGAGAAACGCAAGAAATATATACAGCCGCACCACACATGCGCAAAGCACACTGTATCACCTAGTCACATGACCACAAATAAAAACTGAGGGCATTCAAAATGCATATCTAATCAAGCAACAAAGCACCAAAATCAAACTCAGACATTCGCAAAACTACTGACGTGTCACACCTGTCAACCACTGACGTGTCAATGGCTACAAACTGCTGGCGGGATTTATTGTGCAGCTTGCACATTTCTGTTACGCACTGGGATGTGCTTATTGATGGTCGGGCGTGAGTAATGGAGGTTCCCTAGATCGATCACACCTCGGGATCGCCATCTAAGTGAGTTCAGTGAGCGAATGCAGAACCAGGGAAAATTTATCAGTGGCTTGTGAAACCCCAAGGAGGAACCTGCGAAACACGAAACCCACTTTGAAAAACCTCTGATATAAAGGACTTAATTTCGGGAGTTTGAGTATTAACACGATCCTAATAAGAGAATAATATCAGTAAACCGTACGTATTACTTGAAAGTGTTTAAGTCTGAATTCTAAGATAAAAAATGTCGTCGAAATATGACAGTCCTCTGTCTGGGAAGCACTGCATGAGATATGGACGCCATCTGGCAGTGCCATCAGGAAACATGAGCTTGTGCAGAACCAAGGGGCCACTGTGAGGTGGCAGCACCATGTCGTCGGCAGAGCGCTTTTTTGTGCATGTCATTGCATTTTCAACAAAGCTCAAGAAACGCCCGCTTTTTCGTGCGCAGCAATGCACTTTCAGTGTAGCGTAAGGAACACTTGGGTATTTAGAATTGCGAATTTATGTGTAAAGAAACACACCACCTAATACTTACGTATTGACGATGCATCTCAGATAGGTGTAATATTGGCTTTTTGATCAATAATGTTCACAACAATGAACGCACCCACTAGATCAAGAGGGCTGGGCATCGAGCAAGTGCTTAAACTTTGGCCGGGGGTGGGGGGCTGAATCGTCGCAAAAATACAGACCAATAATCCTGCACTTAAATTTCCCAAGAAACTATCCTTTTTAAAAATATGGGAGTTTGGTTTTCGGTGACCTTCTCTCCTAGTAACAAACCTCTCACGGCAACACTAACAAAAGGCGTACTTAGAGAGAGAATAGAAATAGCAGTGTGAGCTTATTTACTATTTTTCATCGACTGCCTAAAAACCACAAATAACAACACGCATTTGGATAACCAAAACATTAGTCAATTGTTCTGTAACTATTTCAACTGTCAGGTAAAAACTTGAAAGGCAAGCCAAGTTCACAACTTGAGGCAAGCTAAGTGCACAAGTTCACAACTTGTGCACTTAGATCATTTACCAAAGCTACCAACTTGCAAATTTATCTAGTTAGTTCAGCAAAACCATGGAGGTTTAAAAAATGTGCACTGAGTCACCTTCAACAAATTTTGTCAGAATGACATCGATGTTTGGCTTCTTCCTATTTTCCGTCTCTTCTTCGCAGACGTAGATGTAGTTCTCTTTTGTCAGGGATCGAGGCTTTTTGTACCAGGTCTTCGACAGAAGGGGATGGACAACTCGCCTGAGTATCTGGGTTGCCTGAAAAAGAAGAACAAGGATATGTTTTGATGGCAATGCCCGATTTTATATAATCTCTCCGTCAATTAGCAGTGTCGGCTTCTTGGCCCATTCCTATATAAATATTGCGCCAAGATCACAATTGATGATGATCCTCCAGCAGCTAATCAGCATGCCTTTCAATGTGAGTAATTTCGAGAATTTCAACCAACTTTCAACCAGAGATACTTTCAACTAGCTTCCACTGACACCCATCATAGTGTTATACAGTCACTTTTGATTTCAAATCGGGCCTGATGCCAATTGCATTTCTCTATTTGTGATTGGCTTGTCTACGCAAGCTGCAGAATGAAGCCCACCAACGTCGAGAAATGTGATGCTGATGGGGCTTCGTTGAAGCCATCAGTGCACCTCGTGGCACTGTTATGAGCCACTTCGAGGCTCCTTCGAGATTGGGCTTCAAAAACGAAACTATGACATTTTCCAGTGTCGTGTGAGCTGAGCGAAACAGAGGGCATGAAGCGATTTATTGTGGTTGAGCAAGGAATGCCACTCAAGCCAACGCTTTAACAAGTGCAGTTGTCTTCCTTTGCCCTGGTAGATAAAAGACTTACGGCTGAAACACTGGTGGCTTAGTGACACTTTCTAGTTAAATCAGTGATCTGCGAGCAACGAGGTCTACGAAATCTTGCGATACACAGGAGCTACCGGGATGTTAGAGAAGGCGATCGTTAATTAGTCACTTTTTCCTACGGCTTGCCCAACTTTTTTTTTTCAAAGAAAATCTATCAAAGCGTTGGTAGCAGTATACCGTTGCACATCCAACTTTTATCACAAGCCAAGAGTTATCATTATTATTATTATTGGTTTCGAGCTGGTCTCGTACAAGCCGCACTTCCGTCTGTTGATTTATTGGTTCTAATTTAGCTGATCGTATTGATCTCTTCTTAAAAAGTACCGGTTATTCGCCACAACTTCTATAAATCTGATTGACTCATTCGCGAGCGGTAACAGAATATCAAAAGCATTTTTATTTCTTTGTAGCTGGCCCATAGTGTACAACTTACCCTTACTTCCTGGTGGAGTGGTGATTGAAGGTTTCTTAATAAACTAAGACTCGCGGAAGATGTTTTCAGCATTTTGGCTCGGATGCTGCGAAGTAAAGAGAGAAACTATGCGCGATCCCTTGACTACTAGCACAGGCGAACAAGCTAGCATCGCTCTTCTAACCACATCATAATTTTGCTGCTCGTTTAAGGAACGCTGTCCTTTACAATGCTTAAAACACCCTAATCATGCACCATGAACTGTGCGCACAGTGGTGTCGCCTTTTAATTAAACTGGTCCCAAAGATCTTTCAGCTTGTTTCACCGAAAATCTATGGTTTCACCGCAATAACCGAACGCACATGGCCGCCTGCATTCGGCGTTCCCAAAAAATAAGCTATTTCTGCTAAATTTAGAGAACAAAATCAACAAAACTTTGCTCAAAACAATAACGCAAAATGTGAGTAAAATATTGTAAGTATAAAAATTATTTAAAACGTTATAAAATTGTTTTGGCATTTTAAACTTACGTCTCAAACAATGTTTTTGTTTGTGTTTATAATGTTTGTTTAGAGTCAATCCTGGTCAAGCCACGTGCAAGTCGTATCCAAATGAAGCACATCAATTGCGAGAGTCGTGGGCGGGAGTGATAAGTTGGACATATTTCGCACACGATGCCTCTTGTAGTTATGTGCGGACTTCCTTGCAGCGGCAAATCAACTCGAGCGCGACAGCTAAAGGAGCGCTTGAAGGGAACGTGGCCAGTTGAACTTGTCTCGGACGACGAAGGACTCGAGCGGAACGACGTTTACACAGGTGCTGCTAGATGTTTCGAGTTTCTGTGTGTTAGGATGCGCGCTTTGGCGCACGCATCGATGGTCAGTGAAACACGCTTCCTTGGTAGCGCGCGTAGAACATGGAGCGGCTGTATTATGTACAACATGGCAAATGCTTGTGGTTGCAGATGCGGCACGGGAGAAGCAGTTGCGCGACCAGCTAAAGTCGGACGTGGCAAGGTTTGTGCGACACGGCTCCCACTAAGGGATTCCAAGCGAATGACTGCCCTCTCCGCGCAGGTTGCTGTCGCGAGACCGTCTGGTGATTCTCGATGCTCCAAACTATATTAAAGGTTTGACCTACCACTTTTTCAGCGAATTTTACACGACACAAAACAAAGCTTGCTGCCCTGTGCTTAAAATATGACAGCCACTAACCAACGAACAGACTGGACTAAGAGCTTGTCTTCACTCGGAGTCAGTAAAAAATCAGGTGGGCAGATGAGATTGAGAAGTTTGCGGGTGTAATGTGCCCGCAGCAAGGACAAGGCCGGGTCAATTGGCGAAACACGGAAAAAGCCTTTGCCCTGCAGTTGGCGCAGTCATGCTGATGATGATGAACCATCGACCATTCTGCTTCATTCTCCCCAACAGTGTCAACGAAAAACAGCTGTGTGCATTTAGATACAATGTAATAAACTATCTGCCAACAAACTTGCCCCCCCCCCCCCCCCTAGTAAATTAGTTTTCGTGAGTAACGGAGAGACTCAACATACCGCTGCATCCTCTTGCACTGTCAATGTAGGAAGTTTCGGAATGAGTACCCAGTACTGTCGCACCTAATTAACATAGCATTTTCCCTATTTTGGTGATTCGAACTTTCACCCAGCCTTGTACATGTCTTTGCAGGCTACCGGTACGAGTTGTATTGCCTGGTGCGTGGGGCACGAACAAACCATTGTGTGGTAAGTTGCTTGTGAGATTCGTACCATTATGCAGGATGGTTTTGGTATGTTAAACCCCACATATCAATCAATCAACCATTATGTAGGATTTAAAATCGGTTGGCAAGAAGCAGGGTGGAACGTTAGTTACATTCTTGCAAATGTCCTGTGCAAAACCAAACATTAAAACTAAGTTAACAAAAAGGGTGGCGTCATAGGCATAGCCTCGTAGCATATTGGTTTATCAATATGACGGTCTTAGTAAAGGCAGCATATTCACATTGCACTTTACCTGCTTCAATCTGATAATGATGCGGCCACAGCGTTATTGCCGTCTTTGCTTCAATAACAAAATAAATTTCAAGATACTGTAATGTACTAGACAGTGAACAAGAGACAACACCCGATCCTGGGCCAGCTGTTCTTATTCTGCTTCATCTTCCTTGCTCGCCTAGCATGTGCCTCTGTGCCAGTTTCCGTCTTCGTCGTCACACTCGGCCATGACTGCAAACATTGTCGATGGGCCACACGACAATGTTCATGTGGGTGAGGCTAGCTGCAGCAGTTGACGTTGCTTCAGGTGGGCGGGGTTGGCTGCATCATCGTGGTCGGCCCCGACCACGCTGGAAGTTTGCCGAAAATGGCTCCGGCGGCCGACACTGGCTATGTCGCCCGGGTCATTCGCCATGTCGTGGTGGGGACTGGGTCCTGGTTGGTCCCTTCGTTGATGACTCCGCGGGGCGACTTTGACTGTCGCGTGGCATTCTACAGCCTCGGCCACGCTGTGACTTTTTAGAGAAAGTAGTTCGCCTCCGGTTTTCTTTTGGTAGACCGAGCAGGCATTCTCGTGGTAGAAGTTTCCTGCGGTGGTGTGGTTTTCTTGGAGATTGTTCTGGCGGGTGGCCTCGACTGGATCGACATGGTCACAGGTTGATCACAGAACGCTTTCCTTTGTCCCACCACATTTTAGAAAACAGGGCAGGAAATGGTGGATCCGGCAACGAAACGAGTAGCATCTTATGCAGCTGTGTGCGCAATTTTCTGCGGATCGAGAGATGTTTTTCGGAGCGATTAGACATCTGCACGAACTTGGGGTGAAGTCCTCATGCTGACCTGTGGCGTGGCTCCTGCGCCGTGACTTGCGTAGTCCGTGAATTGCGCAGCGTTGTCGCTATGGGTCTCCCGGACGTTGTAAAATCAGCGATTCTTGAAGCCACGCTGCGTACTGACGGGAGATTCTCGACGGAAGCCGTTCCGAAAATCGAAAACTCTACCGGTTCAGGCAGTGCATGCGTCGCGCGCACATCCTCTTCCGTCTGGTCAGATGGGATGTTATTAGACTCAGCCGAAAGGCCTGTCTCATTAGGTGGTAGAATGTCCAGTAGGATGGGGGCCGGTGCCTCTAAGTCGACCGGACGACCTGCGTTGGGGCCTCTTGCGGAGCGTTGCGCAAAGCTTGCCATCTGGGACCCGCCAGACACAGCTGCACCGTCGGGCCAGTGCTCCTCAGGAGCTCTAAATGCTACAGCAGAAAAGCCTGTGCAAGGCAGATTTACACGATCGTGATTGTTCCCTACATCTTGGTCACCGAGAGATTACAGGATGGTAGGGGCTCGAATCGCATCCTCTAGGTCGGGCTTTTCCCTAGTTTCGTCCTGAGAGAAGGTCGAGTTACATGGGCAGGTGGCACAGGGAATCGAACCGAAAGCAGCTATGAGCTTGACGCTCCACTCCGCCCATGACTGCTGCTTCCAACCTTCATAACGGTGCCACGCCGCTGCACCTTCCCGAAGACGGTCTATGGCCACATACCATTTCTGATTCTCTGTCCAGGCCGCGCGCATTGCTAGCGCGTTGACGGTTGCCACCCAGCTGTCGGCGTCGTTCCGGACCCCGTCGAATTTTGGCAGTTCGTAGGTGGACGGCGATGGTGGAGCGGCACGTGAGAATGCGGATATCACTGAGGCAACGCCGTCGAGCTGGTCTGAGAGCTGCAGGAGGGTGCCCCAAAGCTGCCTGTGTTGCTCCAATGGGCTTGCCTCAAAGTCGTGCGAGGCAGCTACCAGGAGCTCGCTCAGAGATTGACGCTGTCAATTCATTAGTCTTGACGCGGAGTAGCGCGATGGTACGCCACAGGTTCGCGGCGTTGTCGTGTGTGAAGTCCGAAGCGTTGGTGATCGTGGTCTTCGAATGAGTAGCGGTTGCAGCACTCACGCCGGTGAGGTTGACGAGCAGAGAAGCCTGGACGGCATTCCTTGGCAGCTCGTATGTTGAAAGAGTGCGGCAACGGGAATGTAGGCCATGGGAAGCGTGAGCGGCATCCCCAAAGGACAGGAGCCGGTGCGGATCCCTGCCGCGAAACGGTGGCACGGTGTCAATAAGGTCATGCCCTACAACCCCAGGGGAGGCCTGGACGCCGTCCACTGGTGGTTTGAAGAATAGCTGAAGCGGCGGGTGGGACCCCATTGCCAAGGAAGCGTGAACGGCGTTCCTCGATGGAGAAACCCGCACTGCCGACGAACCACGAAGACACGTACCGGTGGCTTCCCGCAGAGCGTTCACTTGTCGGCTTGCGCTGACGGCAGAATCCATAGCCAAGGACGCGTGGACGGTGTCCCTTGTGAAATGGTACCGGTAACGTGTACTGCAGCCGCCGAGGAGGCCTTGACGCCCTCCCCGAACGGTGGTGGCAGTGGTGGCAGGTGAACAGTTGCCGAGGAGGCCTTGACGCCGTCCTCAAGCGGCGCTTATCGCGGCTGCCCTGGATGACGAAGCCGGGACGTAAGACTTCTTCTTTGTCGACTGCGCCATTGTAATGTACTAGACAGAAAACAAGAGACAACACCCGATTTTGGGCCAGCTGTTCTTATTCTGCTTCTTCTTTTTTACTCGCCTAGCATGGGGGTCTGTGCCAGAGTGCCAGTTTCGGTCTTCGTCGTCGCAATACGTAAAGGTAACATTAACGCAATGTCACAAACCTTGCGTCCTACCATGCAGTGCACCAAGGTAGCAGTTTGAGTGATGTTGGTGCGAGCCATCTATTAATTCCTGTCCAAAGATTGGCCCCAAAAACGAGACACTAGCACAACAATGTCATGTGTTCTCTCTTTCATTTGGATCTCGTTTTTGCATTAAATTCTTGACAAGTTCAAGCTTGCTTCATAGCTTTTGTGTTCCATCGTGGCTATTAGCTACGCTAGCGAACACCTCCAGCGCTACATGCCCATATATTCCCGCTGAAAAAGCTGGGAGGATGACTGCTGCTGCAACTCGCTTGTCGGAGCATCGAATACATCATCTTAAGGTTGTAGGTTCGGTGCCTGCCAGCAGCAAGTTGATTTTTGGTCCACTTTAATTCATTTATGTTTAAATCATAATTACTACACTGCAGTTACATACTACAAATAATTGATCCTATGCTTTTCTTGGCTTCATTGTCTGTTGGTTTCTTAAGTTGTATATAACCAGAAAAACGAGTTGTTGACAAATTCTTCTTCCTTTGTGCCGTTCAATAGTTATGCAGCATGTGCCGGCAGCAGCAGCAAAATGTACACATGCACGCCGTCTCTTGGTCTTCACACAGGTGCAAGTGCTGGCTACCCAGGACCAATGCAAGCAGTGGAACGCACAGCGGCCTCAACCACAGCAGTACACGCCGGAGGTGTGGGCGAGCACACGTGGTTGGCCGGGCATCCTGAAATTTTGTTTATTTTTTTCAGAATGACTGCCTTGGCTGAGAGACTCGAGTCGCCCGACGCAAACAACCGCTGGGACCGGCCACTGGTTCAGCTGTCCTGGGACACCGACGACTCAGAGGCTGCCAAGGAGGTTGAAAACGCACTGTCCGACCATCGGCCGCTGCCACCACACCGTTCCACACAGAATGTAAGGACAGTGCCACCTCACTTCTGTATTAAAGGAAGACTAAACAGAAAAACAGTTGTACTTGTGTGAGCAAACTGCCCTTCCACAGCACCAAAAGCACCACTTTTTGTAAGGAGGCAATTGGTGAGCCACAAAACGCACACGAATGAAGTACAGGTCGCGACACCACTATCCAATTAAGTTCTCACGTCAACTTACCACAATGTTGTGGATCCTGACATCTGGTATGGGAATTAAATTCAAAAAATATTATTGTGTTGTGCTCCAAGGTATCCAAAAACCTTCCAAGTTTTAGGAAATTTCATTAAGCCAATACGGCCATAATACGAAAAGACTGAAATATGTGACATCACGCTTGGTAATAATAGCAGGAGTTTTATGTGCCAAAATCACGTGTTTACAAAGCACTCTGGGGTGGAAAACTCTGGACATGTGCGTCACTTCACAGTGACACTTGTGCTCTACTTTTTCAGTGGGAACTTCAAGAATGAAACTTTGACCTTTGGTTTCACGTTATAATGTGACTGAATAACAGACAGACTGTGTTACATGAAATTAATAGTATTTTTAAGCACATACTTTTCTCTAATCAATGTTTCATGGTCTCCTTGTACAGGCACCCTTGGTTGCAGACCTCCATGAGCGTGACCAGTTGACACTCAGTTTGGTGCAAACAATGCTGCAGTCTGGCGACCCAATATCCTTTTGCTGCAACCGAAAAGTAGTCTTCGGCGGTGGATGCTAGTTTCACTTATCACCTTAACTATAATTTCACTGGCAAGAGCAGTTTATTGAGGTATCGTAAACTGCTCGAAGCTTATGAGATCTCTTATTTTGCCTCTTAGCCTGTTTTTTTTCAGCCAACACCTAGACTGTTGTAATAGTAGCAGGTGTGATATGAGGTCACAGAAACAACCTACTTATATTGAATGAAATGATGGCTTACAGGCCTTTGCAACATCCCTTGAACACACGGCTTTTTTACGCTCTCTCCAACTGTTGTTTCCTTTCATGCTTAAATGCAAACACAGAAATGCTGTCAGCGGATCATGCCGCAGCAGATGCAATACCCAAGGTACTAAGACAGTCACGTGAAGTAGTACTGCATCTTTGGTACTGATCACAAGGAACTCCTTTTGTGCTGCAGTGCACATCAAAAGGAGCATAGGTTGAAAAGTAGAAAAAAAGTGCAGCACACAGCCTTTTAAATGTCAATACTATAGTGTTTGAAAGACGATAAGACTAAGTCGTGCAGTCGTATCCACCATGACAAGGCGTTCACATTGTCTACTCTGTGCCTGGTTGAAGGCAAAGGAAGTACAGCCTTCATCTGTGAAAAAAAAAGTAACACCACTGTTGCTTCATAGAATTGCATAAGGCAAGGTATTAAAGATGATGAAATGTGTACTAAAGTAAAACATTCTAAAAGCTGAAGAGTGACCCGAGGGACAGCTTCAAAATGAGAAAGGGGTGAGCTTTGGGCAAGTTGAAGAAAAGGCTGTATTCTGACATTTGGTTTCCGAAGAGATTGCTTGGCCAATGAGCTTTTGGGCGACGCCGTCGCTACAGGGTTGTGACGATAGCATCGCCCAATCACCTGTTGGCAAAGTGAGCTCTTCAGAAACCAAATAATTTCTGAATATAGTGTCTGGAATCCTTCGTAATGCCCATAAATGGAAGTATGCGAGTGTTTTTGTATTCTGCATCCCTTTAACGTGTTGCTGAATATCACTCCGAGAACCTCGCGCTCGTCAGCATAATTACATAGCCTCTAAGGTAGGCTAGAACAATTGGATAGCCATGAAGACATGCAAAATTGGGATGTTAAACCCCACGTATCTATCAAGACATGCAAAAAGGTTGAGAAATTTCATTAGAAAGTGTATGCTCAGAATATTGGAGTGGCCTAAGCATGTAGCTAAGCAGCACTATCTGCTGTTCATGTGGTTAATTCATGTTTTGTGATGTCAGCACCACCTTTGTTCATAGCGTTCACACCAGTGGGAGCTACAGTCCCCACTGTCACAAATCATTATCATCTTGACTAAGTCCAGTGCAAGGCAAAGGCCTCTCCCATGTTTCGATAACAAACGCATTCCTGTGCTTGCTGCAGCCCTGTCATCCCCGCAAACTTCCTAATCTCATCTGCCCACCTAACATTCTGCTTTGCCCTTGCATGCAAATAACTTCATGTGTCAAATCATGGCGCTGAATTACTGCTAAGCCAGGCACTTAGCAATAACTGAAAGTTTTTGGAACACCTCTTTAATTGTAACTCTGTAGCATGCTCCATTTACGAAAAAAGAGACAGTGCAGCATTGTAAATGTTGTCGTGATGAATGTAAGAGGAACTTCTCCCCATTTTCATTGTCCTTGACATGCCACCTGCACACGCTGCCACCCGCTGGCAAACTGCACAGGCTGCGACGGCAGTTCTTGGCTTGGAGTGGGACACAGCCTTTGTCCGAATTGCCACAGCTGTTCGACCAGTACGTACGGAGTGGTGGCGACCAGTGCTAGGCGTCGGCTAACTCCAGTAGCGTACTGCTGTATGCGAGGTCCCAGTAGTGCTCTACACCGTGCTTGCGGAAGTGTTCCCTGGCGAGTGACTCCGTTGGGCATACCTTGAACTTGAGCTCGCCAAAGCTCCGTGACTTGACTGTCCCCTGCAACACATCAGGATCCCTCCCTTGTTGCAAACAGTGGGTGCATCCTTAAGTATATCTTTAATACGCTGTTCCTGTCTTCCCAAGACTACTTACTGAATATTGCCTGAGGTGTTGCTTTTGAGCAGTGACAATGGTGCAGTATCTTGAGCAGTCGGAAAAAGCTAATTGCAAAGTCACTTTTCAAGCAAGCAATAGGCATGTGCCTTGCACATCGAGGCTACAGGGGCCTCTATCGCAGCAAGCCCTGGCACATTTGATACACTAATTTAAGCGCTATATCCGTAATAAAGCAGCTTATGGCAAAGATGTCTGGAGTGAAAGCAAATTTTTCCATGGTCACCGCAAGAACACCGACGCCCACCTCGGGCTATACAACGGTTGTGTACAGTGGGGACATATCGTATCTAATGAACCAACAACAAATGAGGACTTAATTACTACCAGATACAATGCAGTGACATTAACATGTCTCCAACTGATATGAGCAGTTTTAATGAATATCAGACATAGTACATTTATGTATCATACGACTTCTTTGTCAAAAGAAAACTGACTGTGCATAACACTCATACCTCATTATAACAAAGTTAAGTCTTACACGAAAACAAGTACGTTGTATCCAAAAAAATTGGTTATACAGGTTTATTCTTAACACTATTTATATTGTAAGACTATTCTTCATTTACTTCATTATAACCGATATTTCGTTATATCCGAGTTTTGAGTGTACTTGTGTACACAAACAGCACATTGATATAGATTGTAGGAATAACACATGAGAAATATTAGTACAATTTGCAAATATCCTTCGCATAATGAGAACCTTCCAGCATATAAATAGGGAAAAGACATGTAAACGTCCAAACGGAGAAACAAAATATCGTACTTACGCCCATAATTTGCGCCCTCGCTTAACTTGCGCACCAGCTTTTCCACCATATTTTGCCAGCTTTTCGGAAAAAAAAATATTTACTCGCACATTTCATGCTCCCTGACTCATCCGAGCCAGCTCGCTGACGCTTGCACCTTTGGACATTTCAATGCTTCGGCCGGGTGCGCGCCTCGCGGAGCAAACGAGCGCAGTCAAACGGGCCGTGAGTGCGAAGACCCTTTTTCCTTGGACGTCCCCTGAACTAGGGTCCCTAGAATACTGCACCTGAACACAAACCTGTTGACGGGTTGCCGGAACTGCTCGAGCGTTTGCCTCCCCCATCTCCGGATATCTACCACTGTGATAATGGCAAGAATCGCGTCATGGTAGCGTCACAGCACCGACAACTTTCTGCATCGGAGGCATGCGAGGGCCAGTCGCGCCAACTGCCCCATTCGTTCTCTGTGCCCGCGCTGCAACGCATGCCTGGTCGGTTTCAGAAGTTTAGGTTTCGCCACCCGGCCGATGCGTTTTGACGGTTTCCTTGCGATGTGTTACAGTAATTACATATATATGGCAAAATTGAAGCTCGCTGTAGTGAATTTTGCTGAAGAAAACGGGAAACGTGCCGCGGCGAAGCTTTTCAAGGGGACGTACTTCAACGTGACGATCAGCACGATCGGTACGCGAGAAAGCTTAAGAGTGCGCGCTTGCTAATGCAAGTTTCGTTGCATTAGCAAGTTTAGTTGCAGAAAGGATGAGGTGGGTGAGGCCGTGACAATCATTCCCAATCAGAGTTCGCAATCTGTGATGCCGCTATATCATGCGTCACTGGATCAGTGACTGGTTAAAGTACTTGCTAATTTTTTAAAAATTAACAAGTACACTTTGTTTTTGCTTCAATTTATTTCTTCTTTTTCTGCGCATTAAAACTGTGACAATATTTCGTATACGCTCGCGCAATCCTTGCATAATTTGCACACCTCCTTCTCGGGGCCCCAAAATCGTGAAAAAAAAGTGCGCAAATTATGTGAGTAAATACAGTAGGTTTCGTGATGTGCACCATGAGGTTGCATACCGTCAAATGATGCATTTTACACACTTGGCAACTAACTTGTGGATTATTATCAACTATCAATTTCCCTTGCTAAAAAGATTGTTTCATTAGTAACAATATAACACAAAAGAATATAGGGTGCTGTTTTTACAATGTTTTAATTTAAAGAAGAAGTCTTCTACACTGGATGGATATCGGAAGGCTCCCTTCTGGGCCAAAGGCAGCACTGCTGCAAAGCACTTGAATGTACTCACCTCCCATACAAGTTGACACTGATTCTTCTCCGTTTTCTCACCTTCTGCAAAATGAATCAACCATGATTTGGCTTCAGTACACAGCACCAAACATGGAAAGTTGTGGTTAAAACCATGCTCCTGACGATTGCATCATGAGCAAAAGTTGCAACCGAAAATTCTGCGCTTTTGCACAATAAAACCACAATATGACAACAAAGCATGCTGTCGTGGAAAACTGAATCAGTGTCTTTCATAATATAAACTACTCATTCAATAAATGCAAAGCTATTGTGCAAACTTTCATTATAAGGAAACATGCAGAAGCAGTAATAAGAACACACGAAAAAATAATCTCAGTAAACATGGGTGTCCAACAGAGGCTGCTCTTCTAATACAGTAGAAGCTCGTTAATTCGGCACCAGTTAATTCGGACGGCTCTATTGGTCCCGGCCAAAGTGAATGTTAATCTATGGGACCAAACCTTCGTTATTTCGTCGAAATTCAGCTCCGCACCGCTTAATTCAGACAAATGCTACGGCTGCTGCTACACAAAAGTGTGATAAAGCAGCGCTGGCACCACTGGAGTGAAACCAAAACCTGAGTGGCATCGCCATCATCATCAACTAGTGGGGGCGATCGCAGCGTCACCAAACGTCGGCGTCTTCTTTCTTCTCTACTCAGCACCTCCGACGCCATTTTCCCTTGTGTTGTCGTGTCGGAACCATCTCTTCTTGCGGAGTTCTCTTTTTCTTCCATTGTGATCGTATTTGCATGCCACCACCATTGTGCGCTACAGTGATGGCAACGCCGAAAAAGCGGCAAAACTACGACGCGAACTTGGCGACCACCGACGATGACTGCCCGACTTTCGATGCTGTCCTTCCCACAGATGTGACCTTTCAGGACATCGCGATCGATCATGGTGTCGCCACGAGTGGTCTCTCGACCGATCAAGAGATTATTAATGATGTCACGGGCGCCCATGAAGACCACGATTCGCCGACGAAGAATCATGCGAGGAGATACAGCCGCGACCTCATCGCACCTCACGGGAAGTCTCGGAGGCGCTGTTAATATTAGAGGACGCTTGCCTGAACACTCCCGACAGCTTGCGTGCTGTTGGCCATTTGGAACAGTTACGAAACATTGTGATGTCAGCCGGAATCTGCGCGAAAACGCAGACGACAATTACAAAATACTTCAACAAATAAAGGTATGCTTCTGCAGCTTGATTTTAAATGTTGTTTTCCCTGTTCATTCGTTAATTTGGCATCGGGTTGATTCGGACAGTTTTTCCGGTCCCGTGAAATCCGAATTAACGAGCTTTTACTGTATTACAGCTGTGTTGCCAAGGCATTGTTTGTAAAGAAGCAATAAGCAATACATTTTTTTATGTCGGTACGATGTCACTTTTGTCTGCCTTGCTCATTCGCACATGCAATGAACGCAGTAGCATTTTACTCAACTTTGTGCTGCATCTTTCTGTACATTCCATACCCTGATAACTTTAGGCACCAGATGTTTGCAAACCCCTTTTCATAAGTACCGTGGACTCTCAATAAATAAAATTGCTGCTTAAGCGGAACAGCTGCCTCTAGTAAGATTGGTTTTGTATTCGAATTCGTACCCCTGTTCATCTCTCAGTAAACAAAACTTCCGTTGTATAAAACACATTTTCCTGGTGCCTTCAGGTTTCGTTTAACAGGAGTCTACTGTATCTCACATGCCCCTTATTCCTGCAGACATAGACAGAAAGAGAAGCTTGCCTCCTTGTATGGTGTCTTCGGACCACTTGATACGACTGAGCATGAGGCGGCGGTACTTGCTCTGTTGTCGAGGGCCTCCCTCGACCACAACGAGGTTTACGTTACGGTACAAGACCACACAGCCTGTCAGGAACAGTTGCTTGGCATTCATCTCCACCTTGAACTTCTTCGCGGGATTTGTCAGGCTTAGCACCCTGCGTGAGTAGTAATGGAAGTTGCTGTACCTGATACAGTGCTAGAAAATAATAAGATAAAATGTTAGGAGAAATGGTAGCGTGCAGTTAAGCATGAAATCAAGGTAGACGATATTTGAGAGAATAAGCAAAGTCGAACAGGATGTATAATACCTGATTACTAGAGTAATCAGTGCCCAGAAAAGCAAAAGGCAGAAATCTCTAGATCTTTTTTTCTATGTATGGTTGTGCGAATAGTGAAATTTCATCTCAAATCGAATCTTATAGTGCTGAATAGTGGCCAACAATATTGAATACAAGATTTTATTGAAAATCGAAAGAAAGAACAACAGCAATGTTGAGCTTCATCATCCTGAATGCTCCGGGCCCAAAAATCTTTAGGCACCAGTTCACAGCAGTGTTTCAACTGCCCCCCAATACTTGGGAGTTTCTGAATTAGTGGTGCAATGCGGCAGTGGCAGACAATTGCGACAGCGTGCACAAAATTTTCACACGTGAAACCCATCACCGATGGTTTTGCGGGCCAAAGCCAGGACGATCTACAGCGCTTGCAGTATATGCAATCAAACTACTTAAGAAGTCTGTGCCTTCCTTCCAAAAGTGAGATTGTGGAACTGTCATTATCTCCTATAAAATAAAAATGTGCTTGTGTTTGAACTAGGATAATGGTGGAAGTTTTAACGAGGGGCTTCCTGTAAGGACATTACTGTTACTTTCATTCACCCCACTCTAATCAAGTAGCACCGCTGGCCTGTTTCACGTTTTAGATATTCATATTGTCAAGTTACTTGAAACTGCCCCGCCGCGGTGGTCTAGTGGCTAAGGTACTCGGCTGCTGACCCACAGGTCGCGGGATCGAATCCGGGCTGCGGTGGCTGCATTTCCGATGGAGGCGGAAATGTTGTAGGCCCGTGTGCTCAAATTTGGGTGCACGTTAAAGAACGCCAGGTGGTCCTCCACTGCGGCATCTCTCATAATCAAATGGTGGTTTTGGGACGTTAAACCACACATATAAATCAATCAAGTTACTTGAAACTATTTGAAAATAATATTGAATTATTCAATTAGAGGTTATTCAATTTAGATAAGACACTCGAATACTCGCACATCCGCACTTCAATGTCATGAACTGCAACAAGCTGCTGATTCTGATTATGACTCATGATAAAGTGTTGCAGCAGG